GAAAGTCACCTCAGACCCATTGTGATGGAGACACACAATCTCATTGACTTTTCTGCATTTCTCAAGCTTGCAAGTGAGACTTTTAACTACCATTTTTTTTTTTTTTTGAGATTCAGATCTAGATGCCCTGCATCTCTTACAAAAAATCTGGTAGGCAAAGAATGAAATTCCACTTTCAACCCATGAGGCCAATGTTAATCTATCCTATACATAGCAGGAAAGTTGTTTTGGAAACCATGCCCCATATTTTACTTCAAAACATTGCAGTAAGCAAAAATAATTTATAAAAATTATATCCCTATTAAATATAGGGAATATTTGTTAGCACTCTGTTCAGATCATTATCCTATGTTAAAATTCCAAGCAGTTCTATAATGCAGATAGTTTCACTACCTGCATTTAGTAGTTCTGAAAGCAGACATGTAAAAATGTCTTTGAAAATATTTTTAAAGATATTGTTGAGACATGGTGGAATATTTCTTATTTGTTTCATTGATAATTTTCTAAAATAAAAATCATTAAACTCAAAGATACAGTATAAGCCCTTATAGTACTTATTTTGCCATAGAATAACAAGTTACTTTTAAAACTTACATCAATAACATTCAAAACTTCTGTTAGACCCTAAAATCAACATTTTCTTCATTGTATTCTTTAACAAAATTTCTATTGAAACACGCTGGCTAAAATACTGGCTTTATAATACGTATATTTTTTCAACAATCTTTTCATTTTATTTGGAAAGTCAATTACAAAGAGAGACAGAGAAGGATAGAAAATCTTCATCTGCTGATTCACTTCCCAAATGGTAGCAATAGCCAGAGCTGGGCCTGTCTGAGACCAGGAGCCAGAAGCTTACTCCAGGTCTCCTAAATGGTACTAGGGGCCCAAAAACCTGGGCCATTCTATATTGCTTTCCAAGGCTATAAGCAGGGAGTTTTATCGGGAAGTGGAGTAGCTGGGACACAAACTGGTGCCCATATGGAATGCCAGTGCCAGCAGGTGGAAGATCCAATCTGTTGTGTTTGAGAAGTATCAAAATACATTAAGGAAGCAGAATACAGAAAAAAAGCATCTGAAAAATAAAGCATCTTGAGAAATGAACCTTTAGTTACATCCCAGCGGAAGGAATAAAATTCTCTGTGTGAATTTCCCTATTCCTAATCAAAATATTTCTTCTGCATCAAGATTAGAGAAAATAATGACAGTATCTCTTTTTCTAAGTGTTTATTATGTGCCAGGTTTTTTTCTGTCTCTGTGCCTACGAACTAACTCACATTAAATTGGCTATTCCAATTTAAAGATGGGGAAAGCATGGCATACAGAACCTAAATGATTTTCCTGAAGTCATTCATTCAGTAAGTATTGGAGACAGGATGTTAATCCAAGCTGACTGCATCCAGAATTTTCCTTCTGAAACATTAACAGACACAAGTAGAAACAACTGAGCAAGACTATATAACCTATCATGTTGCTTTGGTGTTTGTAAGAAATTCTTTTGCCAGTAAGCACTAGACAAGTTACTAAGACTTCATCCTGCAGCAGTGGGAGGATGAAGGGTCATTCTAATTCCAGTGATGGCTCCTACATGAAAACCAAAACAGAAATTTCTGGAGCTCTTTCTTCCTTAGGACGCACTTCAGCAAATAGAAAATAAAACAAAAAACCCTGATGATTTTGATGAATTTAGCACTTCTCAAATTTATTGGACCATGTATGAAACATCTGTCAACATCTGCACTCATTATGTATGTGACTCGTCTACAATTACCTGGCCTTCCCCTGGGTCCATTCATCATCCTGTGGGATTTGGAACATCTGTATACTGGATTCAGATGTGGTTGAGAAATCTACTTGCATTGTATTCAGTATGTCAGAATTCATGAGCCCTCTGTAACCATAGCTCATGTAATCTTAATTAATTTAACAATATCACACTGGCCTGAATGTTCAAGGTCCTGTGTGCATGGAAAATGTTGCTCAGCCTATGGACTTAGGAAACAGGCGAGTCAAAACAAAAGATTCAGTGACACTAGTGAGTTTTTTTGGTCTATTCCTTCCTTCAAAATGCATTATTGTGCAACTGTAGGTGGACATGAAAGTGCATTAGAATTACAGAAACATCTGGTGAAGAGAATGACATCAGCATGAGGACTTGCCAACAGATATGGAAATGCATTTGACAAAAGCCATTGACATACTCAAGAACTAAGTGGGAATGTCCAGGGGGAGCCAATATCAACCATCTGCACAATTCATAGATGTCTTCTTCTAAAGAGTGTAGTGTTTATTGAATTCTACACACAAGCTCTCTGCTCTCAGAGAGTACAGTGAAGAGCAGTGTTATTCTAGCTGATTCTCACCAGTGAACACAGGGGGAAGGGATAGAATAGAGTGACAGATTTGTTTAGGATGTAGGAGCATGGTGGTGCTGGACATCTACTGAAGGTTTTAAGGACTTGTACTTCAAAATGAGATTGAGGCCATGGTTCCAAAAAACTCTTAAAGAAGTCAGCACTGAAGCACAATGGATTAAACCACCACTCCCATATGGGCACCAGATCAAGTCCCAGCTGTTCCACATCTCATGCAGCTTCCCGACAATGCAACTCAGAAGGCCGTGGATGATGGTCCAAGTGCATGGGCCCTTGCCACATACATGGAAGACCTGGATGGAGTTCTGTCTCCTACCTTCAGCCTTGCCTAGGATTGGCTGCTGTAGCCATCTGTTCAGGAAACCAGCAGATAAAAGATCTTTCTACTGGTCTCCATCACTCTGCTTTTCAAATAAATAAATCTTTTAAAAATTCTTAAAATGAGAAACCAAAGAAAAGCAAAAGAAAAAGAAAGAGCAATGAAATTAAAGATAAATGTCAAATTCTAAAATCTTTACAAACCACACCTCTCAAAGTTGGGCACAGCATCTGACCAATATCTCATCAAATCCTCTTAATGCTTTAGCCTTATTAGTTAAAAATAACTCTGGCTCTGGTAACACATACTCAATTGAGACTTGGCAAAGTCATTTGAAAAAGCTCTTTAACTGGAAGTTATTAAAGGAAGCCAGATTTTTAGTTTTGAGGCTTTTCTCTCCTTAAACAGTTATTTGTGCTTTTAAAATTCCCATTTTGGACCAACCATTGTAGTTCTTTCCTGGTGCTGCTCCTGGCTTACAAAGATGAAAAATGCCTCCCTTGGAAAACAAGGTCATATCTTGGAAGGCTTTTCTGGACTTTGGGTTTTCTGCTTGTCATTTTGCTTCTTTCATCATCAGTGTTGCACAAGAGCAATGGTGTGCCTCAACCATGACATACACTTCATCACCAAGGAGCCTCTACTTAACCTCCTCCTCCTCCTCAGTGGTTGGAACAAACTTTATTTATTTATTTATTTATTTTTGCTTAACACTTTCCGAACACTTCCAAAAACTACTGATGGGTCTTTTTGTTGCCATTTCACCCATAAGGGAATCCAAAGAATTGACACTAGTTCCTGGAAACATTTCATCTTATTTTCTTCTGCTCTTTTCTGCCAAATATCCCTTCAAAGTTGAGTTCAAAAGATTCCTTGTCTCTCTACTTTCTCCTCTGAACTTAACAAAATCACCACTATGATACCTAGCACATTGATAAGCAAGAAACACTATCTGTAAGGCCATGATTCCAATACTGGTTTGCATTTACAGTTGTATGATTGCCCTGAAAGTGGAAGTTGTTTGGGAACTCAATTACTTCTCACTAATTAAAAGCTACCTGAAGATTAATGTAAAAATACAGCTTTGATATTCTATTTAACCTAAATCTACTGAATTCTGCCATGTAGCAACTTTTTAAGTGCTTGGGTTACAAAGTCAGTAGGACACAGCTCACACTTCCAAGAAGCCACAGTTTAGTAGGGGATGGGAAAAGCACACCTGGCAAAAATAGGTAACGATCAACTGCTATGGTCACACTATCAACAAAGGGCTCTGGAAGCAATTTTCCTACTGATTCTAAAACAGGAACGAGGTCTCACCATGTGAAAAGAAGTATGGCTACTCTAAGCAAATGAAACAACACCAGGATAGCATTAACAAACTTGTGAAGATCATTTAAAATCCAAATCAAGGAAAGTGCCAAGCTCATGCTTTCAAGTTTTTTCTATGTTGTGTCAGATTTTCTAAAATGTCAGTAAAGAATTTTTTGATGAATAAACTCTGCAGATTCCAATTCTATATTATAATTTTTCAAATAAAGTTTTTTTTTTCAAAAAATTATACCCGACAAAGAAATCTTACATTCAGAGCCTCAAAGAGTCAAAACTTAAACTGTCTTTGGTTTATGTGATAGCAATAAAGTGCTAATTGGAAAAGATGTACCACTCTCAAACAACCTCAGATATGCTTGTTTCTGATAGAATTGGTAAAAGGAAGTTAAGAGGGTCTGGCACAATGGTTGCGTGATGCATGTATTCAAGCATTTTCAATAGACAAGACAGTGTTACATATAGATAGCAGAAGAAAAATGTTCCTGTTGGTCAGTATTATAACAAATAGACATTCCCATTTTACAAAATAAAAATGAAATGTCAAAACAAAACAAGAATCAAAATCATATCTCTTTCCACAAAAAAAGGGTATTGATTAAATCCAAGATATTGAAATGTTTTCTGATCTCTCATAGAAAGCAAACATTTAAAAAACTAACCCATATAGTGGTTATTTTTCTATTTCTGAATAGTTTGAATAAATGAGCTAAATCCATCCAGAAGTTATATTCCAAGCTAAAACCTTGGACTTTTGTTTATATAAATGACTTCGCAGGCTAAGCATCATCACTATTAAGATGATGCACGAGACACAGAAGCTATCTGTTTCAATACCATGAGTAACTGACGTATTAAAGATGTGTAAGGCAGGACTTGAGATTCCATTCCAAGCAGCATGATATATTCTAGCTTGGCTTATCAAACTGTATCTGAAAAAGGAGTGATTCCTTCTGATCCAGAATGCCTATACATACCTCTAAGTAATCCGTTGAGCAGTTCGTATGATATTCCAAATCAAACGCTGAAAACGTGTAGTTCACAGTGTTGCCAGTTGTTGCTTGGATGGTCCAGTTGCAACGCTGGTTATTAGAATAAGGGTTGGGAAAATCTATGCTCTCCAAGATGCCATAGGTTTGATTGACAATCACAACATTTTCACATGCTGGAAAAAATAATCACAATTGCTAAACAAACTATCATAACAGCTATAAAATATATGAGATTTTCATTTAGGAAAACATTAAATACATAGCTTTAAAATAATATTTATCTCATATATTTTGTGCAGCATTTTTAGAGTGAACGAGTCTCCATTTAGACTAAATGTGAAATAACACTTGAGGTAAGTTCATGAAAATTGCACAGCCATGTTAAAATAGGCATACATTTTTATAACCTGGGGGGGGGGCAGCAGAATGCCCTGGCTGCACTAAGACATCAGTCCAATTAGTTTGATTAGAGATTTCAAGAAATATTCTACAGTTCCAGTTTTCTAAGTTTATAATCTTGAAGGAATAGAAATTCAGTCCATTGAATTCAAGATTAAAAATACAAAGTTTTGAGAGAATGTCCAAAATGAATAACAACATAATTTTATAGAATATTTATAACTCTGCATGAAATTCAAATTCATGACACCTTTAATCCTCTAGTGAGTCATTTGAAGGTATCAAGTGAATAAATAGAGCAAAAGATTTAAAAAGAAATGAAAATCTCAGATTTTGAAAAAGTCTTCAATCTAATTGTGGAACTTTGTGAGCTAATTTTTTTTTAAAGATCCATTTTTATTTTAGAGGCAGATTTGCAAAGAAACAGAGAGATAGGAAGGGAGAGAGATTTCCTATCTGTCCCATCTGTGGTTTACTCTCCAACTGGCTCAATGGTCAGAGCTAAGCCAATCTCAAACTAGGAATTAGGAATTTCTTCCACATCTCCCAAGTCGGTGCAAGGGCCAAAGGACTTGAGCCATCCTCCGCTGCTTTCTGAGGGGCATAAGCAGGGATTTGGATAGGAAGAATAGCAGCCATGACATGAGCTGATTTTCACATGGGATGCCAGACTGCAGGAAGAGGATTAGCCTCATAAGCCACCACACTAGCACTTGAGCTGATTTTTAACAAAACCACATGAAGTAGTCCTAGGTATGTCTAATCCTAGGAGTAAATTCACCCAGTTTTAATAACATGGGACCAAGGCATATGCATATCTTCCATTTGTCTTTTTTTATACTGTCTTTCTGATATGCAACAAAAGAAAATGGGAAAATACTGTGTTGAGATCTGTCTGAAAATTGTGGTTCACAGACACATATTACTTACAATACTTCTTTCTGAAAGGTGTCTTCACCAGCCTTTATAAACTTTGGTTTGGAAAAGTAAGCATTTGTGATTCTTCCAATTCTTCCTTTGAGCAGGCATAATAGTAAAAATGCTTCTCTTTGAAAATATGTATGTCACAATTTTGTCCACAAAGGATTTCTAACCTATCATTTTATGGAGGATGGCATTGTGCCACTTCCGACATTTGCATCCCAATTGAGTGACAGCTGGAGGCCAGCTACTCTGATTCATATTCAGCTCCTGATGCACCTGGGGAGTCCATGGATAATAGCCTAAATACTTAGATCCATTCCACACAAGTAGGAGACCAGGATGTAGTTACAGGCTCCTGGCTTCACCTGTGCAAGCCCCAATCATTTTGGTCATTTTGGTCATTCGTGGAGTGAACCAGTAGATGGATAATCTCTTTCTCTCCCTCTCTCTCCCTCTCTCTCTCCCTCCCTCCTTCTCTCTATACCCTTCTGTATATATTTGTGCACACATGCACGTGTGTGTATTTCTATCTCTCTCCCCCTCTTTGTCATCTGCCTTTCAAATAAACAGAACTTTAAAAAACTAGCTAGATCAGTACAAATGCTGGAAATAAGAGAATGTAAGTCATTAGTTTCATACATAATCAAGGTTAAAAATTAGTAATCTTTCCATTAATCTGAGACACTGTGACTTTCAATACCATTTTTAGACAACTGCGTCAAATTGTGGATAAATTTAAATTCAGCAGTGCAAGAAATGATACTTTCAAAGTGGAATATTTACTAAATATCATAAACTCAAGGGAATCTTGTTGCCTTGAACATTCATTTTGAGACTATAAAACATATTCAAATTTAGAGCTAGAGAGGAGCTTCAGAGATCATCCAACTGAATCAATGTCCTTTCAGAAAAGAAGTACTGGAAACCAGAGTAGAAAAATGGGCTTCTCAAATGTTAGTGGTAAGGACACTGCCCAAACTTCTGGTGTTTTGTTCAATCCATGCTGCTTTAGCAGAGAGCAAATTGTAAATGGCAAAGATGACATGATCACAGTTTGCTCAATAAAGAACAGTAATGACACCACACATGATCCATAAGGACCACAGCTTTCCCTAGTAAGATTAAGGTACCTTTCTAAGGTGCATATGTAAAGCTGGAGTAGGTGGATATACATAAAGTGAAATGATGTCAGATTAGAAGATCATAATGTGTGATAGAAATTAAAAAAAAAACCCTGTTAGCCATTAACTGTCATTAGCTGGATTACAATTGTCTCAGGATATTAAATAAGCCCCCAAAGGTTTCTATAGTTTTCCAGTTCTGGGATCTTAGCTTCAGCTTGTCACATTTGGGGAAGACACAAGCAAAAATAACATATTCTGTATTTCTCTGTCTCCCTCTCCTCACCTCCCTCTGTCTCTCCCATTCTCATTCTTGCTCTGTTACTCTGTCTTTCCAAAAAAATAATTGAAACTAAGATGAACTTCGTTTTCTCAAGCCAATGGATTATATTTATTTCACTTTATGCACTGTAGAACCTGGAAGCTCATGATAACACTGAACAGCTTGCATTCATACTTACTCTGCGAGTATGTGGCCTCGAAGCCACCACCTTGCTGTTCTTCATCAGTCCTCAGTTTTAAAAGCATGCTGTCTCCGGTAGAAAGGATGGCAGGAGGCTTCTCGGCCCCACAAAGCTGAGTAAGCAGATGAGAGCTGGTACTTGGGCCATCATACACCTTTAGTAAATATTTGAAATATCAGACAGTTGCTGCTATAAATATTATCTAAAAGACACTACAGTATAAAATAGCAAAAAATGCATAACAAAAGAACATGTCTGCAATAAAATACCTTCTAAAAACTATTCTGAAGTATCTATATTTTCAGACCATAAATTCCAATGCTTTATCCAAATATTAAATTGTGTAAACTCAGGTTGAAGTCTAAAGATTGAAAATCCAGTACATTTTTATTTCGCTTTTTCAGTGGATGATGTTGAATTTCTGGCACTCTAAAAAACGTCCTTGCTATACAACTCCCATTAATTACTCTAATTCACCAAAGCAATCCTCTAAGTTTTTAGAATTCAGTGAGTATCTAAAAACTACAATAAAGTCTACAACTTCTTTTATGAAACTTTAATCATATCTTAGTAGTTTATATTTAAAACATTTTAAGTATCTAATATTTCAAGTCATTGAGTACATAGTCTAAAACACTGCTATTTTCACCAAATTCATGAATTTTTTTGTTTGGTAAAATTTCTCATGTGAACATTCTGTTTAAATGCTCCATTGTCTTGAACCTCAAAAATAAAACAAAAACAAACGCATTATGTATTCTAAGTAAGATGGAAGCAGGGAATGTTGCAACAGAAACATTATACATACTGCCAAATAATCCAGAGTGCAGTTTGGATGATACTCCAAGTGAAAGTTTAGGAATTCCAATTTAAATGGGCTACCATGGCTGGCTTTTAACAACCAATAGCATTCAGAGCTATGGTAGTAGGGCATCGGATAGTTGGGAGACGTGAATGTGCCAGTAGAAGTGGTGAGATTACCCCCACAACCTACAGGAGAAAGAAACAAAATGATGCACACCCTTCTCTTTTTGGCAAAACTGAATCTTCTTGTCTATATCAAACTACGGCAACTATAGTTTTCAAATCAAGTTGCAAAGCAAAAACTGTATCACAAAAGAATAGCTGTGATCCCAATTCATTTCAGTCTACCTTCCTGCTTCTAATCAAGTTGGCCAGCTTGATGAAATGCACCAGAGAACCACAACTTTTCCCTTTTATGTTTCAAAAGGATTAGCAGTGGCTGCTGCTAGTTCAAAACTATTGGCAATGTTGAAGTCCATTCAAAAAATCATGGCAAAATGGACAAATGATGATGATGGAATGAGCATATTCATCCAAGAATCAAGAAATCTTATCAGTCTGGGTTTCTCAATGAGTGTCAGTGGTCTGTTGCTTACCTGTTGATGAGCCATCCCAGTGAGCTGAGAAACCAGACTCCGAGAACAGCATGTCACTCTTAAATCTTAACCACAGTTTGTTACTGTGAGAGATGATCCTCGGAGGTAGATTTGAGCCACAGTATTCTCCCAGAAGTGGGGAATTTTCATAGCCTCCATCTCTGTGACAGAATACAGAAATGGAAATGTATTATATTGTCAGTTTTATTATTGTACAGACATTTAACAAAATTTGAACTTTGGAACTGCAAAAACAATCAGTTTAGCAGACTAGTCAACTTCTCTCAAAATTACTCTTTAAAAAAAAACAAAAATAGGGGTCTCTTTTTTCCACTTTTGCTCCTGCCACTATGGCAGAAGACTAAGGTCTTTCCACTTTTTCTCCTGTCGCTATGGGGTGGGAGGGTAAGGGTCCTTCCTAATCTCAGAACCTTTCTATCTCACTACAAACCTTATTTGATTGTTAACTAAGCAAGAAAAATAAAGAAGTTCATTCAACACTAATCACTAGCCAGTGATTAATTGCTACAAATCTTAAAAAACATATCAGACCAAAATTTATTATAAACTATGAGTCCAGATTTGAAATGTTTAATAAAAATACGAAATACAAACATATCCACATGATTATAATAATTTAATGTAGTATAATGGTTTGAGAAGATATCAACATATGAGCTGAATTATCTTTACTGATGACCTGTCTTAAATACCAAATAAGGAAGGAAGAATGCCTTATACTGAAACTTACAAGCTTAGAGTTTTATTATTTGCAAACAAAATCTTCATTGTTTTCGGTAAGACAATCCACTGTTATCCTGCCATCATTTTGACATAATCAAACAGTCTAAAATTTAAAGTGTTTTTTATGTAAACAAAGAAGACATTCAACAATTGCAAGTAATTCATTTCAGAGTAGTAATACATCTCATTTCTTTTCCTAAATAAAATCTGAGATTTGTTTTCAGTAATCTCTAGAAATATCACTTCAAGGTAATCACTGATTCTCATGCCGTTTTTACCATTTCCTCTAAGTGGGACTTCAAATGTCAAGCTCCACTTCTTAAAAGAAAGTGCATAGCAGGGACTTTACAAAGCAATTTATGGAATTTGTAATTTATGAAGATTAACTTTCCTGAATCTTTTCAAAATTATTAATGAAATAATGAAAAATATTACAATGAAGTAAATAAAGACACTTACCTGATTTCCACAAAATCTCCTACGCATGCGCCAAAATAGCTTTCTTCCAAGGAGAAGTTGGTGAAGTGCAATGATATCTGCTTTCCAGTCTCCACTGTGATTCTATAAATGCAATTTAAGTTGTTGGGGTAATTATTAGGGAAGTTTGGAGAAGTGAGGGTTCCAGATTCTTCTGTATAGTCTTCTATGCATACTGTGAAGAGAAAGAAAACACAGGAGAAAAAACATAGAAAAGATGAGACCACTGGACTATGTTTAGGAACACATACTTCATTATTTGTGCCAATGTATTTGCTTGGCAACATGCTTTTCTGGAAATATCAAATGACTTAATTTTTGAAACAAATATTTTGAAATGTCAAATGCAAGACAAATAGCAGCAGCAGACCTTGATTGTTATATACATCTTGGATGGACGATCTTTTTGGCTGGTGGAAGCATTATAATTTTTTGAATACATGAAAATTATCATAAGCATTCAAACTTAGCTTCAATTAGAGAAATAATAGAAATAATTCAGTTCTGTCCTCTTTGTAATCTGACACAAGTAGCTCAGCCATGAGGTTAAGAGCATGCTGGCTTGGGTTCATAATGATTTAGACTCAAAACCCTTCTAAAATATTGACAAGCTATGCATACTGGACAATTTACTCCACTACTCTGAGCCTCACTTCCCTCATCTTAACAACAGAAAGCTGAACATCCGCAAAGAGCAATACAACTAAAGGGTTTGGCCCAATAATGGAAGTAGCCATCATTTGCAAAAAGTATGCTTTTTGCATAATTTTGAGGAATAAATTAAACATTGCTAAATATTTAAATTCATACAAGAATATATATTAAATTTATGCTAGCATTATGCTTTTGCACAGTTTTTGAGGAATGAATTAAATATTTATATAAATTATCAGAATATCTGAATAATTTTATGTCCTGAAGAAATGTTAACCATATTAGTTTAACAGTTTCAACTGTACCTGTTCAGCCCTTCAAACTCTATTCTTACTAACCAACCCACTCAGCTCCCTATGCTCTCAAAATCTGAACGACTTTACAAAGAAAGCATTTTTAATGTTGCTTCAATTTTGTATGTAATAATCATCCAATCCTAGAGCCCAGAAGCAGACAAAGTTCTATGACTCTAAGGTTTTGGAGTAGAATAAAGTACTATATTTAATTTTAAGGGAAACAAAACAGGAATGTTTAAGTATGTTATTTATCCATTTGCTGCTACTTGAACACACTCAGAAAAACAGAGGAACCACTGCTATGCGCACAAACTATTCCAAGTTCTGAGGCCGATGTGTAGCTGTCATGCTACAGCTAGTGTGTCCCCCCAGCTAATGTGCGTTGGGAGAGCACAAGTACCCAGGTCCCCGCCACACACATGGGGTGGAGTCTCTGACGGTTGGCTTGGCTGTGATCTAGCCCTGGCTTCTGCAGGCATTTGGGCCACGAATCAGCCACTGAAAACTTTCTGAGTCTGTCTGTCTACATACCTACCTGCTTGTTTTGTCTCTCCTTTCAAATAAATAAAATGTGTTTAAAATATGAAACACAAGTTTATAACTTTGCACAATTTGTTTTGGCTTAAGTTGCCAAGGGAAAATACATATCCAATAGCAGTTGGTATGTTATTACAGTGTAAAAGAATTACAAAAAGATGAAGAAAGGTACATTTCTTTCATTCCTAGTGATGAGAAAGCATCCCCGTAGATCAAAGACAATACTTGGCAGAACTCACATATTTTTCTCTCTGACCAACCTCAAAGAAATCATAACACAGAAAACAGTAGGTATACATCCTCTGCAGATCATTTTAAAAATCACAAAACTAGATTTTTCTAAAAATCACTACATATCTCTGCTTCCACTGTTTTCAAATAAGCTTTCATTGTGTAGCATTTAGTTCATTATTAAAAGGAAAGAGAGGAAACTTGGATAATCCCCTAACCTACAAAGCAATGATAATATCAGTCCCCCTTTTCCTGTAGCTAAAGGAATGCAACGTATCAGGAAACCCTGGATTATGATTCACTTGTCTCCCTCCGCCTCGCTTTGCCTTATGGAATACACTATGACTGTTCTATCACAATAAGGATGAATAAACTGCTTTATGAAAAAACTTGTGAAACTTTTGGTTTGATAACTCAAGTGACCTCCGATTTTCTAGATGTGCATGTGACTAGCCAAGGGTCCATCCAGGAACCATTTTCTGTTTTTCATGGTATGTTTGCCTTAACTATCTTCAAAGATTTGAGAAAATACGTTATTATTATAAGGTTGACTTTTTTTTCCTAAGGAAAGAAGGCTTGTTACTCAAACTCAACTTTTAGCTGCAAATCACTGCTAAATGGTCTCAGGCACTGCTTTTTCTTTTCCCTTGTAAATGCCCAACTCATGGACATGGGAATCATATTGTAAATCTGGCCAAGCCATGGTCCTGTACAACCATAGTGTAATTTCACGCTGAATACCTCATTTTCTCTTCCCTGATTTTGTGACACATGAAGTCACCACTACTCCCACATTTTGAAGAAACGGATTAGGAATCTGAAACTCTGGAAGTTCTGACAGTCATTTCATTCACCTATGGCAAAGATAGCATTTAAGCCTATTCCCCTGATCTCCAATGCCTGTGCTCTATCATAATCCATGGTTTGTCTATGTAGAAGATGTCAATTTAGGAACAAAGATACACATGCGCCTAGCAATACCACAGATATGCAACTTGTTCAGTATTTTCAACCTAAGAAATAAAACCAATTAAATAAGATAAGTGAACTGGATTGGAAAGGGCTGAGATGCCTATACACAATATATACAAACATATAAGAATACATGAATTAGTAAGTAAATTTTTAAAACAAAACAAAATAAAACAAAAAACTTTCAGGGGGTGAAATATCTAACTACCTCATAGAAAACAACTCAGAATACATTGGGCAGAAAGAATCAGAGAGATTTGTGACTTTTTCAAAATACTGCCTATTAGGACTAGAACCAAGTCTTTGGGCTTTTCCTCCATCTTCACTGTACTATATACAGGACTTTCCACCCAAAATAACTATGGTTCAAATCATCATTACATCTCCTAACTGTAACACAATTTACAATTCTGAAAGTCACACCACAATCTCTGGGGAACTATAAAAACAGTTTCACCAGACTCACTTGAATTGCTTGGTTAAAAAAAAAATACACAGGAAGACTAATACAGAATCTCTAGACAGCATACTAACACCTGAATTGCTAAGCAGACAGTCCCTCCTTTAACTCCATATATCTTAAGAATCCCAGAGTTTAAGAATGCTGCCATTGGCAGAGTGAAGTATTAAATCAGAAAACCTCTCTGACTCTTCTGGTTAACAAATCTGTTCACTTTCTACTCCTGTGAGCCTGTTTTTGCTTTGATGCAATAAACAGTTTTAAAGAGCTCTCCCTTTGTGAACTCCAAGGAAATGAAGAGGTTGGGAAGACCCAGGAGGGCTCTCCTTCAACCTATACTGATGCAGTTATGGCCACTACCAGACATTTACTTGGACAAACTGCAAGGCTTCTCTCTGTAGAAGAACATAAGAGGTTCATCAGAGTTCTATCGCATCTCTGGACTGAATGGTACCAGGTGCACCATGGGCAACTCTTCTACCATGGTTCCAAAACTTAATGCAGACATGATAAAACCAACAGATTATCTGTTGGCACTTGATTGTATGATACTCTGCTGGTTTCTATTTTCCTATTTTCTATTTTCCTCCATACTTTCTTTTTTTAAAAAAAAGATTTATTTTTATTATTTTTTTTATTGGAAAGGCAGGTATACAGAGAGAAGAGACAGAGAGGAAGATCTTCCGTCCGATGATTCACTCCCTAAGTGAGCGCAACGGTCGGTGCTATGCCGGTCCCAAGCCAGGAGCCTCTTCCGGGTCTCCCACGTGGGTGCAGGGTCCCAAAGCCTTGAGCCATCCTGGACTGATTTCCCGGGCCACAGGCAGGGAGCTGGAAGGGAAGCGGGGCTGCCGGGATAGAACTGGCGCCCATATGGGATCCCGGGCGTGCAAGGCGAGGACCTTTAACCACTTGCGCCACCGCGCCAGGCCCGATTTTTCTCCATACTTTCAACAAATGCAGAGTAAACTTGTAAGTCAATCTCATGAGTCTCAATTAAGTTGCAAACTACAATTTCAAAAACAATGGTTTGAATTTTATAAAGGTTTTTACCTAATATTAAAGTTGAAAATCAGTCCATTCTTGTTTTCATTTTTTTTTTTTTTTAGCTCCCTTCTGCTACCAGTTTTCACTTTAAAAGTTCCCTCTTTGGAGGAAGATATACTCACATGAAAGATTGTAACAGAATACACAATTACAACTTAAATTGTTCAAAGTAATTAATCAATCATATGAATATTATAGTTTGAGACTGTGCTTAGGATTCAGTCAGGAGACACTGGCAACCTGTTCTCACCATCAGTTACTAAGAACTTCTGAAGATTTTCTAATCACATTTCACTTGTGACTTCTTCCTTTCTGGCTCCACAGGCACATCTGGGTAACTACAGAAAAAGGGATGAGGAGGAAGGCTGGTCCTTTTCTTTCCAAACACACACGTAGGGGTTGATGTCAGAGCTATACCATAGGGACTGCAGATGTGAAAGGTAAATCAGGGAGCTTTCACTTTTATTGAATGAAGACAGGAAAGACTTCAGCAGTGGGGAACTCAATCTCTTGTACTGAGGAAGTAGAAAGCAAAAAGCAAAATCCATTGTGGTTGCTCTGGCCATTACTTCTGTTTGAGCAATAAATTAGGGTGAGCAATTCTTGATATTTTCCCAATATCATTTTGTTCTGCAGAAAATACCAAAATCAGACAACTGAGAAGAAAGAACTCCCTATTTTCCAGGCAATTGCTCACTATGACTCAGGCTGCCTGGCTGTTTCACTCCCCATCTCTGCAGCCCCGCTCATCCCTGAGCAACTCTGCAGGGCTACCGTTAACCAGTCATGAGCCTGTGGCCCACATACTAATCTACAGGAACCTGGAGAGCCTGTGGCTCACATATTAATCCCCACAGCAAATTGTGATGCTCCAGAATTGTAAATGGAAGGTTCTCCATGGCCCCTGGATCCAGTCATCTAATGGCTATTTAGACTGTTTTGACTGTTTTGACTGGATGTTTGGGTTTATCCAGCAATGTCAGGCACACAGTGACCTGCCAGGCTAGGTCAAGATGCAGAGTGAGTATTCCTCTTCTGGGGTTGCAACCCTTCTGGAAAACGTAGAGGATAGAATCGTGATTATCAGACAGAAAAGCAGGCTGGACAGTGTTTCCAGTTTGTCACTTTAGGTTTCTTTTTTTTTTTTTTTTTTTCGGTATCACTTGCTTTTCTTCCGCTCCAGTTGACTCATTTTTCTCAACTCTTTATTCTGCTTATTTTGCTCACTCTTAGTTCTTGTTGCATTATATATTGTCTTACAACTAATTGTAATATTAACAGGGTTGTAATCATTGCAGGGATGTGTCTTTGCATATTATTACAAAGATCTCCATGATATTTTCAAGAGGTCTGGCTGGAAGTACAGCTGAGGTACAGTCAGTTTATTCATGCAGCCAATTAAAACCATATTCATAGGTGATTAGCACCGGAAGACATTTCAAAGATCATCAAATCCAATCCTATAATTATACAGATGAGAAAACTAGCCCTCAGAGTTCAAATGACTTACTGCAAATCCTAATCTAACATGTACTTCAGTTTGCAGCCATCCATATCAGAGAGATAAAACTGCAGAAGTATGGAAAAGTGTATATCCACTATTTCTTGAGAAACTAAATTTGGTTGTTGGATGTTAATCATCTGAACAAAGTCCAGTGAGTATGTCAAATGTCACAACCTAACCTATTATGAATTCTGGGGATTTAATTTCCCATGTACTTGAACTGGATAAGGAACAATCTTCTAGAGAGTTCTATTAAAGATAAAAATTATCCAATTCTGTCACAGTCAGGATTCTGGAGAAATCTAAATCCAGCTGTCCAAAACAAAGAACTGAAGCGAGTGTAGGGGATACTGTTGGGCTGGAAATGAAGAGCAGTGGTCACTCCTTCCAAAGGAGAACTAATGAGGAACTGAGCTTAGGTCTCTTGAGTGGGAGATCTTTTTCCTTTTTATTTATTTGAAGTAGTAGGGTCTTTAAAAGACACATTTGGAGCCCTCTGAATGCTGGACTGATAGACAACACTGAGGTACAGGGGACGTCTCCAACCATTTCTGGAAGGAAGGCAGTGAACCACACCCTGCTTCTGGGCAATTCTGTGGCTGGGGAAAGCTTGGCAGGCACAGCCTCTGTGTGTCCCCCATGCATGCAAAGCACTGGATGATACTTATGTGTTAAACAATAGCCCAGACTCCCTAGAAAGGCACCCATTTCAGGGAATATAAGCCTGATGAAACCTGGCTCAAAGATCTCATAGGCTCTTGAAGACAGCTGTAACTCTAGCTTCCACATAATCAGACAGCCTGCAAACATATTTGCTTTCAATGCTACATTTTTAGAGAGCAAACTAACAGTGAGAATTAAGTAATAGGGAAGTTATAGTACAAAGAATAAATACTGAACATATTAAATAATTTCATTAGATTACTTTCGAAATCTATAATTTGCTAAGAGCTTACATTTACTTTAACAGAATTCCATGCAGTAATACTCCCCTTATTGTTTTCTTTTTCTAAATCTAATCTTCAGCTTCTCCTATGTACTTTTTTTAAAAAAAGATTTATTTATTTTTTATTACAAAGTCAGATATACAGAGAGGAGGAGAGACAGAGAGGAAGATCTTCCGTCCAGGAATCTCTTCCAGGTCTCCCATGCAGGTAGGGGTCCCAAAGCTTTGGGCCATCCTCGACTGCTTTCCCAGGCCACAAGCAGGGAGCTGGATGGGAAGTGGAGCAGCTGGGATTAAAACCAACACCCATATGGGATCCCGGCGCATTCAAGACGAGGACTTTAGCTGCTAGGCCACGCCGCTGGGCCCCTTCTCCTATATACTTTAAAATTTTCAGTAGCTCCTGCATTGGTTTTACAACATTTTTATTTACGTTTACTAGATTTACTATATTTTTACTTTTGTCCCCATTGCTTTATTGCTCTCTCATTCTCACTCTCTCTCACTCATCTGCTCTTTCTTCTGACTCGACTTATTATCTGAACCACTTGGAGACATTTTATGTGACTTATTATCTGAACCACTTGGAGACATTTTATGTCTTTGTTGCTACAAGCTTCGGTGTATTGTTCCTGAGACCAAAAACATTTACTTACAAAGTGACCGTACAACTATCAAATTTTGAAGATGGAAAATGGATACAAAGCTCTTGTCTAATTGTTACTCTGTTTTTAAGAAAGTAAATGTATAAGTTATTATACTTTATTCTAAATATACTTTTAATTATGTTCAGAGGATAGGGGATGAATACTTTAAGTATTCTCATGGTGTTTTAGTTGAGTAAATAAGACTAAATTTATAAGACTGTTCTGTTACCTTCTGACTCATCCAGTGCTTCATACTCTATTACAAAGCCTTCATAAGCTAGGTCAGAGTCTGCCACGAATCTCAGCGTTATTGAGTTGCCAGTGCTGATCAGAAAAGGTGGGAAGGAGTGTCCACAAAACCTATTCCAAATCAAGAAAAAATCGATTAAAAGGTTTAAACGCTTTTACTGTGCTTGAATTTACATACAAAAATCAGGCATGTAAACATGACAATAAATTTTAATATGTTTTTAGCAATCTTGTAAAACAAATATATTTCATACAAAATTTTTTGAGTATTACGGAAAAGTATCTGTTCATAACTTCCTGAAGTGGTTGTATGACTTACCATAAATGAGAAATGTAATAAAATTGCTACACTAGATGGTCATATAGCCTATTAATCCGTTTGCCAACAAAAATGTAATACGCATAAAAAGACAACAGAAACAATTATAAATGTATAGGTAGGTGCCACAACACAGTGGTTTAAGCTGCCCACATCACATATTAGAATGCCTAGGATCAAGTCCCAGCTCTGTTTTCAATCCAGCTTCCCCTTAAGGCACACCCAGCTGGGCAGCAGATGACGGCCTAAACATTTGGGTCCCTGATGGAATTCCTTGCTCCTAGCTTGGGTCTGTTCCAGTTCTGGCTATTGAGGACATTCAGGTGTAAACCAGCAGATAAGAGATTCTCTTTCTCTCTTTATCTCTCTCTTTCTCTCTCACTTGTTCACTGCTCTCCCTCCCCAACCTGCCTTTTTAATAAATAAATAAAATCTAAAAATGTACGGAGTACAAACTTGAGAATCGATTCTGTCACTTATAGGCAATGACAACTATGGGCAGATTGTGTGCTGCCCATGCCTTGGTGTTCCCATCTCTAAAATGAGGGTGATGATTGTACCTACTTGACGGAGTTGCTCATTAATTCGACAGATTTAACCATTCTGCAACGTAAATATACTTCATAAAATCACATTGTGTAAGATAAAAATATACAGTGTATCTGTTAATTTTTAAAGAAGATGATATAGATAATAAATGGTCAATATATTACCAGTTTTGTTCTTCTCCAAATAAAATTCTATAAAATAATAAATTCTACAAATAAAATAAAATAAATCTTAAAAAATAATAAAAGTGGGCAGCTCTGCTTCCCATCCAGCTCCCTGCTTGTGGCCTGGGAAAGCAGTTGAGGACGGCCCAAAGCCTTGGGACCTGCACCTGTGTGGGAGACCCAGAAGAGGTTCTGGGCTCCTAGTTTTGGATCAGCACAATTCTTGCCCTTGCGGCTGCTTCGGGAGTGAATCAGTGGACAGAAGATCCTCCTCTGTCTCTTCTCCTCTCTGTATATCTGATTTTCCAATAAAAATAATATAAAATAGAAAAGAAAATGTGCTCACCTCCCAAGAGATGTTCCAGAGTCAGTGTCATAAATTTCTAGGTAGTCATTACTGCAGTTATAATCAAACTGTAGATGAAAACTTTTGAACGTCAAACCAATTAGGTGACCAGGCTGAAGAAATACATGCCAGGTACAGTTGACACCATGGGGGTAGATATTTGGATGACCTGGACTTTGAATGGTGCCTCTCAACTCTGTAAAAACTTTTCCACACACTGATGAAATAAAAATTAGAACACACATCACAACAAGTAAACAGTAAGATACCAGGATTCCAAAATAAAATATGCTGTTTCTAGTCTTTAAATATCTCCAAATAAAAATGTTTCTTATGTGTTGCTTAAGATAACCTATTTTCTTGTATATAAGTATATACCAGATATATATATTGAGATTAGGAAATATATTCTTTATTATACTGTATGTGATTTCTATGTAATATTTATTACCAATATTAATTTATGCTTATGTATACATAAGAGAAGAAAGAGACAATCTCTTACCCAAATCCTCAGTACTAAATGTAGCCATAAAACCATGGTTTTCAGTAGAGGAACTTTTCACAAATGTGACATAAAGAAAATTGTATATAGACGTTATCAACGGAGGTATGTTTGTGCCACAATATTTTTTATTTTCATGGGAATCCAAAATTGAACTGTTACCAATCTAAAGCAAAAAACAAAAACAAAAACAAAAAACAAGTTTATTTCACTGGTCACCTATTTTGCAAAAATTTATGACAATAATTGCCTGATGCTTACATCTACATAGTAATAATCAATTTGTGAACACAATTTTAGAACATTTTAACTATCCTGAAAGATACTTGTCATTTGCCCATGATCAGAGTTTGAAGCAGCTGCCAATCTACTTTCTGTCTCTGTAAAGTGTCTATTTTGTACATTTGAAAAAAAATGGAATTATGCAATATGCAATATTTCATGACTAGGTTCTCTTCTGTTGCATATGATTTCAATGTTCATATATAGTTTAACATGTATCATTACATCATTGCCTTTTAATGCCACAGAGCCTTTCATTTTATGAATATGCCTATTATCTATCCATCCATCAGTTGATAATTATTCAAGCTGATTCTGCTTTTTCAATTATAAACAATGACCGTGCCTTCTACTTTATGTGTCGTTATGAATGTTAACAACTATATCTGGATACAAACTTTTGTGTGAACATATGTTACTGATTCAAGTGGTGAGTCAATGGTTAATTTTGGAGAGGCTGGCAATTGGTTTCAGAGTCAGCTGTACCAGTTGACATTCCTACCATCCCTTCCGACACTGGTATTGACTGACATCTCCATCACAGCCATCTTAGCAGATGTGATATGACATTTCACCATGGTTTTGATTTGCATTTTCCTCATAGCTAATGATGTGAAGCATCTTTTAACATGCTTATTGCTCAATTCTATATTTTCTCTAAAGAAATGTGTATTCATAACCTTTGGCCACATGCAAAATCAGATGATTTTTTAGCTTTCATAACGTCCAATTTTTCTATTTTACTACTGTTTATACCTACTTTCCATAGCTAACAAGTCTTGTTTAACCATAGGTCACAAATGCTTACCATCATGGTTTTATCTAAGAGTCGATTTTAGTTCACATATTTAAGTCTGTAATATCCATTCTTAGTTAATTTTTGCATATGGAATAAGGAAGGGGTCCAAATTCATAATTTTGCTTGTGAATATTCAGCAGTATTTATTGAAAAGCTTTTTCTCCCTCTGAGTGTTTTTTATCATGAAAAGTTGTTGGATCTTATATCTGGATCTACTGAGGTGATATTGTGTTTTTCCCTTTATTTTATTCTCCTATTAAAATTATCCCATATTAATATTAATTGATTTGTTTTTGAACTTATATCAATGTAAAAATCCAAGGATAAATCCTTCTTGGTACATGATCCTCTTTATATACTGAATTCAAGTATTGATTGGGTATTTTTGGATTAATATTCATAGAAGATATTGATCTGTATCAAAGATTATTTGTGTTAACCCATTTGCAGATATCATAACATGGTATTTTTAATAACATAAAACCAAAGTTAATACTTGAGAATTATTTAAGTCTTACCTCAACATAATCTGTTTCACAGTTGGCAGAACTTCCAAGTTCAAATGCAGTAAAGTTGAGAAGAACTACCTGACCTTGGGGTTGGAAGATGGTCCACCTACAGATCCTTTCTCCAGGATATGCATCAGGATAAAAAGGAGAGCGAATGATCCCTTCTCCACTTAATTCACCCCCACAAGCTGCAATACGAAAATGATAAATCTGAAGAGAGATGATATAATTCTTACTCTCAATTTTACTACAAAGTTTAATTTTAAGATTTTAACAGAAAGTGATATTTTTGTGAGAATATTTTTCTGGCCACTTGAATAAATTGAGAAATTAAGGTGTAATAATCAGACAATTTGAATTCAACACAAATGAAGCATAAGTTTTCTTACCAACTTGATAAACAGCTCTGAAACTAACTTTTTCAACAGAAGCATCTATTTTAAGCCTGATCCAGATAATATTAGTAATGGATGTAAAATGAGAGAGGGTTTCATTGTCACAAACTTTTCCAAGTAATATTTTATCATCTCGAACCTAAAAAAATTAAAATAAAATAGATCTGTAATCTCAATCAAAATTACCATGGCAGTGGTGACATTTAGAGACAGGGGAATGGCAGCTTCAAAGTGCCAATGAAATTGGAGGTGCATATGGAATTCCTATCTGAAATCAATCAGTGATTTAACACACAACAATAATAAAATCTTAATTCAAGAAAATCCAAACATACCAGAATTTTAAATGTATTCTAAGAATTTCTATAATTGCAAAGAGGAAATAAATCTAAAATTGTAGACTACTTAGAAAATAACAAAAAACAATACTGCATACCAAAGTAAACACATCTCAGACAAATCTGTAATCAAGGGAGGTCACAGAATCAGTTGTTTTCACTATTTGTGGAAAAAAAAAAATGAAAGAGATAAAACAGAGAGCCTAAGGAGTCAGCTTCAAAAATTAGGAGTATCTGTCATGGGGTGGGGGTGGGGGCTATTTAATATGAATAATAAAGTAAAAAAATAAGAAAAACAAAATTCAAAAAAAAGCATTCATAAACACATTTAGAATTGTTTTCCTGTGTGATACTGGGAAATGGGGACATAAAACAAACATTTCTAGCCAGTCTGATAAAGAAAACAGAATACTTCCCAGTAGATGTTTCTCAAACCTGAGACAAACAGGAATTATCTAGTTGATGGGGAATATACAGTAAAGGAAAAATGCTGAAGTATGATATTCAAAGATGTTGGGGATATGTGATAAAGTTATCACCCATAACAGGTAAAAGTTTAAAGCTCTGGAAAACAATTGGAAAGTACGTTTTGGAAACATTCTACTTCTAGCATTCTATAATAAGAATGAGAAAGACGCTGACAAAGCCTGCATTTTGACAGATCCTCATCAACATATGTTCTATAATACTGAGAACTGAAGCTATTTTAAAGGGCTAATAATAGAGAGATGATTAAATCCAGTATAGTTCGGTCATATGACAGTCTCACACAGACATAATAAAGGTCAAATGCCATACCATTGACTCACACCCATACCAGTTCTTTTCTCTGAACTCTTACATCACCTACAGTACAAGTTTAATATACTATAGTAAAGTTATACTACATTTCTCTCTAATTATACAACATACCTCCAAGGGGGAATATTCCTGTACTCCCTTCGGGCTCTAACAAAGAACTCTGCAAATCTATACTTGAAAAATTCCTGTTGGGTCATGTATTCTTGTTGGGTCAAAAATTCTTGTTGGGTACATTATGATGATTCAGTTTTTGTTAGAGGAGCAGACATACCACAGTTCTTGGAAAACAGAAAGCAGGGCACACAGTATTAAATTATCTCCCTTCTCTCTGACCCTCCTGGGTTCTATCTGCTTCTTCCAAGCCTGCAGTCTATTTTGGCTTATCCATTAGAGAATGAGAAGGGAAGGAGAAGAAGAAACAGCACTAGAGTAAGCCTAAGTGGAGTATTCCTCTGGGTCCCAACTAATGAAATTCAAGGACTCTCACAAGGAGGAAGGCAGCTGCAGTCCAAATGTTCTAAGAGGAACTTACAGGGCTCAAGGGCCCTAAACCTAGAAGGTACAATTGATTTTGGCTCTGTTTCTTTCTCTCTGTGAAAATTAAACCTTATTAAATCTGAAAACCTATATTCTCCATGGATCCCAGATGCTGCAGTACTTTAACCACAAACCTTTTGAAAAAGATATTAAAATAAAACTTGTCCAATGCTTTAACTTACCCTAAAAATACTATTGCAATACAATTTGCATCAAACATTCTAGGATTTGTGAATTTGTAGCCCTCTCAAAAATAAACAACTCTTTCTTTTGCCATATGAACTAGAATTAAAGCTCATATTTTTCATCATTATTCACTTCCTCCAGGTAGGAGAAATAAGTATCTGTCTCCCTTGCCCATGTTACTTGCTCTGTCTCACTGACTATGTGCTCTGCCAAAGGAATTGTCTTCCCTGACAGAATGTGAGCAGAAATGATAAAGTCATTTCCAAATAGAAGATTCAAGAGTTTCTTCATGATTCAACTAACTTTAACTCTTCCCTTCACAAGATCAAGAACCTGGGATCCAGAACAGTGAAGGCATAGAAAGAAGTAATAGAGCTGTTGAACAGAACTGATTAAAACCAATATGCTATCATGGGCAGAAAACAAATATGTGTTGTAAGCCACAGGAGTGTTTTGTCACAATTTTAATTTGTTTGGTTAGCCTCACTGTTTGTTATCACAGCTTAAACTTGACTTATAAGACTATTATTTTAACTTGATTTATAGGAATAGTTTGTTTAAGCAGTCAAGTGAAATCATGCCATCATCACTAATGGGAGGTTAACAACAAATTCATGAAATTAGTAGAGTACACTTGAGAAAATATGACAGTGATGAATTTTGGTGTTCTGGGGACCAGGTCCATACATCTCAAAAATTGCCTTATTCATGTAGCAAGCATTGAATGATTTCAGCCAAGAATCCTAATGCTTAATTTACGACTCAGGATTTTTATCCAGTGAGTATTGTGGCTTCTGATTTTTAAATGCATAAATTGAACTAGTTCACCAAGAGGAAATTCTTATAAAAAACCAGAGTAGTTATAAAGAAATGGCTTCTTATACACTTTCCTCAAATCAACTAAATTAAAAAAAACACAACTTACATGTAACTTTAAGTGTAAGATTAGAAATAAATAAATAGTAAGCTTTAATACAGAAATGGATCAGGTCCCAAAACTACTTCTTAATGCATGTTTTTAAATTTTTGCCATGTATCCAGATTTATTTTTTATATTATAATATTTTAAATCCCTTAAGTATTATATTTTAATGGAAAGGAAATCCGTTATGCTGGCACTGGCACATGGTCCATCCAAAAGCTTAAAACAGTGCACTACCATGTGGCAGGGTTTAACAGGTGGTCTTGTGTGAAATGAGCGGTTGATACGCTCTCTTTAGCTAAGTAAAGACTTGATTTTTGAAATTAGCTTTGGGATAATATAAGTAGGGAACACAGGGATGTAACCCCACTATAACTGAGATTAAGAATTAAAAGCTAGAGATGAAAGAAGCCGGATAAGGACTAAAAATTATTTGGGGATATGGTGTGGTATGATGCAATAATCTCCTTTGTATTTTAAGTTATTTACTTATTTTCATTCAATTTTGAAAGGCATAGAAACAGACATAAAGAATTCTTCCAAGCACTTGTTTGGTCACCACATGCCCTCAATGACCAGGAATGAGCCAAGCTAAATATTGGAACTCTGAACTCAATCTGTGTCTCACAGGTGAGTTGAAGCAATGTAGCCATCACTTGCTACAGTTCCTGGTGTTGGTTAGCTTAGCAAGAAGTTGGAAAGGAAATAAAGCAACTAGGATTTAAAAAATCATAACCAGGACTAGAAAATCAGGCACTCCAGTACCGTTGTGGGTGTCCAACACAAGAACTTAACAGCTTCACTAAAGGTATCCTTTTGTCCCTGCATTTCACAGTTTCATGGTCAACATTTTAAAGCTTTTTTTATGTCTCATGAAATAGTATTCCTTCTAACATCTGTAGCAAAATTTGTCTTGTATCAGATTCTTAAACATTTATTTCCTAAAACTAAAAGAAATGTGTCTATTTTTGCCTGTAAGGGTCTCATGCATGATTATAAACTCCAGTTCTCATCTTTTCCCCTTCTCCCTCCACACTTTGGCAATATTTTTTATCTTGAAGATACTACCAGGGAGTTAGTTCTCCCAGGTAATGTCTCACAAGTTTTAATATATAAATTTCCTGTTTTTCATTTTGCAAATAGTCTTTCATTGCATTTTTGTTTACTTCTTAATCCAGTAATTATTTAGGAGAGAATTGATAGAGTTCTATAAGCCTGGTACTTTCACTGGTTTTATCAATCATTTCTGTTTGTGTTTATTGTAAACAGATGCTTAGTTGGCATTAGGAACTTACTGAAGTTGTGATGGAAGTTGAAGATGTGGTTAGTTTGTGATTCAACTTCACTTGTACATCTGACTTCAGAAACCAAATTCAGTGTATCATACTAAACATATTTCTCAATTTTATATGACATATGTGTCTGTTTTCCATGTTAAGAAGAAACAATTTCCCATGACCAGCTTTTCTTGTAGTACTCCTTTGTCAAATGTCCCTGTCCTTGGGTGAAATAGCAGATTTCAAGTTTAAGAAGATGTGTAGGGGTGATTAATTCTAACCATTTTCCTCTCTATCTGATTTCAATCCTGTGCCTTTTACATCACCTAGTTTCTGAATTTACTATTCAGCATACAAATAACATTGTCTGGGACTGAAAATTAAAGTTTCATCACTACTTCAATATGTCTTTCGCCCAGTGTTCTGAGGGCTTAATTCACTCATAAAGTATTCATGAGAGGTGCTGCTTTTTATTCGGGAAAGATGCGCCTATCACATTCATAGAGCTCTTCTCTACGATATAAAAGCTAACAGTTGATCTGTTCTTTTTGTTAGTTTGTAACTACATTCACTTCTTCCATTGGCCAATATGTTTGTAAAAGCAAAAATTGTAGCTGAGATAGATATAAAAATATAAGAACTAATACCTAAATTGTTCTTCCTGTTTAAAAAAAAAATAAAATAATAAAATAATAAAAAGATCTGCAGCCCTGGATCTTGGCAACATCATATTTATTTTTTGGAGTTAAATCTTGTTCGTAAGTTAGTGTATAGGGGTTCTCTTACTGAGCATTTAAAGGAAGTCTTTCAAGAACACATTATGCTTGAAAGAAATATACCAAACAATGGAATTTGAATATTCATTTAAATGACATGTTTGCTTAGCAACAAGGCATCTGGGACCACATAATGGGAAAATTCAGGATTCCCAGGAGTGCCACCTATTCATACTCAAAAGAAGCTTTCTAACTATTCTCTTTCTCTCTATAATTCCCTCTCTGCTCTTCTCTCTAAAGTTTTGAGTAGTATACTTTCTCTCATAAATAGTAAATAACAATCATCCCTCTTCTCTATCATCACAATTTCTGATGCACCATCATTCTTTTTTAATTTTTATTTGCTTAAAAATTACAACTTCTAAGTATAGCTATTCATAATGAAAACACGGCCCAGCATGGTAAAGGCACTATTTGCGATGCCAGCATCCCAGTGCATACCAGTTTCTTTCACTGCTGCTCCGCTCTGATTCAGCTCTCTGCTAAAGACTTGGAAAAAGCAGTGGAGGATGCCCTGTGTTTGGCCTCTTATAACCTGTATGGGAGATTCCGTAGAAACTCCTGGCTCCTGGGTTCTTCCTGGCCCAGCCGTGGCCATTGTGCCCATCAGAGGGGTGAACCAGTGAATGGAAGACTGATCTCTCTTTAAATCTCCTTCCCTCTCTTTTTCTGTCCCACTTGCTCTCTCTGTATAACTCTTTCAAATAAATAAATAAATATTTGTTTTAAAAAGGAAATGATATTTTGGGAAATAGTGCATTTATAGCTACTTTTGGTTCCTATCACTTTATTCCATGATCCTTATATAAAGAACATTAAGACAATTAGATGTATTTTTAAAAAATCTATTGCACAAATTTTTCTAGTGAGTACAGATTATTTGATATAAGGACTTTAATATAAGTCAAAATATATCTATCTAGACAGCTAGGAAGATATACCTAAGTCTTACTTGGTCAGTAAGAGTTTGATAGTTGTGGGACTCAAATTTCTCATTTAAAAGTGATGATATTCTCCTTACAAAAACCATAGCACAGAGTTAGTTTTCTGAAGGAGCGTAACCTTCAGAAATAATTAAAAGAACCCTCTAAAACAGCAGTTCTTCAATGCTTTAACATAAACCTCCACCACTGACCAGCTGGGTCACTTTAACTAATCTGAGTTGAGGTCAATCACACATAAAATGATCCTGTACACTCTGAGACCTTTACCTGTTAGTCAGTCCTATTAGCCTTACTTATTTACATTTCCCTTAGCTACTAGGAGTCAAATTCATAGCCTGAAATTTAGCATCCTCATCAGTTTCAACTTTCAGCCTTTCTTTTTGTTCTCTATTGATGCCCTATTTACCACTTAAGCTGTGTTTTAGGCCACTTGCCTGATATTCTCTAGACCAGTTGTTCTCCAAAAGGAACCCACATCAGCATCACCTGACAGGTGAGTTTTTATCACAGATCAATAAAAAACCCAGGAAAGAGGGGGTTGTAGGAGCTGCTGAAACAGATTACTGAGACCAACCCACAGAAAGGCTGACTCATCACGTCTTGGATAGGGCATCCAGTTGCACCTCTAACAAGCTCTCAGATGATCTGGATGCTACTGACTGACAACTGAAGACAGGACATGAAAGTTGATGCACATATTTAAGAATGACTGAGAAGTCAAACTTACCTCAAGGTAATTCTGAGAGCAGCCGCCCTGGCCCTCCAGTTCCAGGCCAGTGAAGTTGACTTGTATCTTCTCTCCCTGGGGCTGCCTTATAATGTAGATACATTGCCTGCTGTGAGCGAAAGGCCCAGACAAGCCAGGAAGGAGGAGCTCGCCTTCTGGGTCTGTGTAGTTCCCTCCACAAGGCAGATCCACTGAGGAGAAAAAAAAAGAGGACAATCATATGGATGTCTGTGCTTCAGCTTCCCAAGGACTGGAGCCAGTTTTTAAAAATCCACACACCGGGGTTGGTGCTGTGGCATTATGGGTGAAGCCACTGCCTGTGGTGCTGGCATCCCATTTAGGCAATGATTCAAGTCCCAGATGTTCCACTTTCAATCCAGCTCCCTGCTAGTGTGCCTGGGAAAGCAGTGGAGGATGGCCCAAGCGCTTTAAAATGCTTCTGGCTCCTGGCTCAACACACCCACCTGGCCACTGCAGTCATTTGGGGGAATCTCTCTTCTGTCCCACCCTTGTTCCCTTTCTGTCACTTTGCCTTTTGCAAAGATAAATACTTTTTTTTTTAACAAAAATTCACACACAGAACATGCCCATTTCATTCACCCTGAACATAAGCCTCTGATAAGGCTTTCATTTTGACATGTTTGTGGGACTTTGGTGTAGAGCCTAAGAAGCAGAGGTAAAGATGTGTAATCCAACTTCCAATCCATTAACCTGTTCTGTAAATTGTTTTGAAATTTTTAAATTGCTTTTGAAATACATGTTTCACTATAAAAAATATTTGAAGTAGTTTATAACAACATGTTTAAAAATAAATATGTAACCACAGAACTGAAGCAGATTAAAGGAAAAATAAATACAAGATAGTCAGATGTGGTCAGGGAAAAGTTCCTTGCAGATGAGACAGCTTTGAAGGGTACAAAAACGACAGGAATTTGTCTGTAGATACAACCTGATGCCAAAACGACTGGAGAGGGACCAGTTAATACGTTCATAGTTATCTTTTCCTGGATCTGAAATTTAAAGGGTGTTTTCCTGTGAATTCTCATTACAGACACAATGATTTATGCCGTGAATAAAATTCTCAACCCCACTAAAAGACAATGGAGCATTCAATTGTTTAGCTGTAAAATATCAATGCATGTTGAAGGTATCATAGATAGTAGTATTCCTTTGGGATTAAAACTGTAGTCCGTATGTACCTAGGGTCCTGAAGAACTGCTCTGTACAGCTAGACTCGATCCAAGGACAAAACCTCTGTGTCTCAATGCTATGCATTACACACATAAACAACAACTCTCAAACAAAACAAAATTTTAAAAAGGAACAAATCACAGTAGAAACCTGATGTTCTGATTTTTTAAAATTTAAGTTTTACATATCACTATCATGATGTGGACTTCACAATTTAGAAATTGAGAGGTATTATAGAATTAATAATGGAGCATTGGAAAAATAAAGAGAAAAATCTATACATATGGAGAAATATTTATAAAAGCATGTTATTAGTCTAAGAAAATATATTCAGCAATGTATTACACTAGGAAACTCTTTCAAATGCACTTGAAACTTCCACTTAGTGTTTACTTACGAGGTGATTTTAAGTAGGTGATAAGGAAGCCTTTATCACTGGTTTGACTGTCAGAATGGAAATGAATTCTGGCAAAGGGACCGGTGGTCTGGAGTGGTTGGACAGAGCCAGTGCTGCAGAACTTGCCAAGAACGGGGTCCTGAGGCAAAGGTCCATCTCGAATCTAAAAACAAAACGCAAAGTAATTGTCAACACAATCATTTATGTAATAACCAGGAAATTGGGCAGTGGGGACAGGGAGTGATTGCTCTAGGAAGTTTATCCAACATTTATGTGTCTAATATATTATTAAGGCTCAGTAAAGATGGGGCTCTCATCCCACCATTCAATTCCAAGACTGCATGTATACTTTGGATTTCCTCATGCTACTAATCCCAGTGATTTCTTTCCTAGGTTTTTTATTCCCTGGATGTGAAATTTGAAATTATAAATTCCTAAAGGTCTAAAAGAAGAAAAGAAATATATACAAATAGAACAGAAGAAGAAATGTTAGCAGTGTTAATTCATTCATAACTTGGTCTAGCTACTCAGAAAGCTCCAAGGTAGAAAAGGAAGTACAGCTAGATGCAACATAAACATGCTTTAATGCACTTTAAAAGTACAACATTGATCATGATTAAGTACCTCACTAATGACAATGTGGCCTTAAAAATTCTTTTTAATTGCTGATTTTTAGTCCATTAAATAATCATATTGACCTCCATGTAATTCTTCTGTAATTTAAACTGCATTATATAGAACACAAAGGAACTGATGAATCAGACAATATTTTAATATGGATAATTATGTCCTTCTACGTTATTCTTTTTTTCCTCAGCAGCAATATTATGGGCCATTTTATTTTATTCTTATATTTATTTAGTTCCTTGAAATACTGTAACTTGGCAAGAAATGAGAGACACTTTAATATTGTCAAAATGATTGATACAGCTTATTACGTATTATCTAGAATTCAATTAGTAGGAATGGAAAAATGCCTCCAATTTTAATTTGATGGAATTTATTTAAAATTAATTACTTTTAACATTTAAAAGATCCTTTTTTTGCTGAAAATTTCCAGGGAGATATAGATCTTGCAGCCATTCTCGAAAGTTTTAAATCCATTATTACATCTGTTAAATTACTCATGACTTCAATGTGTGAAGACCTCATTTGACAGCTGCATCTTTAGTCTTTATAAATAATTCCATTGCACTCCATTCTTCTCTAATGGACCTAGGAAAGCATGTTGTCTTCTTAACAAGGAGCACTTAGATTTATGACCATTAAAAAAAATACAGGAACAACCTAAAAACTCAATCTTGTCAAGGACCTTTGTCAATCCACAAATGGAGAGCAATATTTCTGATACACTTCCTTGCAGGAGCTATTTGAATATAACAGGCTTTTGCCTTCCCTGGATTTTAATACTTTTACATTGTAGGCAGGAAGGCATTCAGGCTGACTTTTCTTCTTTCAGGCATAATTATCAACCAATTTCATTGGGTCGTTTTTTATGAACCAATTCAACATAATCAATTTGAAGTTATTTTATATGAAATTCTGTAAGCCCAATTGTGAAAGTCCAAATGCCAGTTTGATACAGACAACTGCAGATTTAAATCTGCCCAATATGAGATGGCAATTAGATGCAACTGGAGGATATCATGTTAAGCGAAATAAGCTGACTCAAAAAGACAGATGTTGCATGCTTACCTAATACATAGAAGCTAAGATTTAGAAAAACAATGATGATAAAAAAAGGAAAGAAACCTCTCTATCAGTAATGCTGCAAACACAAATTTTTAAAACTCTATTTTGTAACTTTGTCAAACTAATGGTTAAGAATGTTATACTTGTGTAGTTTTAATGATCTGTTATTACTTTAAAATTTACCATTTGTTGGTGAAATGACCAATGTTTTCATTGAATTGCTGCTTATAGCTGGTGTCTGTATTCCCACTGAAAGGACTCTTTTTGCTTTTTACCTATTGAACCTCATATTTGGTGAAGTGTTACACCTTTTTACTGTAGTGTAAAATTTAAAATACATTACTCCAAAACCTAAGAGAGACAGAGAGAGAGAGAGAGAAGGAAAAAGGATAGGAGGGAGACAGGAAGGCAGAGAGGAAAGAAATATTATACAGATCACACTAATTGGCCATTACTTTGGTGTCTGTCTCATTAATTCTGCCTTACTCCTGTCGGAAGCCTGGGATTCCAGGATGAGACAGGAAAAGGCAATACTGTTCCCAGGTCAATCAGATCCCTGAATATCAGCAAGCTCTCAAAATTAAGAACTTGATACAAAGGACATATTGTCATGTAGTGGTGTAATTCAGTGAAAACAATATTTGTAACTGTGTGTATAACAAATAAGGTGACATACAATTTTTATAGTTCCTTTATATATTAACTTCCATATATGAGAGAAAATATATAATATTTATCTTCCCATGTCTGGCTATTTCACTTAGCAAAATGATCTCATTCATTTTGCTGCAAATGTCAGGACCTCAGGGTAATATTATATCACATAAGTAGCACACATTTCCTTTATCTACAGCAAAATGCTAAAAGTATTTAATATTAAAATAAATATAACAAATTCTTCAGGACAATATTTATATCCTCCATAAATATATGCAATTATTGTCAATAAGATATTCTTAATGTTTTGGGAAAACAAAATATAAGACAAAAACTAATTTAGTAAGTGTTGGCCATTAGTTGCCTATTGAGAAATAGAACTACATGCCATCCCTGGGCATGTCCAAGCCACAATGTGCTGAATCTTAACTCTGCTATGGTCTGTGGCAGCCAAGCAGGATTGCTTACCTCCAGGTAATCTTTGCTGCAATCATCATGGTGTTCCAGGCTCACGGTCCCAAAGGTAAACGTTATCAGGAGACTAGGACTGCTCACTATTGTCCAGATACAATCTCTTCCTGGGGGATAGTTACCAGGATATCCCGGAGACTTGATGGAGCCATAAGTATCAATTAGTTGACCTCCACACTCTAAAATAAGAGGAAAAAATAGCTTTAGCATTGTATCTAGGCTATAATTCATGTAGAATTCTCACAGCCCTTGCTGTAAGAAGCTAAACTTCATTCAAATAACACCAATAACATTTAAATAACAATTTTGAATACCCTTGTAAGTTAAGCAAGATCTTCAGTTACCCGGTTTCATAAACTTATAAATTTAAAAGTCCCATGAGTAAATGAATCACTCATGTGTGAGCTCTATACTTATAAACAATTATACAGGGAAACAATTTAAAACACAGGGACCTGGTGTTGTGGCACAGCAGTTTAAGCTATCACTTAATCCATATCTGAGCAACGGAATCTTTCCTACTCCATTTCTCATGTGGCTTCCTGCTAATGCCCTTTGAGAGGCAAGAGAAAATGAACCAAGTACTGGGGCCCCCTTCGACTCATGTGGGAGATCAAAATGAAGTTCCTGACTCCTGGCTTCAGCCTGACCTAGAGCTGACTCTTGTGGCCATTCGGGGGAGTGAACCAGTGATAAAAGATCTCTCTCTCTACTTGAACTCTCTACTGCTGATCTGTCTACTGCTAAAGTACCCGATACCCTTGTGGGAACATACCGGGATGGATTTCCTATCTCCTGGAGTAATCTTAACTCAGCCCAGCTGTTGAGGCCATTTGGGAAGTGAATCAGCGGACAGAATTTCTCCTGTTTACATTCTCTCCTTTCTCTCTTTTAAATAAATAAATAAATTCTTTCGAAAAACAAGAAAAAGAGCTCAATAAACAGAGCCCATGCTAAAGGATAGGTGAGTTCATTTCTCCCCAAGTTAATTACAGATTCAAGCCAATGTCTACAAAATGCCAGCAAGCTGTTGAGGAAATTGATAAGTCAACTCAATAACATATATGGGAATGCAAATAATCTGACACATTTAAAAAGAACACAGGAGTTACTCTAGCAGATATCAAGCTTCACTAATTAAGCCAAGGTGGCATTGCAGACATTCAAGGAGTGAACAAGCAAGTTTGTTCTCTCTCCTTCCAAAAAAACACATATTTTAAAAATGCTGTTCAATCATTTTATGACACATGCTTTGTGACTCCTTGTACTTCATCTGATTTTTGTTTTTGAACACAAAATGAAATTCACTTCATTCTGATGTGCACAATTGTAACATAATCAATAAAATTTGCTCTTATTCTCTCCATGTTTGTATATACCTGGCTGTTGTGTTTCCCATCTTACTGTAAAGCCTCTTCCACTTCTTAAATGATCAGAATAGAAATGAAAATAGAGGGCATTGTCACTGCTGACAAGTTTTTGAGGGGGGCTGGAGCCACAGAACTTTCCAAGGTGCAAGGCTGCAGAAGACTCCCCATCATGAATCTGAAGAAACTCGTGTGGACAGTCGTTCTCTGAATCCAGTTGGAAAAACGTGAAAGTGATTTGCAAGACCTAAAAAACAAAACAAAACAAAACAAAACAAAAAACCATGTTATCTTTCGTGTGAATCTAAAAATATTTTCCCACTAAGTAACATTTTTGTTGAGTAACTTTTGAGATACATAGATGGCACTTATTTCATAAGCATCCACCAATACAGATAGCAATTCTACATATTAAAGAGCTTACACTAAAAATAATTAAGATGTAAATATCAGTTAATATCAGTATTTTTAAAAATTTGTTTAGCTAGACTTCATTACATTGTAAAATCTATCAGAGAAAAAAAATCATTTCAAATGTATAGCTGACAATGTTTAGAAATAAAAAAAATAAATTCATCGAAATCAACACACACAAAAATCTATACTGCAATTCTCTGTATGACCCATAATGTATCTTTCTTTATCAGCAACACCCACACTCATCCTCAGCCCCAGGCTATGATTCCATAGGGTTCTCACACTCACAGCCCTGACTGACACACAGATGCAGGATGCATAGCCATGGTATACGCACGGTATACACGTATGTCAAGTCTGCATGTCTCCAGGGTTTGTGTGTCATTCAGGGATTAATTGAGTACTACGCGTAGAGAATGGGAAGAAAGTAATAAAAGTATTGGGAACACAGGTAGGAGAGAATAAGCCAAAAAATATGTCCTGAAGCCAAGTGTGAGAATAGGAGAATAGACAGAAATTAAATTGAGTAATACATCTGATAAAGTAGAAAAGATGTTACACTGCTGACCTCACTTAAAATAATCAAGCAACCAAAATAAAGCTGTTGAATTTAATTGTCATTAGAATCTAAAGTCAAAAGATATGCAATTAGTTAAAAACAGAATATCACAATTTTCGTGAAATTCTATGCCAGAATATTTTAAGACCTGTTACCCATATTCGTATCATTTCTCTCTCGCAGCTTCTAAATGAAAATCAAATAAATGTTCACTACTTGAGCTATCCTTATCTGCATGTATTTTCTATTCTTTTCTGTACATTATAGTGGGGAGAACATGTAAAGCCACAATAATTAAGACAAAATAGGAAACGTTTCCTTACAAATTGGCAATAATCACATGAAAAGCTTTTCACATACAAATTTCCTCATGAATGAATTTTTTTTTCAATGTCAGGAAATAAATTGATTTAAACTAAATGGAAGGAAGGAAATTCACATAACAGAATCAATGAGAAATTTATTTTGGAATGTGTTCCATTGTGGAGTTATCAATCTCTAAACAGCCTCCCTCCTCAAGGGAAAAGAATGTTTCCTGACCCTCATACTCATGGCTTCCACAATGCTAGTTTACAGCGACGTTAGTAGGACTGCAAGGGCAAATGTTATCTATTTAGATAGGCCACTTCATTTAATTTGTCCAGAAGTTGGCTGAGAAGCAATTACTTTAAAAAGCCTGAGGAATTAACCTTGGGGATAAAAATATTAAAAGTTTTGGGCTGAGACCTTAATTTGAAGTGTTGCTATCACAGCTCAGCATCACGATCTCTTTGAAGTCAGTGGCCTGCTTTCCATCACTGCATATCGTTACAAAACACATGCACCTGGACAAGTTTCTGAACTGCTCCAGGGTGCACTTCCTTGTCTTTAAAATTACACCTAATTTTCATGGCTAAAAATGTTTAAAATTGCAATGATATATCTAAAATATTTATCATAGTATTTGGAAAAAATAAGATATTTAATAAGAAGTCGTCTTAATCCCAGTTACCCTATTTGCATAATTGTCAACAAAATGCTGGAGTGATCATTTTCAAACAACAGTGTCTCAGTAATATTACTTTAGAAATTACCTACTGGCTTATAGCCATCCAACCAGTGTATTGAGTCATTCATACTGGACAAAGCATGGACTTAGAAAAAACATTTGATCTTGCAATTCATTATCCCAATTACAACTTAAGGACTATTTTTAGAAAGTTATATGGCTTCATTTAATTTATATTATTTTATTTCTAAAATTAGGATATTTTTTAGTTTAAAGACAGTATTACGTTTGAGAAAGTTAGGCAAAATGTCTAGCTCAAAGCTTGGCACTACAGCATTCAATAAACAGTAGCTGAAAAGCCATTACATGTACTTTATGTAATGTGTGTACATGTTTTCCATTTTACATAATAATAGAATATACATTTGCAAGGGTATGATAATGTGGTAATATTTACCTTTCCATCTTCAGTTCGGATAACCCAGAAGCATCTGACATTACTGATATGACCAACATCAGGGCTCTTGTAGGTGAATGTTCCATTCAGCCCTGAGAGGGACCCTCCACATACTGTATGTAAAAGAAAAAAGTAAGATAAATGGTGCCTCCCTGGAAAAAAGTGGGCAAGTCTAGCCTGCTGCTGAAATACTCAGGAAAGTCTGACTCCTTCATATGGGCCATCCCCTTTTCTCTATGGACACTCACTCAAATTCTACCACTTGATTTCCTGATCGTCTTCCACATGTACCTCACCTGACTGCTTGCTTTGGTCCCTATTCTCTATAATTCCATGATACTTAACCTTATGCCCACATAATTCAGTTCACATATTTCTTTTGTTTAGCTTGTCTCTTTATTTCATGCGCTTTTCTCAGCTGGAAGGTAAGGAGTCAGGAAATGGAAAAAATTATGTCTGCTTTTATATTTCTCCATGGAGTCTTCCATCATCCCTCAACACAATGGAAACATCTCATAATGTGTTAATTCAGAATAAGGAGTAAGGAAAGACAGCTGGGAATAGTCAGACTGAATGGCAAGTATTACTGAGGAACAGATATGGATAACAAGGAAGGGGTCTGGGAGGACTGTGGCAATAAATACGTCAAATGAAAGAACACATTAGAGACACTCACGGTAGTAAGGAGCAGGTTGAGGAGCAGAAGGAAAAATGGACTGCCTAAGTGGGAGTTTATTAGTGAAAAATAAGCTTGGGTGGATAGGGTGAGGGCTGATTATTGAGAATGGTGAAAAACCATCCCAATTTTTATTTAACAAGCAATAAGGAGCTGCCATATATTCTACATTAGGAGAGTTACATTATCAAATTATTGAACATAGTATTTCAGAGAAATTGATTGCTATACAGAAAACTTTCTTTTAAAAACTATAGAAGCCAGTACCTTATTTTATATCCAGAAAAGAAATACTGAAAATACCAAATACTAATCCAGTTTTTCTACTGAATAAAAATTCTTACAGCTTAAACTGAGATTTACAGATATTTGCCCTGCGAACTCTATACCATTACTGCAAGGAAAGACAGTTCTTTGCATCTGAGCAACTGGACAAGAAAGTTGGGCAGACTAGAGAATCTGCAAAAGAGTTTTAATTCTGAACAATTAGTATCTGTGACATAAGAAATGTTAATCATACCTTGCTGGGAAATCTGACAGTGAGATCCAGTCCAAGAACTTGTACATTCACAACTAAATGTGTTAACGCCATCAACACAAGTTCCTCCATTCAAACAGGGGTTGCTCAGACACTCATTGATGTTTTCTGTGCAGTTGACACCAGCCCAGCCTGATTCACACTTACATGAATAACCAGAGGCAGTTTCCTAAGGGAGGAAAAAATGCATGAAACCATAAAACAAGTGGATATACGATAAATTTGAATTAGTCCAAAAAATTAAGAAGAATGATCTATGTGATATCTTTAACAAGAGTTGAATCATATCTTTCCATAGTGAAACTTTCAATAAAGTTTAAATGGTAATTGATAAGCTTAAGTGTCAGATTTATTTGGATCAAACTTCAGCCTTTGGTTCCTGCTTGTAACTGAGACAAAAAATCAGCTCATTGATGTTCTCTGGAAACGAAAATGAATACCTTTTATCTAAGTGTTATTGACTGTTCTTTATTGTACCTTAAAATTGATGAAGCATTTTTAAGCATTTTATGATAGAAATATTTTAAGTATAGTTAAAATTATTCTCAACTAATCTAATCGTATAGAAAGAGCAAAAGACTTACAATGCACTGTCCATTCAAACATGGGTGGCTGAGACAAATGTTGCTGAGTTGCACACATCCATTTGGCCCATAACCATTTCCTGTATATCCTGGGAGACAGGTGCATACCGGTAAGGAACCTGTTTTGAAACAAAAGTGGAAACATAAATAAATGACTACCTGGATGCAGATTTAACTAAACTTTGGCTATGTATATAGGTAAGATTCCATCAACATCAAGTGTACACATTCCCATGGGCACACAGATCAAGGTAGAAGAGAAAATATTAGAATCTTTAATTTTCATTTTAATCTTAAAATAAGAATTCATTAATTGATCCCAATATTTGACGTGTGGTTTGACATGTGGTAGAACCAGGCAGAAGAAACAGAAGTCGTATTTGTCTAGAAACCATTCATCTTACCATAACTGAGTGTTATCAATCATATAATAAGCATTTAGTGACAAATGTGTGTTTATATATATATACATATAAAGGCATACACAATATGTATATGACAAATTAGTAAAAAAAAAAAAAGTAGGTAAGAAATATTCAATAAACAGAGTCGGATCTATCAATTTGGACAAATGTATGTCATAAGTTAAAAATAAATTCTAAAAAGATGAAAGATCTTTATGGTAAACAGGTCATAAACGTATTTAAAAAAGTGTACTTTTTTATAAGAAAGTGTTTTGAAAGCTCTGCATTGTACTAAGGGCAAATGATAAGAGAAAAGATGTATCTTTCTGATTATTTATATAAAAAAGTAAGATTCTAAATAGAAAATACTACCAAAAAGTTAAAAGGAAAAAGTACATGCCAGGAGAGATGCAAAGCATAAGACAGATAATGAAATGATATCTTTAACAAAATTTTAAAATTCAATATGAAAACAATTGAGCAAAAGGATAACAAGTAGAAATTAACACAAAACATGTTGGTTGCTGCTCTTGAACCATTTCTGCAGAACTAGTCCCTTATTTCAGCTGCATTCAGGATGCCTGAAACATAGACTATACTTCATAGCCTAAAGGTAGCCAGGTTTGGCTATATGACTCTGCTCTAGCCAACCACATAGATATGGAAGAATTTGTAAGGGGAATAGCATTTCCAACTTGCTCCTGCTCTCCTTTCTGTTCACTGCAAGATAGTCTTGAGTTAATAGCTGGCTTAATTACCTTGGGAAATAACTCTGAAATTAGACAACATTATTAAAGACCATGGACAACTGTATTTTTTTTAAAAATCACAAATGTAGAGTTTTATAGCACGGGGCAATTTTTTGTTTGGTCAGCATAAGAGTTTTGAAAATAGGGATTGTGCTTTAAAAGTGTTGCACTGTTCTAGAGGGCCACATTAGAACACTGGAAGCCAAGGAGAGCACTGCAACATTACCTAGACCCGAGGAGCATGATGCCTCGGGGTGGCAGCCTCCATTACTGACTGAGCAGATGTCTATGGGAGTGCACGTTCTTCCATCTCCCTGGTATCCTGGAACAGAACAAGTGGGCGTGAGAAACAGTGCTGACAAGAGGGCGGAAGGAGAATGCCAGTCTGAGAATGAGACCAAGCAGAGATCCTTTCTCATCACAACAGAAGACATTGGTATGAAACATCGTACGCATTCCCATAATTAAGAAAAAGAACAATTAGGTCTTGATAATCTGACTTCATAAACAATATTCAGGGTTGTTTTCTAATGATAAAGCAAAGTGTGTTGGTGGCCTCAGAAAGTGCTGACGCTGAAGAAGTTGTCGTCTTACCATTACAGTGACACTGTCTTTCTTAGAGGTAAATTGCTACGTGAGTCCAAAGTACTGTTGCTTTATGTTGTTAAGACACATGAGGTTTTAGTTTATCCCTTATAACTTCCTGAATTTCTTGGATAGAAACGTCAATGAGAGAACAGCAATGATGACATTCTTGCAGAAGGAAAAAGAAGCTAGCCCATGAAATATACCTAGTACTGCACTCATAACTTTGTGAACTTTATGTGGAAACCATCACAAAAGGGTACTGCATTAATCAATTATTTGTCAGAACGCAGGAGCAATAAGCCTATCATGCACAAAGAAAAGAAAATTTCAAATTCCTCATGATCTCAATGACTATTTCAGCTTGTAAAGATTGGTTTCTTTCCATTCATATTTAAAATCTTTCATTTCTTTTTTATAATATAGTTGTACTAATGTACCCTGAATCTACAAGTAAAGCTTCTGTACCATTCAGTTTCTCTGCTTAAACAGAAATCATAGTTGATATGGAGTGTGCCGGGTACTCCACATGGGATATCTGCATCTATGTGTCAAGCTTTGAGTCACATTCCAGTTTCCTGTTAATGCACACCCCGGGAGGCAACAAATGATGGCTCCAGTGTTTGTATCCTTGACACCCATGAGGGACACTTAGATTGAGTTCTGGACTTCAGACTTCATACCTGGCCCATCCTTGACTGTTTTGGGCATTTGGGCAGTGAATCAGAAGAGAGACCTTTCTGTGTGTCTCTGCATCTCTGTCTCTCTTCCTCTCAAATAATTTGAAAATACATAAATAATTATAAAAACTAAACCCAAGTTAAATAAAATGTAGCACAAGTTTCTATTTTCAAAGATATGTATTGCCTGTCCTTGTAGCAGGAATTCTGGCACAGTACCTGATGGACAGGCTAGACAGTAGTAAGATCCAGGTGTATTCATACAGTCAACCAAAGGAGCCACTGAACAGCCACCATTGTTGATTTCACATTCATTAATATCTTCACAAATATATCCATTTCCTTTCCAGCCTAGGAAAATAGGATTTTCAAGATTAGTTCTATGGCTAAGTCAACAACAACAACAAAAAATTAAATAGTCAAAATATAGAAAAACATGCTCTCCACAAGAAACTAGAGACTAAAGCCTACCACATTAGACAAATTAATGCTTAATTATTGGAATTAAATCCTGCAAAAGCAGTGAAAAAATTATATACCATTACGAAAAAGTTGGTTGGATAGTAATTCACCCTATTTAGAAAGACATACGGCAGTATTCATGACATTGTTTGAAAATATAAAATACTCTCTGACTAATAATGCCACTTCTTGAAACTTGCCCTGGGTATTAAAACTCCTAGCCTACTAAAATGCAGGTGAAGAGATGTTTATTCAAGCATTGTAGCAATGGGTATTTTTAAAACCCTCATGTGGTCAATAGAGACAAAACTATGTGCCTTATGATTTAGTTATAGAAGCGAACAGTAAAAGTAATTTTGATACCTATGCATACAATTACACTTACATACACAAATTGAGGGATTTTCCTCTACAAATTCTAACTGAAAAATACAAGATTTTATTTCCAATTTGAAGGGAATAAATTTCATCCAAACCTATGCATCTGTGTGATTTGTATGGATAAAGTAAAGCCAGAGAAGAAAGAATGAATGGCTACTTGTTGTCTCATTAGAAGGACTCATAATCAAGAAGAGAAGGTCTTATCACTTTACTCCCATTGTTTTAGTCAATAACTATAATTTTGTACCACTCTTATAATCAAATTATTAAAGTTACAAGTAGATTTTAAACTTGTAAATCCTTCAAAATATTTCTTTCACCAATGTACAGTCCCCTTCTAAGAATCTGCCTAATATTTGGATCTGCTCAGCTCCAGCTGTGGTGGCCATTTGGGAGTGAACCAGAAAATGTAAGATCTTTCTCTTTGTTTCTCCTTCTCTCTGTAACTCAAGTAAAAATAAAATAAATCTTAAAAAAAAAGAACCTGCCTAAAAAAATTATTCCATTTATGGATGAAGTGAATACAAATTAAATAGATTGGAAGAAATATGTCCAATGTTTATGACTATCTTATAGGTAATGAGACTAACATTTTTCTGCTTTGTTTTGCATATTTTGTTTCTTATTTTATTAATATTTGAGAGTATTTTATTAATATCCAGGAAAAGCTTTTTTTCTCTATTTTATCTCTAAGAAACAAAAATGTGAAATAATATTGCCTATACTCTAATCAAAATTATTTTTCTGATTTCCAGTTTTGAAAGGTCATATTGATAGTTGAACTTTAAAAAAAAATGATTATTTGCAAATTTCCTTGACCCTAAGAAGTAAAAGAGGAACTACCTACACATTTTTTATAATTTCTTCCTAGTTTCATAAGTTCTAGACACATAACATGGAGAAAATCACTAAAGCAAAATATGTGGGGTTGCTTGACGAGACAGAAACACAGAGCAATTAACAGCTCAGCTCAGATCTAGCATCTGGCAGACCTGTGTTTGATGCCTGCCTACTTATAAAATATATGATCTTGGGAAGTTCATTTTACCTTGTTAAGCTTTAAATACTCACATTTAAAGATGTCAACAATACTAGTTCTTGCCATGACTTCTTTTTATTATAGTACCAAAATTAAAATAAGAATTGTTTATATCATGCCTTAAGATGGCTGCATAACAACTGCTGTTCGCATACTCTGTGCCCCACTTGCTGAAGGTATGCAGAACATGCAGATAAGTCACATAATCAACCTGAGGTCTGGTGAACCGCTTAGCAGTGCTTGCAGAGCAGTGCTCTGCTCACGATCAGTGCACTATGAACACAGGCTGCTAGGAGGACGGCCATGTCACAGAGTGCAACATGAAGCCCTGCTCCAAATGCAAGCACTTTGAAACACGGACCATGTTTCAGTGACTCAATAGTTGGCGTTCCTTAATTCAGTCTCTGCACCTTGTACTCTAGTGACACACACAGATACAAGCTACTTCATTATAGTGGAGACACAAACCAATCAAGGAATTTGCACAGGTTTACAAATACCTGGTTAGTATGAGAGGTAGAACTGGAGTACATGCCTTTGGACCCCAAATTGTTGTGTGACCAGGGCAATACAACTGTTGCCCTTTCAGACTATGTGGCTAACTTACCCCTTTTGGACAAATGCCCCACTTCTGTTGTGGAATTGTTACCACAGTGAGGAGGTCTTGAGTGGAAGTTAATAAGCTAGGACATGAAATGGGATTTGAACAAGAACGTGAGAATATTCTCCTTCTCCTTATCCATCTGCAGGGGAAGGAAATTGCTTCTGGCACCATGTCTGCCTGGCAACTGGTCCTGTGGCCTTTAGAGCATACCTGTTGGACAAGGTCCACAGTTGAAGGAGCCGGGAGTGTTGTAACATTGCACTTGTGGAGAACAAGGCGAGGGCTGCAGACTGCACTCATCTTTATCTACTGTGCAAGCGGGGTCTTCCGGTGTGAATGTCCACCCAGCATCACAGATGCACCTGTACTTGGCCTGGCAGGACGACAACAACATGAGAAAAGACAATCATGAAAAGGGGCACGAATAGTCTTTGAAAATCTCACCAACACCCAACCTTCTAATCCTAAAAATTCACTTCCATAAGGCCCGGTCAGCAGGGTCTCTTTTCTTCCTATTTGATCAAAGCATTTAGGTAAGACTAGGTAAAAAGGGAAACATCTTTGTTTCGGGGTAAGAGACACCTATAAGTTATGCCAGCGATGTCAGGGAAAGAGTAACAACAATCAACAACTCTAAGTCAATATAATTAACATCAATCAGCTCAGCCTGCTGTGCTTTAAGGGGGAGAAAAAACCCTGTGGGCCCAGATTTTAGAAGATCCTACATTTATTTCCTTTCTGAATGAGTTTCCTTCCCCTCCCACCCATTCTCCTTCCCTCTCTCATCCCAACCACTGGAAAGGAATAATTTTCTATCAAATGGGCAAGAAAAATTAGAAAATTTAAAAACAAAGAGCTGAAGCTATTTTAAAGAGGCAAGTTGGATGGGATTGAGCCACCCTGAAAGTCAGGAATCAGTATGCTCAGGACCAAGGGCACCGAGGGGCTCTAGCCAAGCATATTCTGAGGGTCTGTGTCACTTAGAGGGACTCTGGGCCAGAAAACCTCAAACTCCTTAAAACTACATCTGGTTAACAAGACTGGGCAATCTGTGCTTCCACATCTTGTCAAGGTTAAAACCCACAAGGTGAAGACAAGGCCATGTATCACAGAGAAATCCATGAGGGGATATTAAAGATCCTCGTATTTAACACAAATCTTAACCTCCGAGAGGTCTAGTTTCCTACACACCTCATCTCCCCAGTTTGCGTGCTCTGCTTACAGACAGGAAGTTACTTCAGCCCTGCAGCTCCACAGGGCAGTGCTGGTGCACAATCAGCACTGGATGAAGAAGTAAAAATCATGGCTTCCAAGGAGTCAGGTTTGGGGAAGGGACTCACCACTCCTTCTTGCTCCCTGTCTAAATCTTCACAGATGCCATGGACACAGCGATCCTTGGAGCCTGTTTGACAGTCATTGTATTTGGATGCACACTGGGGTCCGTATGTCTCAGGTGTGCAGCGACAGCTGTTGGTTGCAAAAGACAAGAGTCAGGGCCTGTGCTTCATGGTCAGTGTCTGTCACTTGGCATCCATTAACAAAAGGAGGTGGGCTTTAGTCTAGGGATTAGAATCATGGTTAAGATGATCAAGTCTCATATCATCGTAGGTATACATGATTTCTGCCTTGGCCTCCTGACTCAGCATTCTGCCAATGAATATCTTGTGAGGCTGTACTTCAGGTTCAAGTGATGGCTTTCCATCATGCACACAGTTTGAGTTCCCAGTTTCTGGACTCAGTCTCAGCTGAACTTTGGCCCAGCTCTGACTATTGTATACATAGGTAGAGTATATTAGCTGAGGCTATCTGTTTCCACTGCCCATCTCCTGTTTATGTGTTTGTGTTATGAGTGTGTCTCGTGTGTCTGTGTATGTATTTCTGCCTGTCAAGTAAATAAATAAATTTCAAAAAATAATTTAAATTGTGAATTAACAAAATTAAACTTGAAATATAGAGGGGGCCAGTGCGGTAACCTAGTGGCTAAAGTCTTGCACATACCAGAATCCCATATGGGCACCAATTTATGTCCCAGTGGCCCCACTTCCCATCCAGTTTCCTGCTTGCGGCCTGGGAAAGCAGTCGAGGATGATCCAAAGTCTTGAGACCTTGTGCCTGTGTGGGAGACCCAGAAGAAGCTTCTGGCTCCTGGCTTCTGATTGGCTCAGCCCTGGCCATTGCAGATACTTAGGGGGTGAATCAGACAATGGAAGATCTTCTCTGTCTCTCCTCCACTCTGCATATCTGCCTCTCCAATAAAAATAAATAAATCTTTAAAAATTGAACTGCAGAGCAATAATGCAGATTTACTGACTGAATTCTTAGAAGAAAATCTCTTAGTTTTTCCCTATTTGGTGGACTGAATACATGTATTGCCTTTGTTAACAGAGTTAGAAAATCTTGACTTAAGATCTAGTAAATCTATCACTATCACTATAAATTCTTCCAGTATCAGGCCATGAATCAATGTTTACAAAGGTCAAAAATCTATAAACTGATGGTGATGGAATAAGTTCAAGAAGGTCAAACAAGATATCAGCAAATCTGTTAGTTGACTGTCCAGCTAAACTCTCCAATAAGCACATGTGACAATGACTGACCTGATAACTCCTGAATATGTTCTCAAACTGTATAATTCCACCCATTAGGCAATGTGTACATATCACTCTATTATGGTCATTATTATATGACAAAGGGAGATGTGTCTTCTAAAAGATGTAGTTCATGCAGGGACCTTTCTTTGCCCCATTTTAGTTCATCACAAAATAACAGCAGTGGGTGCTTTGTTAAGATTTTAGTCTAGGTTCAGAAAAAAGAATAGAAGCATTTCAATTAAAAAAAAAATTCAGTCTAGGGCCTGGTGTGATAGCCCAGTAACTAAAATCCTTGCCTTGCATACACTGGGATCCATATTGGGTGGCAGTTCATGCCCGGGCTGCTCCATAACCCACCCAGCTCCTTGCTTGTGGCCTAAAAAGGCAGTAAAGGATGGCTCAAGGCTTTGGGACCTTGCACCCACCTAGGATACCCAGAAGAGGCTCCAGGCTTCTTGCTTTGGATTGGCTCTACTCTTGACTTTGCGACCACTTGGGGAGTAAAGCAGCGGATGAAGATTTTGCTCTCTGTCTCTCCTCCTCTGTTAATCTTTCTAGTAAAAATAAATAAATCTTTAAAAAAAAAACCCCAAGATTTCAGCCTAACAATAATCAAATAGGCCAAATATTTCAAACTGTAGTAATTTTTAAGGTTGTTGGTATAGTTAGCTTTATGTCTTCTCTGTAGCTGAAAAGATAACTTGTATAATATGAGCATAGGAGCAGAAGGAAGAGGAATAAAGTCTCAGAGCCTAAGCTGACTCAGACATCTGAGTATTTCTGATGGAATGAAAGGGCCAAGGCCACAGATCACCACTCACTGGAATTTAGAAGAAATTACAGGGATAATCCTGGTGAGCGAACTGACCGTGCCAGTGATCAACAGTAAGAAGCAGTGAACTCCCATCTCCCATGTGATCATGCTGGATCCCATATCTAGAACCATGAGTCTAGTTTCTGAGAATTATGGAAAAAGGGTCACTCCATTAGGCCAAGAAACTCTTTTTAAAATATGCATTGAGTTATGAGAAGCTCAGCTGATGCCCATGGATGACAAAATGCAAATGAATGTGTGAGAAATGGGGCCTTGGCTGTTTAAAATGCAATTAGAGCCACTGGCACGGAACATGTGTATCGAAGATGGACCTCAGAGGCTATTGCAGGGATGATGTCTTTCTGCGGTCTCCTCACAAGAAGAAGTTAATGAAAGGGGCCAGAGATACAGAGATGGAGGTGAGGAATGTGGTGAACAGCATCTACACATTGGTCATGCTCGGTTGTCAGACTTAGCAAAGAAAAACACAGAATGACCAAATAATTGTGAATTTCAGATGAATGAACATTTTCTGATATAAATAAGTCCCAGGCAACTCACAGTATTGCTATATATTTATATAAAATTTATTTTGCTAACTCATTTTACACCCAAACATTCCCATATAGCTTTTCTCATTGAGACAAGGCCACAGAAAAATAACAACAAATTACTAAAACTAGGGCTGACATTTGGTATAACAGTTAAGATGCCATTTCAGATGCCTGCATATTAGAGTGCCTGACTTTGGGGTACTGGTTCTGCTCCCAGTTCTAGCTTCCAGTTCTGGCTGGGGACAGCAGCCAAGATCTTGATTGAGTTCCTGGCTTCCAGATATTTGTTGAGTAAACCAATTATGGTACATTTTCTCAATCTCTCTCTAACAAATTAAGTTTTTAAATGATTAACCTTAAAAAGAAATTACATTATTTTTCTCTATGTATACTTATTTTTCTGCTCCTCATCCCTTTCCATGCTTTCTTTCTTATATTCTGTTCCCTCTCTTCTTGTCTCCTTCTCTGTACACAAAATGTTCTTCATGAAAATATAGTCAGACTGTTGGGGACCACAGAACTTCAGAACATTTCACAGACATACTTAACACTTTATCCAGGAAACTAATTGCCGAGATTTATTTCATCACAACCCCACACACTCTCCAAAAGTTTTCTAAACCTTAAGAACAACTCCTGCTAGCTTTTGAAGCTCATTTTCTATGTATGAGAGACCTAAGTGGTCAAGGCTGCCAAGTTTAAGTTCTGCTACTACTTGTGAACTATTTACCTCCAACTATGTGTTAAGACCCTCTATCTCAGCCTCTGTGCACTAGCTCCATATTTTGGTTTAAATGCATTCCTCTTTCAATAAGAATGTGTTTTATCATGCAGGTTTAATCATTGGTGAATGACAAGATTTGACAGAATAGTCTGGTTTATAGACCTGCAGTTAAATACTGCCTTTCGCTGACTTCTTTGCTCTAGTTATTTAGAGGTGAGTCAACATCGATCCCATACTCTTTTCTAAACAGCAATAAAGTGCATTGCTCTCACTCTAGGTTAATAAGGAAGAGAGTGATACCAAGTAAACCACAGAGTTCTCTGCTGTGACCCTCAAAGAAAAGTATTACTAAGCCCATTCTACAGATTCTCAGCACCCAAGAGCAAAGAATAAGAAATTGGCAGAAGACAACAAAAATGTAAGCCTATACTACTGTGTTCCAGTACCACATTTTGAAAGATCAAGTTAGCATGAAGGCTGCATTTTTTTTTTTTTTTAGATTTTCATTGGAAAAGGAGCAGAGACAGAGAAGATCTTCCGTCCAATGATTCACTCCCCAAGTGGCCACAATCGCCAGGGCTGAGCCAATCAGAAGCTAGGAGCTAGGAGACCCTTCTGAGTCTCCCACATGGGTGCAGGGTCCCAAGGTCTTGGGTTGTCCTCGACTGCTTTCCTAAACCAGAAGCAAGGAACTGGATGGGAAGCTAGCCGCTGGGACATGAACTGACGCCCATATGGGATCCTGGTGTGTGCAAGGCAAGGACTTTAGCCACTAGGCTACTGTGCCAGGCCTGAAGGCTGCATTTTTAGATGCAATGTAGACATTACAATGTTTTGAATTTTTTTTTTTAATTTTACATTTTTGGTTTGAAAGGTAAGAAGATTGTAAGAGACAGAAAGAGGGAGACCCAGAGTCAATTTACTGGAAACTCTCCAAATGCCCAGGACCTGTGAACATTATCCACGTTTCATCTGGGTGACAAAGACCTAACTACCTGAGTCATCATCTCCCAAGGGCTGCATTAGCAATGTTGGATTTTGGAATAGATCCAGGATCTGAGACCAAGGACTCCAGTTCATTGTACCAAATGCTATACGCCGCCACTCCCTCCAAAAAAGCCTGCTTTCTTCCAAAATGTACTCTGAAAATATGTTGACATAGCTCTCTACGTGAATAGAGAAGTCAGATATTTAAAGTTAATTTATTATTCCTGCCTTAGTTACTAAGTGATTTAGCAGAAGTCCTTTTTGTGATTATTTAATTTCAGCAGTAAAAAAAAAAAAATCAAACCTGTACCTCTTTCAAAACACTGTAATTGAAAAGAGATCAAATGTACTTCTAAAGTCACAGTTTAACTCATGTTAGAGTTCACGGTTCAATATTAATATTATTGATTAACTGAGTCTGTAATTATCTTAATACCTATCACCTGAGTTTAGCCTCACTGCTTAAATTCCAAATGCTTTTAAATCTATCAATGATACTAATGGAAATAATTAAATATAAAAATTTAATAAAGTAGTAAGTAAGTATAGAAAATTAAATATACAAAGCATTACCACGTTTCTGAAGAACATAATTAATTTTATTGGAAGGCCATCTCATTCTGTACCCTATGTACCTGACAACCATCATTCATACATGGCAACTTTAGATAACAGTGCCGGTCTTCAATCAAAAGTAAGCAAGGGAATAGCAAGAAACAATTATTCAGATTTAAAAAAAAAAAACTATGGCATGAAGTAGTGGCAAAAATACCATGCTGCTAGCTGCCTAAAGCAGCTGGAAGAAAAATCCCCAGGTACAAGAATCAGTAGAAAGTTAAACAACTACACACTTATATTTCATTAACAAATGATGTAATGGAGACCACAGTACCAGGAATCAAAGACCTGCAGTATGTATCTCTACTCCCAAATTTAAGTAGGCCCCCAATAAAACATAAATATACCTTGACAACAAAATACTAGATTATCACTACTCATACCTACAGTTTCTTGATACATGCAAAGAGCAGAACGCTGAAGCAGAGACAAGAACTGAAGGACAATGTTACTGTAAAATACAGTGGCATTGGGGAGGAGAGCAGAGGGCAGAAGAAAGGGAGGGGAAGAGAGGAAACCTTATGCCTACAAGACTGTAAAATGGAAAATAAGAATAAAAATAGTAAATATATACTAAAGGAAAAAAGGATCAGTAGAAATAGATAAGCCTTTTCTTCACTCTATTCTAAAAAAAGAATATTTGCTAGTAATTTTGTTGTGAAACATGGATTTCAATCAATTAATATTTTCACAGTGGTTTGTATTCTCAGAAAGCTTTATAATTATGAATTATTAAAGTGATTAAATAAATACTCCTTTTTCTCTCCCAGGTGAATGGCCTTGAAGTGCCAAACAGGGCCTCAAATCCAAAACAAACATTGCCCACCACAATAACCTTTTCAACCCAGATTATTCAATAGCAGCTGCTGTTGCCAACGTATGAGGTTTCCCAAAAAAGGCTTTTAGCATCAATGAAGTTACAGATCAACCAGAATTTTAACCAGTGTAATTAATAGAACCCACATTATTAATTGAGCTCAAAAAGATCTATATGGTCACTGTTACAGACGCCAGAAAGAATTTTAATCTTATGTTTATGTACCATTTCCTGGTTTCTTTCATTCCTTCAAAAAATCACCATCGCATATCTAAATTAGCATATTGGGTATAATCAACTGGGATTCATGAGATTTCAGAAACTATTCCTATATCAAAAAAGAAGAAAGAAGCTAGTCCAGTCCTGTGATGCAATGAAATAAGCCACCACTACAAAGGCAGCTGGAAAGGCAGTGGTTCAATGCTTGGATCCCTGCCATCTGTGTAAGATTTCTGGGTAGAATTTCAAGCCCCAATCTTCCACCTGGACCAGCCCAGGTAGTTGTGTCCATTTGGGAAGTAAAGCAAAGGATGCAAGCTCTCTCTCTCTCTGTGTGTGTGTGTGTGTGTGTGTGTGTGTGTGTGTGTGTGTGTGTGTGTGTGTGTGTGTGTTAGGGAGGAGGGGGAGCAAATTCTGTCTCTCTCTTTGTCAGTCTGCCTTCCAAATAAGTAAACTGTTTTAAGGGAAAAAGCAGCCGGATTTAAATATTCTGTTTTATAATGTCCTCCACAAATTTCTGAAAAGTAGAAACTAGAAATCAAAATTATTTCCAGAACTCTAACTCTTCTCATGAAACAAACTGTTATGAATGTTATAGGTTTAGTCTGATTTGGCTTCCATGTTGTAAGGGAAGATAATGGAAAGAAAATAAATCCTGCTGGTGTCTATTGGTCTCGCACACAAATTTGTCGCAGTATTAGCTAGGAAGACTCAAATGACAGTGATGACAGAGGAAGACAGGGAACAAGATCTAATCCCTAGGACACTCCTCAGTATCAAGAAGGCCAGACAGTATACGTGATAGGCGTCAGGACGTCTGGATGTCGGGACGCTGTCACCAGTATCTCCAAGTAGCAATTCTCCTTGATAAATATCCATAAACTGAAATCAGGAGATAATGCTTTCAAGGAAATGAAAAATTAGGCCTGCATTCTGGCACGAGCTCAAGCTTGAATGTTTATAAGCAGGAGCAAGGGGTTCACTTAAGTGAAAGAGCCCTGAAAACACATCCTTAAGATTTAATTCTTGTCCCTCCAATGTCCTCACTCATACTAACACTCCCACTCAGGGTGCATCTTACTAAAACTCTTTAACAATTTAAGTCTATCTTTAAGTTAAAGGTGGTTATTTTTGGCTTTGCCAAAAATTAAACTCATAACCATTCCTGCCAGAAATCTGAATGAGTTAGTTTATAACCACAAATGAGCAAAGGTTTTTAAAGATCAGATTAAAAGAACACCATGATCAATTAAATGGAATGAATGGGGCTGTGACTGCCTTTTAAAGACACAGTTAATTCGTATCCCAGATGCGGGGGACAGAAACAAAACTACTACATTTATTTTAAAGGGAAGGAGGGCCCGGCGCGGTGGCGCAGTGGTTAAGGTCCTCGCCTTGCACGCCCGGGATCCCATGTGGGCGCCGGTTCTATCCCAGCAGCCCCGCTTCCCTTTCAGCTCCCTGCTTGTGGCCCGGGAAAGCAGTCGAGGACGGCCCAAGGCTTTGGGACCCTGCACCCGCGTGGGAGACCCAGAAGAGGCTCCTGGCTTCGGATCGTTTTTTTTTTATTGGAAAGGCGGATATACAGAGAGGAGAGACAGAGAAGAAGATCTTCCGTCCGATGATTCACTCCCCAAGTGAGCACAACGGGCCGATACTATGCCGATCCAAAGCCAGGAGCCTCTTCCGGGTCTCCCATGTGGGTGCAGGGTCCCAAAGCTTTGGGCCGTCCTCGACTGCTTTCCCAGGCCACAGGCAGGGAGCTGGAAGGGAAGCGGGGCTGCCGGGATTACAACCGGCGCCCATATGGGATCCCGGGCGTGCAAGGCGAGGACCTTTAACCACATGCGCCACCGCGCCGGGCCCAATAAAAATAAATCTTAAAAAAAATATTTTAAAGGGAAGGGAAAAGAATAGATGTTGCTTTGAGAGAATTGAAAAATAGGATCACAAAGATAATAGGAGAAAGTAAATCATGGTTTTTTAAACCAAAGAGATTACGCTTCAGAGTCTTAAAAGAATTATTCAAAAGCATAAGAGACTAATTTCTGCCTTTGAATAATGTCAGAATACAACAGACCAATCACCTCATAGGGAAAGATAATGCCAACAGACTTTATTATTATTACTATTGTTGTTGTTGTTATTTATTATTTTTCCATGATTCAGATTTATGGATCAACCCTTCCTCTCCCCTCCTGCCTCCCATTTTCCCCTTATTTTTCCTTGAGTTAGTACCATGGCATAGTTATTCATTTCACCATTGCAAGCTGAACTTGTATTATATTTATTTCTATATAGATATATCCTGGCATGACTAGTGTAGGAAAAGGAAAAAAATAAAGTAATGTGACATAAAAGTACAATTAAAAATAATAATGGGAATCCTACTACTGTTCAGTAGGAAGGACACATGCCATATTACATGATTTAAGGCACTGTAGAAAAGTAAATTTGACAAGAATCTGCTTTAAAGTGCTGGCCCTGATTATTAAAAAGGGAATATGTAGCAGCAGGGCTTTGATAATCAACATTCTTAGAGCATGAAGTAGGCATGGTGATGCCTAACTTCAACTTAGTTAGGGATGGGAGGAGTCCCTCGAAAAGGCACTGCTTGTGCTAAACAGCAGAATGCTGTGGACAAGTCATCTGACAAAAGAAATCTGAAGAGAGATAACTGCCTGGTGACTGTGTCAGGGACCACAAAGAGTTAGTGCAGTGACAATTCTCTCATTCACTGGACCTCAGTTCAAGTCTTTAGTCTTGTCACAGTCAACATTTTTATATAACATTAAATAAAGTGATCCATACCAAAGGCATAAGCTTAGAAATGCATGGAATGAGGACAACAATCGCACCCTGGGGTGGTGGGATGACCTTTTTCTACTTTGAATTCTTCCCTGGCTGCTTCTCATCTGCTCTGACGCTTACTGCTGCATCATCCTTTTGCACAACTTTAGCCTTACTGTCTATGCCTGTCACATGGCCGTCTTTTTATTCCTCAGGCTTGCTGGAGTGAGTATTTTTCCATGAGGTGAGAACTGAGAACTCATGACCCCCTGGATCCTCTAAATAAAGGCAGCCGTACTTCCATTCAATAAAAGCTGCAAATTTCACCACAGAGAACCTAATTTTACAATTCACACAAATAATTCTTAACTACGATATGTTTTATCTTTTAAAATGCACCTGATATATATACTATATATCTGATATATGTGTGTGTGAGAGAGAGAGCGCAAGAGTGTGTGCTACCTGTAACTCCCTGCGGTATTCAAACACGTGGCTCCATTCTGGCAGCCCAAGGGTGTTCCAGAGTAGATCTGACACTCATTAACATCAGTTGAGCAGAGAGGACCCTGTGTTCACAAACAACAACAAAGGGTTAGAGGTCACAGAAGCATCCAGAAAACAATATTCCTAAGATGTATGTAAAAATTTCCACACGGATAGTAAAAAAGACCTTGATAAAATCAACAGTAATACTACTAAGATCATAGCAGTGACATGAGGAAAATGTACATAAAAAAATTCTCATTTCACAATGACGCTATTAAAGAATTGCAGGGTTTTTTTTTTGCAAAAATATAGCATTTTTATTAGAATTTCTTTTTCAAACTTAACATTTATTTTTGAAACAATATATTTTTTAACATACACTGTATCTTAAGGCTTAATGGCTCTACTAAATAAAGAGTCCAACAGAGGCTTATAAACAATAATCGAATGAGAAGATGTTCAACTTCACTCATACAGTTAACTGCAAAATAGTCACCAATCATTAAACCATAGTAGGAAAACTTCTATCAGCTTGTTTTACAAAGATTTAAAACAAAATTCAACAAAACATTGTGGTTGTAGCAATCTAATATATATGGGCATTTCTTCCTTTCTTTTTGTTTTAAATTTTAGTGCCCCCATATAAGGGAGAACGTGTGGTATTTGTCTCTCTGTGCTTCACTTTTCAACAAGTAGGTTAGCAAAATTACTAACTAATAGAAAGTGACAAAGCATTTTCCATACAGATGTCAAATTCATCCAGTACTTTCCAATTCTGAATAATTGTAATGCTAGCAGAAGCTTCATGCCCTTTCACATAGCTATTCAGCCACGGAACACCCTCGCAAAGATTCAAGGGGGTATGATCATACTCAAGTCTTGGCATTTATAGTGTAATTTATTCTGATACGAGAGGCCACAGAATCCCAGGAACTTTGGATGGGGAATGAAATATGTCTGAACAGTCCCAAGGAAATGACAGATACTGGCCAAAGAACCCAAGTGACTCACCGTCCACTGTGAGGGACAAATACAAAAAAAGGAATCATGCAGATCGAGACAGGTGCCACCGTTTTGACAGGGATTGCTGCTACAAGCTTTTTTATCAACTGTCTGAAAAAGAAAAGATTGGATAGTCACCATGGTACTGGCAATTGGTTGCAAAGAGAGGTATATTTCAGTACAGGTGTTTGTTCCTGGTCCTTGCGAGTCTTCCCCTGCTCCTTCCGTTACTTCTGTAATCTTCAAATTAACCTCCTTGTTTAAAAAAAAAAAGCATCTCCCATCACCAGTTCTATTCTCTCACTCTCACTCTCTGCGCTTTTAATTGTGGATAGGGCAAACTATGAGGGAAAAGATTCTCATCCTACTCTTTGAAAAATCACTGCTCACCTGAGACATATACATCAGCTGACCAAGGAAAGGAATCAGGTAGAAATAACAAGGGATATCCCTATTGCACTAAGAAAATACACTGCAAGTTCTGGATCTTTTGACTGTCATTCTTATCTTTGGTTTGCCCAGATAAGTCTTTGAAATCTGATCGTCCTTTGCTGCCACCCCCTACTCCCATGAGCAAAGATGACATAACTCTTTCTCTTTGGAAATGTGGCCAGCTAAGATGTGTCCTCAACCCTCGTGCTCACCTGACTGCATTCAGAACAGCTGCAAACAGACCTGGCTTTGTCTACAAAGCACGGGAATCTTACCCCACATCAGTTATCAGTACCAACCTCCTAAGATTTTTTTATGCCATTGGAGGCCAAGAGAACTTCTTTAGAGAAGACAAGAGGATATGCAAGGAAAGCTGGCTTACTAAGTTCCCTTCTAATCAAAATCTCTGTTTTAAAATAGGGGCAAACTATTCTATTTATTTTATATATTCTGGTTTTTTTTTTCATTTTGTCAGATGACACTGATATCCAGTGGTAAATGGGCCCAATAAAAACCATTCTTTTTCTATATTTGTCATAAATCAGGAGACCACATGTGTAACAGTCTTTCTATGGGTTCTGTTTTCTTCCTTTATTCCATTTGTCTCTCTGTGCCAGTGTCACAATTAGCTCTGTCCATCAAAGGACCCTATTAAAAATGTTAACCACAAACTAATTAGAAGTTTTTCTAATTAAAAAAAGAAACACTATTTGAGTATTAAAAACTCTAAGTCTTGTAGGGTTCCAGCCGGAAATGAAATCAGTTAAAGCAGTCAGGAGGAAAACAATTGGGATTGGCAGCGACTATGGTGGCCAGTGAGCATTTGCTGTGTCAAAAGTCATAAAGGCATTCAGAAGGGAAAATAATTTTAACATTCCTGAGCCAGGAGGGAAAGGAAGACAGTGTGAGTTCATTTTGACCACGTCCTGCAGTTCCTGACCTTGGGCAAGAACAATGACTCACTCTAGTGGGAGGCTGAAAACACCAGTGCTGTATCATGCTTCACAACAACGTGCCTTGTTCCTGTAACCCACTAAAAAGATAAAGGCTGAAGGATCCATTTATTATCAAAGTGAGGTAAAAGAACATGTGAACTTGTTTGCAAAACATAAAAAACACCAAAGGTATAGAAGTGTGTGGAATATAATCAAAACACATCAGGAATACAAGAGGGTTCCAAAAAAGTTGTGTGAAGTGGAATTAGAAAATAACACTCTGCAGTCCCTGTGACTCACATGAGGGCAGGGATTCTTAACTTGTAAGCCCTGACTTTCATTAAAGACAAAAAGATTCTCTGCATTTCTCTAAGTGGAAGGTATGGCTTCTGTGAAAGTCCAAAAAGACACTAGCCAACTACAAAAGTCGCTTAAAGAAAGTCTAATACAAAGACGAGTTATATAAGCATGGAGTAAAGTTACTGAACATGTGCTTATCAATAATTTTAAAGAAATGTGGAGAATCAGACAAAATACCCTCAGACTTTTGATCTTAATGCCACATTTTAAAAACTCAATTCCTGATACCAGATTAACAAATGGGTGGTCACTAGCTGGTCAAATGCAGATTGCTTGAATCTACTGCAGTGTCAGTAGAGGCTGACAATAAGAGTAACATGCTGAGTAGGATGACTCTGAGGGTCATGCTCAATGACCTTGAGTCACACAGTCAGGCTCAAGGTCATGCTCAATGACCTTGAGTCAGACAGTCAGGCTCAGTGGCCTGGAGCTGATGACTTCACCTCTCTGAGACTCCATCTCCTAGGAATTATAGCCTGAGATCAAATTCTGAGAAAGAGATGAAATTTGAGAATCAAATTCTAGGGAAAAGCAAGTGCTTGATGTTGATCAAGACCAGATCTGTCAGTGAGTTTAGTATATTTGCAGTGAAAAACATCAGCTATCTGCTATTTATGAGGACTTACCTGCTGTAAGCTTTGAAATTTTCTCTCAAGATCAACAAGCTGGCAGTAGGAAAAAAAAATAATTAGTTAGCTGGTTCAAAGGCATCTCACACTCATATGCATTCCTCTAATACCCTCTATTAGGGACTCAGTTTCTCTTGTTTTGTCTTGTCTTCATTGTCTTTGCCCTCTTCATCCCTCTTCCCTCAAGATTTCCTTTTTTCTTGTTCCACCCATTGCATAGTTTCTTTAAAAAAAAAAACTGTTTTTAGTGACTATTTACTTAATTAATTATCTGCATCAACCTCAAAGGCAGAAAAAAATGCAGAAAGACAGGGAGAATTCTCCCAACCTCCAGTTCATTCCTTGTATGCCTCCGGTAAACTAGGAATGGGCCAGGCCAAAGCCAGGACCCCAGACCCCCATCAAGTCTCTGATGAGGTCAGCAGGGGCCCAACCCTTGAGCTACCATCTGCTGTTTCCAAAATGTGTTAGAAGGAAGATGGCTCAGAAGTGGAATCGCTGGGACTCAAATTGGCCATCCAAACTGAGACACAGCCATCCCAAGCAGTAGCTTAATCCACTGGATCACAATATCTACTTCCTAAATAGGTATTTTTTAAAAGGAGTACAAATCATTGATGCATTGACTCATGGCTACACATAGTAACAAGGGAACTTCCAACAATGACACTGATGTGTTTACTTCAATAGATTTGCTTTCAGAACCTGAGTTCTGATAGCACTTGCCACAGAATTTCCTCCCTACTACCCAGCACCACTATGCTTCTTCCACTAAAACTATACCATTAAACAGAAGAACCCATAATTACACTGCCAATTCTCTAAAATCATTCAAAATTGGTATACCCTCTGCAAAATGGCCAATTATAGAGTTGAATTCAAATGAGTCCATTTGCTCGTATAATATAGATGTCAGACTTACCTTGGAATTAAGCTGATAAATTTCACTAGATATATTTTGAGGCAGACCAATGGTACTTCCTTTTAAATTTGTAATATCATCTTTGTTTTTCTGGATCTAATTTCAAAAACCATAAGAAAAATGTTAGTGGGAAAAAAAGCTAATTTGTTGTGCAAAGAGATAATAAAGTATTCTATTTTAAACGCTAAATTCTAGTCCATTATTTAAAAAATAACAAAGCAATATTAAATATACTAAGCATCAGACTAAAATAGTTATGGAGTAATTTCACTTACTCTTTTCAGGAACAATAAATCAATGTACTCTCAGTCTGCATTATTCCCATAATAACACCTGGCTCAGCCATTTATTGGGTGTTTTTAAGAAAATTACTTAAGTGCTTCAGCGTCCCTTTAAATCTTACCAAAGGGATAATAATAAACCCTGTCTCATAGGAGCACCTGTGGGGGTCAAATGAGATCATCAGCTTGAAGTGCTAGCACAGTGGATGACCCCCATTAGCCTCTAAGTAATGTTAAGTTCTAACATTAGAACTGATACACTGGCATGCTGTTGTCACTCTGAGCACAGGAAACATTCAATGAGGCAGAAGTATAATGGGCCAATTCTGTTTCCTGGCAAAAGTAAACTGATCACACCAACATCTTTCTGGGGTCCCCCCTTCCTCCCCACTGGGGGAGGGTTCACTATCAACTTGTACAGCTTCTCTGGACTACAACACAATCTTTGTACAGTGAGTCACTTTCTGTAAGCATTAGTTCTTTACCTACCGTTAGCCCTAGATCACTGGTTTTTAGAGGATTTGTCTTACTTCCAGTGATGTTATTTATTAAGACTCAAGGTACAAATACAGACCTGTTCGGTTAAGTGGCAGTAAATGAATATACAAAATGTCTTCAACAGATTTCCAGTGTATTACCTGATGTAAGCATTCACTGATGTCTTCGTTATTTAATTTTATTTTTCCCAGGGATCCAGTTCTAAACTCAATATTTTGGGCAGATCCTGTAATAAACACTAAATTTCCCCTCTCTGAAGTCATCCGAGGTCTGCATGATTAAAAAGAAAGAAAGAATCTGTAAGTAGCACATATTATTTTAAAATCCAAACAGTAATCTGTCATGGACTATCTGTAGACTACATACATCATCACCTTGTGATCAATTCAATAAAATTCTCCTTACTCACTTGCCATTTATTTATCCATCAGTCTCATAGAAATGCATTCTGATTGTGTATTTGGCTTTTTTTCAAAATCATAAAATGAATAATTTCCACATAAGAAAACATAATTCCATTGATCAGCCCCAAATATTTTCTCCTGTTTTTCTTTTATCTTTGCTTATCTGTTTGTGAAAACTGGGCAGGAATCACCCTAGTCCATCAGCCGATATGATCTATGTAAGAAGGCTAGTGTTGTGGTACAGCAAGTTAAGCTACTATGTCTGTTGTTGGGGAAAACACAAGTAGATGGGCCCTGCGCACATGGGAGACCTGAATGACATTCCAGAACCCTGGCTTCAGCCTGGCTCAACCCCAGACAACAAGCCACTTGGGGAGTGAACCCACAGATGTTAAAACTGTCTATCTCTCCTTCTTTGTCTGCAACTCTGCCTTTCAAATTAATAAAATAAAGAACATTTTTTAAAGAAATGATTCATATGTCTACTTACTGTTGGAGATCAGTGCTTCTCTTTTGTGGTTGTAGCTTAAGCCCTCCGGCTTCTCCATCTAATTCAGCAAACCACAATAAAGTAACCAAAATCCAAAGAAAAGGTAAAGGCATGTTGTTCACCAGCCTCCAGGTTGTCTGGTAAGGAGGCCTCTGCCACCAACTGAACGTGAGAGTTTAGAGAACAGAAGACCAGGCAGGTGAACTTTGATCCAATAGGTATCCTGTAACTTTTTAGTTCTTTCTTCTTGGCCCGAGAATGCTGTTAAATTTTTTTCTTCCTGAGGAATGTAAATGATCTTAGATCTTCAGTACTCTTCAACTTGTGTGAGGTCAAAATCTATCCTAAGTGATGTACAACTTAATCATTATCTGTTTAACCTTTGAGACAGTAACAGGTAGCTTTGGAAACATCCATTAAAACCTTGGTTAAGAAGTAGCCACTGTTCAACAAATGATGCTGAAAAACCTGGGTGATCACTAGAAAAGCAGTTGTATCCTTATCTGCTACCACATACAAAAACCAACTAAAAATGGTTCAAAGACCTAAGTAGAACAGTTTAAGCAAAAAAATTCCCAGAGAAAAATAGGGGAAAAAAATCTTGACAACTTTAAATCTGACAATAATTTTTTGAGTTTGACATTAAAAGAGCAAACAAAAGGTAAACTGGACTAGAGCAAAGTCCAAATACTATGCTTCAAAGGACACTATCAGCAGCAAAAAAGGCAACTCACAAAATGGAATATTTGCAAATCCATTACTTATAACATTGAGCGTGATGGTTTGTTTAGAGAAATATGTATGCTACAGTGGATTTTTTTTATTAAATATATTTCTTTAAGGTATGTGAGTCCAAATCTCCCTTCCACAATTAAATCATGCAGTCAGACCACATCATTCAATTTAGAAGATGAATAGGACTGAAATTTTTCCAAAATCTCTGAGGACCTAAAATATAAAAAACAAAGACTTTACGGTTAGGATTTTGGTTCAAACTCCCAAAATTCTTGGTAAGTGATTAGGAAACTAGTTGACAACTGTAAGAAGTTTGAAAAAGAAAATACAGGTTAAAAAAAAATAAACTATTGCAGTAGAACCAAGTGGGGGGATGTGTTGTGCTATTCCCACAATGACATAATTTATTCCTGTCTCATTATTAACAATTGCTGAAATTTTGAGCTCTTGGTTTACAGGATGATTGACTTATATGGGTTAGCCTTCCTATAGCACTTGAAAAAGCTTGTTTTTAAGAGTTTCAGTCTTGTTAAATGTCTCCACATCTTTACTTTCTCCCTCCAATTCTTTGACATTCGTGTTTGGTTCCATTGAGTTCATATTTTTTAGAACAAATAATCAGTGCCAGATCTGCCATGCATCCAAATATCACTGTTACTAAAAGACACAAACCCTTGTTCTCAAAAAGACTTGAAATCTGGAACAAAAAAAAAAACATACAGGGGGAAAGTTTAAAAATAAAGGAGCATGGTAATCTCTAATAGTGATCGCTGCTGGCGGAATGTAAGATAGTGTTAGAGAGTAGGGAGAGAGGGGAATGCATACAGGGAGTGGTGAGGGTAGGCTTCTCTGAGAAGTAACATTGGGTTACAAACTGAAAAATGCTTCCAGATCCCAGGATCTAGAAAACTACCACATCTACACCAGGAATCGTCACTTTTCACTAACTGTGGAATAATTTCTTACCTTACTCATGTTAACATTCCAGCTGGATGACAGGGTTTCAGAGCATGGACCACGGACATCTCCTAGGGATTCTGTGCTGGGTCCACAGGAACTATTGGGAATGACAGAAATGTTCTATATAGACACTATACTGAGAAGTCAGTTGTTGATGTGCTTAAACTTTCTATGAGCTGCAGACCATGATAAGAATGGTAAGACTGACTTCAAGGATAATGCTATAAAAGCTTCACTTTGAGAAAAAATTTTCTTGGCAACTACCATTACATTTGTTAATACTCATGTGGTTATGTAGGCTTTAAAGAAACTTCTGTGACTTTTGCAGTTGATTCTTTCTCTCAAGATAAAACTTCTTGTGATTCACCCATGCTATAGTGGGAATCTTTAGCTGGTTCCTTTTTATTTTTGAAAAATATTTCTTTTTTTTATGACACAGTTTAATAAGCATTGCTTCCCCCCAACCACTGTCTCCTCTCCAGTCTTTCACTAGGCATCTTCCAAGTATTCTCAGAAGTCCATCATATCGCCGCTGATGTGTCTCCCAACATGTTGTTCCACTGTGAGTCCATCCTTTATTGCAAGTACAGGGATACACTTCTCTGTTTCTGCCTATGGACATATTTATTCCCACTGCACTTCCACTATACCTTCCTTTAAAATACAGGGAGTGGGTTGCTTATCCATCAGTTGACAGACACTTGAATTATTGTTAAGTTTCTGAACTTCTCTTTTGATAAACATACCTTCATTCTTTTTGTTTTAAAGATTCATTTATTTTTCTTGGAAAGGCAGATCAGATTTATGGAGAAAAGGAGGGACTGGTCCACTCCTCAAATGGCCACAATGGCCAGAGCTGAACCAATCTGAAGCCAGGAGCTTCTTCTGGGTTCCCATGTGGGGGGTGCAAAGTCCTCCACTGCTTTCCCAGGCCATAAACATAGAGCTGGATGGAAAGTAGAGAAGCTGGGACATGAACTGGCACCCATTTGGGATCCAGGCACTTGCAAGATAAGGATTTATCCATTCAGCCATTGCACTGGGCCCTTTCATTTCATTTGAACAAATGCTAAAGGGTGGGGTTGAGACATACAGTAAATATAATTTCAACTTTATTAGAAAATGTCAAAGAACTTTCCAAAGAATTTCTCCATATTATTTGTAAAGTTGCAGTGGTTAACATCTTCATTATCACTTGGTTTCTTACTTTTAGTCACTTTGGTGAGTGGGCAGAGGTAACTCATTGTGCTTTCCTCAATGATCGAAGATGTTGAGTATATTTTTGCATATATTTTTCCTTTGTGTGTCTTTGGTGAACTGACTGTTCAAAACTTTATGTTTAAAAATTGAGTTTTTTTGTTCAATAAGAGCTCACAGAGTCTCAGTGCAAGTCCCTTTAGACATATATTTCACAAATATTTTTCTCTCAATTTGTAGCCTACCATCACTTGCTTACAAGTATTTTCAAGGACCAAAATAAGTGAGATACAAAAGAATACATACTAAATGATTCCATGTAAAAATCTTGGAGATTCCAAACTTTGTTCAATAATAGATATGGAGTTGTTTGTGGCCAAGAATAATCAGAGACTATTAAGAGACATGAGAAAATATTTGAAGGCAATGGATTTTCCTTCTATCTTGCTTACAATGGTCTGTGGAGCTGGACAAATATACCAAAACTAAAACTGTACATTTAAAAATATATGATCTTTAATGCATATAAATTATAACTCGATAAAACTGATTAAGAATATTTTTTACATATTTATAACATGCATATATAAGAATGACATAAAATACTAAAGTTTGTATTAAATAGCAAGAGAAGATAGCCAACAACTTTCACGTATACAGTTATACATTAAATGTGTTATAATGATCCAAGTTTATTGAAAGCCTAACACTTAGAAGAGGACAGGAAGAAAATGTGAGGAAGTTAAGTAACTGACAACTTTAGAATTGTATAAACTAGGGTCAGCTAGAACAAATTTTCCTATCACTGAACTCAATAAATGTAAGTGCAATATCAAAGGTCTCTGCTATAATCTTAAAAAGAACTTCCTCTTTTACAGCATTTTCCCATTTTTAATGGGTTTATTATTAAACCGAGTAAAAATGATTTCTCTGCTCCTAATGTAACCATGCAATTCCTAATTGAACTTCATGTTAAAAAAAAAGAAAAAGAAATACATTCTTTCAAGGTCTAATGGACTTTTGATGAGTAGTTAGGAAAATTGGCATCTAGCTCACTTACTCAACTCCAGCTCAGATCAATAGATGAAGCAGGATGTCTGTGGAAGCAATATAAAAATCAATTGCTGTTTCCAAGCATTATCCCTCACTGCATACTTGCTATATTCAGAATTCCTTCAGCAAACACAAGCTAAAATAGTTTCAGAATCTATGACCTTCAGACCTAGGAGATGAGTAACTTCCTATCCTGGCTCCACAGTAAATACTGAAAAGATCTGAAATCCCCTCTTTCGTTGACTAGCAGAGTTCCTATCTCTTCCCCAATCCGGAATGCATTCCAGTAAATCCATACCTATCTTTTAAGGTTTAGTAAGATAGCAGGAGTACAAACTAAAATAAATTGTGGAGTCTTGCCTCCAAAGGTTCATGTCTAAGGAAGACAACATGATAACAGGGTTCAGAGCAGGAGTTTTGAGGTTCATTCACCTGCTTCAAAATTTGGCTTCATCACTTTCTGACAATGCAACCTTGTTGCTTTACCAGTGGAAAGACTACAGGGACATGAAACTTACCTAATGTGTAGCGCATTTGGTACCTGGTACACTGTAAGTATCTTCTAAATATAAGCTGTTCATTTCCATTATCATGTAAATGAATATAATAGTCCTTCACTCTCCAGACTCTTTTGGGTCTGGGTTCTTTAAAGCAAAAGCAGGATAGAAGGGTTCACAGTTGACTTTAAAATCATATATAGAATCAGGGGCGTCTGATTCCAGACTGGGGCCAGGCACTGAGAAAGGAGATAGCTGGTCTGGAGTTAAGGATATGAAGAAAGGTCAGCTGAAGCCAGGGAACAAGGCAAGGCTGCTTCAGAAAGCAAGGACCGACTCTACATCAGTGGATGGAGGGTACATTTAGATTTAGTCCAAGAGTCTCTAAGAGTTCGTAATCCAAAGGAAAGAGTCTCTTACTTGAGGTGGAGCTGAAACAACAGGCTGAAGGAGTCTTCTCAAGGTGTGCTGGAGGCAGAGACCTTGGACAGAAGGAATTTGCTCTGACGGATGCAGCTAAATGAGAGGGTATACCTAAGAAAGTTTACTTCTACATACTTTGTATGTATTAAAATATTGCTAAAACTATTAAGATAGAGCACAGATGACATTGGTGGCATTTTACGGGCCTGAAACTTGGATTAATTTTCTGTTACACTCTTGATTTCTACTTACCAGCCTTTACTCCCATGGCATCTTCAACAAGACACATGAAAATGTGCTCTGCTTTGTTGTAGCTATCGCATGGAATATACAGAATGACACAGAACCTGCTTCTCCACCTGAGTTTTCAATATATTGCTAACCCATAATTCATGATCTGTTGACCTTTGCTCTAAATTCTGCCCTACAGTCTCACCTTCCTATTTATCCTGGATCTACAGTCTTTCTTACAGGCATCTTCGCTATCTTTTTTCCCTATTTCTTCCTCACAGAGACTACAAGATAGTCACAAAACCAACATAAAACAATATATCTCCTTTCTTCCACCTCTCGCCAAGATGTCTTGATACAATCTCTACTCCTTCTTTACCATCTGCCTCATCTCCTTTTACTTTCCAAATTCTCATCTTTTTAAAATAATCCCTGATCCAACTGAAATTCAAATCCCTAATCCAAATGAAAATACTGTGGTCAACAAAAATATTCATGAGAGTATATCTTAGTATGCTAAAATTTCACATGAGGAGAATTTCAGATCAAGAAGGGATCACTGTAATCAGGACATTGGTAAGAACCAAAAAATTGGAAGCAAAAAAGAGATAACACACAAAGCTTTTCTGGAAAAGAGTGGAGAGAGTTGAGTGTGAGCCCTGGCTCTGCTCCTAACTCCAGCTTCCTTCCAATGAGAATGCTGTGAGAGCGCTCATAATGATTCAGGGACTTGGGTTTCTGCTACCCACAAGGGGAGTCCCATTGAGATCCTGGCTCTCAGCTTTCGCCTAGCCCAGTCCCAGCTATTCTGTGCAGTTGGGGAATAAACAAGCAGGTGGAAGATTTCTGTCTCTATGTATATGTCTCTGCCTTACAGATAAATAATTCTAAAAATTCTCAAAAAGGAATTTAAAGAATAGATGGGAAGTCAGATGAAGAAAGACTTTGAAATGTCCATTTAGCTGGCTTTGTATTATTTTGTTTTTAGCAATGGAGAATTGGGAGAGTCGTATAAGGAAGTGATTAGTACAGTCATGTTTGCCTTTTGTAAGCATCCTTATGGAACCAAATTCCTAGCTTCGTAGTTTGAAAGGAGATAATAGCACAGTTGAGATACGTACTAGGGAGGCCTGGGCTGATGTAGTAAGGAGACAGAGAAGGAGATGGTGACAAAGATGTTTATCAGGACCTACTCAAGAAATATCTGGACAGCTAATATTTTGAAGAAATGCATCTGGAAAGATTAATTCTCATGTTTTTTGCTCCGGAAATTAGTGGACAACAGGTGTCATTAGTAAGTGAGAAAAATCAAAGGAAGAAGATCTTAGAGAAAAGGCAGAAGGTTCATTCCTGTAAGCATATTCTAGAAACACCAATACTAACTGCAATAAGGTCAGCCCCTGCTACTTACTTACCTAAAATGGATAGAGGAGAGATCTAGAAACACTTTAGAATTCACAGCATGGCTCGGGGACCCAGCAAAAGCATCACCTAGGCTTATCAGAAATACAGACTTTTAGGTTTTATTCCACATTCCTAAATCAGGATCTGCACATGGTGAAGATCCCTCTCCACTAACTTTTGTTTGCTCAATAAGGTGATACAGGAACATGACAACACCTTATCTTGGTAAGAGGCAAGTAATGTCTGCTGTTGCTTCTGTATTTGTCAAATTGATCTCCAATTCTTTTATACAACATTATTTTCTTTTATTACTCTTTATTTTTTAAAAGATTCATTTTATTTTTATTGGAAAGTCAATATACAGAAAGACAGAGAGGAAGATCTTCCATTGGTTGATTGACTTCACAAATGGCTGCAATGGCCGGAGCTGAGCCGATCCGAAGCCAGGAACCTCTTTCGGGTCTCCCACATGAGTGCAGGATCCCAAGGCTTTGGGCCATCCTCGGTTGCTTTCCCAGGCCACAAGCAGAGAGCTGGAAGGGATGTGGGGCCACCAGGATTAGAACTAGTGCCTAGATAGAATCTTGACACATTCAAGGCGAGGACTTCAGTCCCTAGGTCAGGCCCTCATTACACTTTCTGAGAAAGCATTTGTCTTTTAAACTTTAACTTTTTAAAATGTTGCTATCATTTTCATACTCCTATTTTAAAGTTAATTTAAACATATTTGCTTCTTTAAGTTTTTTGTTTTCTGCATAGGCTCTGTTTTTCTCCCATTAGTTTACATGATTGGGTCTTTCTGTTTCATACTGGAGGCTTTCCTCAAACACCCGTTGATCTTTCAAAATAAGGCACCAAAGAGCAGATGATAAACACTGTGTGCATAAGTGATGTTTACAAACAGTAGGTTATAATCACAGAGTGACTGGATGGAAAGCTGGTCATTGAATTGGAAACCCAAAAAGTCAACTTTTGAAGGCCTTTTGCCCCTGTGTGGCATTCACTTTATCTAGAAAATAAATCCTCCAGTTTTCTTCCCTTATTAAGGAAGTTTGCTGGATATTTTACTACTAAATTTAGATAGTCACTTCTTAAAAATCATTTTAACCAAGTCCTTAGAGAGTACCTCAATGGTATATTAGTGTATTTCTCATAACTGCTTTTTTTATAAGCTAAGGATCTGGTTTTATTTCTATTAGCTTTACCGAATCTCATTGTTCTGTAACACTGTCAAGCAGTTTATTCTATAGCTGTATGTCATCTTCAACAATGATGAAGAGTCTAAAGAAGTAAACTTCATGAGCCTCTCTTTTTGAAATAAAGTCACATGGACAGATTTAGAGCACTGAAGTGAAGCAGTATTATAAAGATGGATGTGCAGGGCTGGCACAGTGGCTCAACGGGCTAATCCTCCATCTTTCAGTATCAGCATCCCACAATGGGCACCAGTTCCAGTCTCCAGCTGCTCCACTTCCTATCCAGCTCCCTACTTATAGCCTTGGAAAAGCAGAAGTGGAAGGCTCAAGTCCTTGTGTCTCTGCAACCACATAGGAGACCCAGAAGAAGCTCCTGACTCCTGGCTTTGGATCAGCTCAACTGCAACCACTGTAGCCATGTAGGAGGTAAACCAGCAGATGGAGGATGTTTCTCTCTCTCCTTCTCTTTGTAAATCTGCCTTTCAAACAAAAATAAATTATTTTTTTTAAATGGGATGGGGGGAGACAGGGAGCAGGATATATCAACATGCTATAAAAACAAACAAAACAAACAAAAAAGACAGCACTGAGCTGGAGGATGTCCAAAACCCAGTATGAGCTGGCTCCAGAGACCGTGGTTCCACTACATCAGCAGTATCAGTCTTGGAATAAATGATGGCACATGGAAGAAAAGCCTTCAGAATCTGGCTGAAGAATTTTAATCTAATCTTTTTATTTAATAGGGAACCTCTCTTGAACCTTGAGTGCAATAATGTGATACTCTGATAAACCAAATTTATCTGGGGTTCGGGATCAGTGTGATATTCATGGAAATGAAGATTATAGAGATAGAGAGGTATGTAGAAGAGAGCCAAATTGGCAAGATTCTCATATCTTTGTTGTAGTGCTCATTATATTTTGTACAAAGAGTACTTTAAAAGATTCATAGAACATGGAATTAAAACCCAAGTTTATTTTGGGCCAGCACTATGGTATTGTGGGTAAAGCCACCTCCTAAGACACCAGCATCCCATATGGGTGCTGGTTTGTCTCCTGGCTGTTCCACTTCTAATCTAACTCCCTGCTGATGACGTTGGAAAGGCAGCAAAGGATGACTCAATGGCTTGGACAGTTGCCACCCTCACAGAGACCTGGATGAAGCGCCAGGCTCCTCGCTCCTGGCTTAGGCATGATCAGCCATAGCCACTGTGATCATTTGGGGAGAGAACCAGCAGATGGTAGGTCACAGTCTCTGAAACTCTGCCTTTCAAATAAATAAACGAATCCTTTTTTAAAAAAGCATATACTGGATACAAAAATTTTTGAGCTGCATGAACATTTTTTTCATGACAAATTTTCCATGAATTTTTCATTAATGAAAATATTTGGGAATATGATAACTTTCATGGCATTTAACTCATCCTTTTTCAGAGCCCTTACATTACTTAAGAGGTACATTTACAATTCCATTTCTGTGATTTTCTACAAAACTGCTGGCAAACACAGTATCACTGCAATTGTGTATTCATTTTCCATGAAAGATTACATAAAATAATTATGGAAATGGATGTCAGTTTAAAACTACTCATTTGCTCATTTTATGGGAAGTGCATTACGACTCAGGAAATTACCCAGCCTGCTACCTCAATGAGAAGATTTCTAAGGCAGCAGTGTGGTCTTGGCTCAGGGAGCACAACACAGGTATTTATTCTCCATGCTCATTACTACAGTGATTACAGATATCACCAAGCAGAATGAAAAAGAATCATGATTTAATCATCACCATTTGAGCATTCAGATTTGGCAGATATTTTCCTAAGAAAGTGGGTTGTTATACATTATTGAGGGTTTAGAGGACTTTTTATAAGATTTATAGTATGGCTTTTAGAGGTGCTAACATCCTTCCAACCAATAAAATGACGACATATTCAAAAAAGTCATATCCAGAAGGAGGAGCACAGAATAGGGCTCTGAATAAGGAGCTCAGGGTGCTGATGGCATGTCCATATACAAATATTAACTCAAGAAAATGTCACATGCTCCAGAGATGAGAAAGCATCTCAAGAGTGTATGTGTGAAGCAGGTACTGATAGCAAAGGGAACATAAATTAAAAAATAAGGGCTGCAAAAGTCAATAGGAAACCAAAGAGCTTTCTCTACCTCCAATACCTCCTGGAACCAGGACTTCAACATTTCCAGTGGACTCCTTCAAACTTGATTGCCATAAAGGGGTGAAGCAGTGAAGGTGATATTTGGTGAGGATTGTGAATGATGGATGCCTTCTGATGTCCCTTTCCAAATCGGCCTAAACAGGATAAAGTAAGTTTTCTATTCAGTGACTTCTTATATTCCTGAGCCAGACAGTAAAGTGAAAAATGCAGACACCATACTGTTGTGTCAGAATCTCATTCTTTTATATGGGTAAATGGTTTTCTATTGTGCATATATACCACATGTCATCAGTTGATGGACATCTGGGTTGATTCTATTTCATCTCTGCCACTGTGAACTCAAGGGAGTGCAAGTCTCTCTTCCATATGCTCATTTCAGTTCCTTGAATATATTTCCAGCACTGGGATAGCTGGATCACATGGCAGAATGGTTTTCAGCTTTCCAAGGAATTTTCCATAATGATTGTACCAACTTTTATTTGCGTCAATATTCTCCACTACCTCACCAGTATCTGTTATTTTTTATTTTGGGTGATAAGGCATTCCAACTGGAGTGAAGTGATACTTCACTGTGTTTTTTACTTGTTCTTCTCTGATGGCTCATGATTCTGAGTACTTTTTCACATCTGTTGGCCATTTTTATTTTTCTGTTAATACATTTTTCTCCTATTTATGTAGGTTAATATAGAGCACAAAAGTTGTATGGAGGTTATATTATTTGATAGTTACAAATATTGCTTTACCGAATTATAGCATGTATCTCACAATATATACCTCTTTTCCTTCATTATCACCATTATCATGAATCCTTCATTTTGATATGACATGTTTCCAAGAAAAATAGTATATAATTGTGTATTTATAAAGTCTACATGTGAAATGAACATGGAAAAATATTAACATGATTACATTTTAAAACTAAGTACAGAAAAACTTACAAAAATGTAGATACCATTCACACTATAATTCTAAAAAGTTTGCTCCCAGGTTCTAATATGAAAGACTGCACAAGTGTAGGTGTAGATGCCAAGTTACACAGGAGCTGATTTTCTGAAAAGGGGAAAGATATATTTTTTGCAACAATATGTTGTGTTTGGCAAGAGAAGAAAAGCAAGTTGAGTGAGAAAGAAAGAAAATTTTGAAAATACTCAAGACTTTGTAGAACTTAACTTCTAGTTTGCACTGGGAAGATTCAGACAGATACACTGATCTTGTGAGGGAGGCTTTGCTTTATGGGTGTGATTTAATGATGGGAGGAACGCTTTAACAAGGCCAACCCCTTGTAAAGGGCCACCATTGCTAGGGGATTCAATAATTGAAGTGCCACACAGACCCGTGGGAAGATTTAAGGTGCTGTCATTAAGGGCAGGATGAAGGATGAGATGACATCACTTCCCAGTCTTTTGCAGCACCATTAGTCTAAGATCTATTTAAGAAAAAAAAACAAAAAACTGTCCCTGTGTGTGTGTGTTTTCTTTATAGTGGCTTGGACTATATTTACTACAGAAGTGCTGCTAAATCAGGTTTTGTCAACAATCCCTAGACTGTGTTTAGAAGAGACATAAACAATCCCCCAAGAGTTAAACACAATTCTGGTACCAAGTACTGATTCCTTCCTAAAACATTTAATGTGTTCCTCTTATTTCTGGTTCACTGAGAGAAACAGACAAGATCTCCTTAGCCTTAGCCTTGAAAGAATCTTTGGTTATGTCATGATAGTTCGCATACTTGCAATAGCACTTAAGTGGATAATTACTTATTAGATATCCACAATGTTCAGCATCACAGAGATGTGTTGAAAATACAGAATTGGGTAAGATACAACTCGTATCTGAAGGAAGGAAGTGCAGGGGGAAAAGAACAGTATGACATGCCATCAAAATGTAGATGAGGCAGTAACTTAAAGCTAGTTTTTATAGTGATCAGAACTGACAGGAGATTTGAAATACAGAACATGGACAGAAAGAATCGTCTTCCTTGTAAAACCTAAAAATAATAATCACAATAATCAGACTACAGGTCTCTATAGTAACTGTTATTAGCAGCTTCATAAAGACAGTTACATATAAATAGGGAGACAGACACATACAATCAATAGATGATTGATGATATGGTTTGACCAGATACAAAATTCAAAGATGACAGTACCACCTTTCTTCTACTCTTACATGATTTCTGATGAAACACCTGCTGTCATTCGAACTATATAGCAAGATGCTGTTTCTCTCTTGCTACTCTTGATTTTGGTTCCTATATATTCTCAGCTTTGATGCTTTCAAACATTTTTGCTTAAAGTACTCTTTCATGTTTGTTCATATCTTTTTAACCTCTGAAACTCAATATATGTAGAAGACTTTTTGCTGTTATTTTGCTAATTTGTTTTTTGTTCCACAATTCCATAATGTTCTGTTCACTTTCTTCCCAACCTATTGTCTCTGCAACTAACATTTACAAATTCCATCAGTTCAAGCCCCCTGCTGATTCAACTTCCTAATGCAAATGGAAGGCAGCAGAAAATGGTCCAAGGATTTGGGTCCCCGCCATTCCTAAGGGAAATCAGGATGGAATTTCTGGCTCTTGGTTTCAGTCTGTTCCAAATGTGGCTATTCAGCCATTCGGCCATTTGAGGAATGAATTAGTAGATGGAGATTCATTCTGTTTCTGCTCTTGCTCTTGTTCTCAGTCTCACTCTCAGTCTTGCTTTCAAACCAATGAATAAATCTTTTGTTAAAATTTCACAAATTGCACTGATCTGCTCCCAGGTTAACTGATCCTAACTTTTGTCATTTCCACTCTGTCATTAGTTCCAAGTTTGGCAAATGATGCACATGTGGAGAGTCAAAGGTTTTGTGAACAAGATAAATTAAAAAAATCCAAAATCCATCTTGAAACTTGTGATGACTTCTGAAAATGGAACCTAAGAGGAAAGATGTGCAACATATACTTTAAAAACACCAATTAACAGGTTTTCTTTTTTAAATTATATTTTTCAGTTACATTATCACCCAATTCTTACAGAAAAAAAAAAACAATATGGTAGGAGAACCATAATGGTTCCTTTGCTAAATTATGTTTTAGTTTTGCTATGCTTTATTGTCTCAGAATTTGTAATTACTTGTTGAAGCATTTTTATGATTGCTGGTTTAGTCTTTGACCACATTAATGCTTGATTTATGTCAGTGTTACCATTTCACTGCCTTTTCTTACTCAAGTTGTTCTTTTCATAGTCATTGGTATGACGTGTTTGGGTTGTAACTTGCACATCATTATTTCCTACAAACTTCACTAGTTTTTCCTTTGACACTTTTTCAATTTTTTAAAAATTTATTTATTTTTATTGCAAAGTCAGATATATAGAGAGAGGAGGAGAGACAGAGAGGAAAATTTTCCATCTGTTGATTCACGCCCCAATTGACCACACTGGCTGCTGCTACGCCGATCCGAAGCCAGGAAACTCTTCTTGGTCTCCCATATGGTTGCAGGGTCCCAAGGCTTTGGGCTGTCTTCGACTGCTTTCCCAGGTCACAAGCAGAGAGTTGGATGGGAAGTGGGGCTGCTGGGATTAGAACCAGCACCTATATGAGATTCTGGCACATACAAGGTGAGGACTTTAGCTGCTAGGCCACTGCACCGGCCTTGGTCTTAGCTTACTTTTGTGAACTGCGATTCCTACAACAGTTCAGATTTCACAGTTTTGGTAGTGCTACATTGGTCTGCTAGCCCCAGGTGCTACTAGGACTCCTAATTGTGCTTGGTGATGTGATTCAGAGGAAGAAGAATGTTCCACCACACCATGCAAAGCAATCCGAGGTCTCATTTAATATCAACTCAAATCATGGCCATTATTCAATTGATTTTCTTTTTATTCATAATTATATCAGTCAACATATACATACTACACAAGGAGTATTGTATTCCATTACATATTTTCAACCACTCTTTCCATATGTGAAATTTAATTGTACTGTATAAGAAACTGAGAAAAACAAAAACAATTCTATTAAGAATGACATTCATACTAAATTCAGAAGGTTGACAACCATTAAATGTCCACATGTGTAGTCAAGCATACAAATCTGCAAATATGCATGTATGTTTTCAAGTATTCAAGCAGCTTAAACGGTTTTACTAAAAATAAGCTATTGTTCAGAGAAGGCTTTTCATGGAAAAGCTACATTAACAGGATGAGAGAGAGAGGAAAGTTGATTCTGGCACAGGGAGTTTGAACTCGGGGAACTTGTAGAGCAGCAGTATCCTAAAGAGAAATGCTGAAATGCTAAAATATAACTGATTTTTAGGATGCATGATACTTCATTTTTGAACATGCTATATTTGATGTGAAAGCAAGTAATTCAGGTTAAAAAATGTTCCAGGATGAGTACTTTACATACAGGACTTAGAAAAAATATCACATCAGCAATTAGCCAAAAAAAAAAAAAAAAAAAAAAAGGTAGAACTTGGAGGAAGCAGTGAGACTGTATGAAAAAAAAATGCCTTAACAACAATGGGTACAGGGAAAACAGAGAACTGATTTCTTTCGGAATAGTTAAGAGTTCAGCTCCAAGCTTGTCTGTCTCTCTCTCTCTTTTCCACTCTACCCTCCCCACCCTGAAGGATAATTACATACAGCCATATCAGCTATGACAGAATTAAGGGGAGATATATCTTTAAGTACTACAGGCAGTTGAAAATCAGACAGAACTTAGGGAAAATACAGAAAAAATTTATTTGAGAATTATTTGGAGAATTAGAAACTAAAATAGTTTTTCCTAATGCTCACATTTCTTGAACAAAATACTTAAAAACAAAAATATTTCATAAGCTCAGGCAAAACTAATGGTGTTTTTGGATCATGATTATACAAGATATTGAAGAGCATGAATATCTAAAGATTGCAAGGAGTGCTAGTAAGAAAATCAGAAGGGCTCGGGAGAAAAAAAAAGATTTATAAAATGGAATCCTGGTGCTGCGGCATAGCAGAGCGGTAAGCTGCCACCTACACTGCCAGGATCCCAAATGGCTGCTAGTTTGAGTTCTAGTTACTTCACTTGCAATCCAACTCGTGTTAACACACTTGGGAAAGTAGTGGACGATGGCCCAACTGCTTATGTCCCCACCCTCACGTGACAGACCTGGAAAAAGCTCGTCTCCTGGCTTCCTCCTGGTCCAGTCCTGGCCTTTGCTGTCATTAGAGTGTGAACCAGTGGAAGGAAGTTCTGTGTTTTCTGTCTCTTCCTCTCTCCATTTCAAATAAATAAAATAACATTTAAAAAAATAGAATCTGAAATTTTAGTAGCAGTGAGAAGGAAGGGAGAAAGGTGACTTGGTACAGATAGGCTGACTGGTATAAACGAAGTTGAAGAACACATGCAAAATTTCTTTTGCCCTATAATAAAATATAGTATAAATATAAATATATAATATAAATATAAAATAAATTGCACCTCTCCAATGAAATATGATGACCAGTCACACGTGTGTAATGAGCAAACAAAGTAGAGGCCCAGAAAAAATGTTTGTTGACAAGAGAGTTGAATGCAGTACACTGGAGAGTGAAAGCTGCGACAGTACTAGTACAGAGAGGTACAAAGGCCATGTCTTAGAAAATTATGTAATCTGAGGTCAATCATAGACGATGAGGAAATTGCTGAAGCCATATGTCCCTCCCTCAATTTCAAAGTCCAATGCTCTTACTCACTCAATGTAATAAAGGTGGCCTGAAATATTTCCAGACTGAAGATCAAACGATAAGCTAAATTTCACTTTAGTAATGAAAGTGAATCAGGAATATGGTTTAATCATTTTCCTCATCTATGCCTAAAATTAGGCCCTCAATGTATTATTTTGACTTATTGTGAACCTCCATATTGTAAAGTTACTACAGCACATGAGCCAACAGTAACTTTAATTTGGGTGCCTATAAAACTGACCTGTAGTAAGCATCCTTTCTAAAGCACTTCATGTTGAATAAAAAGTGGTTGCTTCTTTATTCTGTACTACTATAGATAGAATTGAGCCAGTTTCATTTGTCCTTTGCTACATTTTTTTCTTGTCAGAAATTTTCTACTCAATCACTTCAAATCTGAGCTAGGCTGAGTTTGGAGCAAAATCCTGACAGTGATTTCTGTGAATGAACCCTTTCGACATTTGCCTTGCCAAACTGCCTGCACACAGCACTAATACCATCTGTCTTGATATCCTATGTGGCTGCCATGCAGCCTAACAAGGCAATTCAAGACTTGGGAACAGCCTTGTGGCACCAACAGGCGAAGTCATTGAGACATTGGCATCCCATACCTGAAGTGCTGATTTGAGTCTCTGCTGCTTCACTTCTAACACAGATCACTGCTAATATACCTGGAAAAGCAGCAGAAGATGGACCACATATAAACAAAAATAAATCTTGAGGAAAAACGAAAAGCTTCTTTAATAAACAAGCTTACTTCTTTTGGATCATTTCATATAATACCAGATTTATTAACTGGTTTGGGATAGTCCATTTAAATTCAGCTATTGTTTTTGAGTTTTTAAGAGTCCACCTGTCAAACAACAGAAGTTGGACGTTGGCCTTCTCCCAACTTGCAATGCACAGGGCAGTGCTCATGTGCAGATGTGATTTTGTAGCCAAAACTAAAGGTGAGTAACTTGTGCTAATTGCCACCAAGGATGACCAGGCTCTAATTCTTCCTCCTTGATGGTTACTCTCCTCTTCAAAACCATTTTCCAATCATAATACAATTTTTTTCTATCAATTCATTTTATATATTTTTTACTCATTACTTTTGGATCCTAGAAACATGCTAATGTACAAGGCAAGGCAATTAGTACTCCAGAATTATCTAGCATACCACTTAAAAGAGTAGGGGTGCTCCAAAGAAGAAAATGAAAAATCTGTTTACTGCTGGGAATAGCAATGATTTAACTTCATATAGTTCTTGAGAAAGCCAGAGGCCATATTTTTCAACCCAGTGAATAAATTTTTAAGTCCTAAAAATCAGAAGGCAGAATTTTCAATGTATATTTTATGAACATTCCTACCAACATTAATTCAATAAATGACCATTTCCCAAGTTATGCATACATGTGCTAATTAAATGGCATTGGTAAATATATCTTCATTAAAGGGTTTTTTTGCTTGTTACTATACATTTTTAAGCATGAATTAAGGTTAAGAATCACCAGTTACCTATGAATATAGACTTGAATAATTAAAACATTTCACAAAGCCATCTTTTGTCTTTCAGTTGTTAAGTAAATGTCTCCAAATACTTTTCATGTGTTTATAGTTGAGGTACTATTATTAAATTTATTTTATATGACGTTTCTTAATGGAGCACAGGCCACTAAAATTATAGCATAATTATAGTTGGTAAAATTACAGTAATACTATAAACTATTTTGCTAAGAATCTTCAGCTATGAAGAGAACTAACATGAAAGTGTGCCAAATGATTTCAGATTCTATACTAACCTGTGGGACTTGTCTAGTAAGGTTTGTATTGGTCTACAACTTCCTTTTATCCGTATTTATTTGTGAGCTCTGGAAAAAAAAAGGTAATGGAATGGGATTTCTAAAGTTGAAAAATTTATATAATATAAAATGTAACATCTTCATTATTTCTAATTGCATGGTTTGGGACATTAGGTATTCACACTGTAGTGTAACTATCATCACTATGCATCTCCAGACCTTTCTCATCTTTGAGGACAGAAACAAAGATCCACTCCCTGTCTCCCACACTCCTGCCGTTGGCAACCAACATCCTGTTTGTGGTCTCCATGAACGTTACTCTCCCAGGTACCTATTTGAGTGGAATCATACAGTTTAATCCTTTCACATGTTGCTTGGCCACTTATAACATCCCAAGGTTCATCCATAGATTGTGTCAGAGTTTCATTCCTTCTTAAAGTTGAATTCTATTCCATTGTACATACCACATCTTCTATATCAATTTATCCATTGTTGGGATGAACATTTGAGTTAGTTCCACTTTATACACCCAGTAATACACAAATGTTATAACTTCTCAATTAGAAATTAGTTTTTCAAGGATATAAATATGAATTAAATTTTTGTAATACAATTTTAGTCTTGTTTCTTTTCATTTCTTTGTCATTTGCTTTATTACTGAAATCAAAATCACTTGCTTTATTGTTGAGAAACAGAGAAATCCTTTACTCCCAAAATATTACAAACAGCTGGGAATGGTCCCGGTCAAAGCCAAGAGCTAGACTGCACGTCAACAAGTGGGTGGCAGGGACCCAACTACCTAAGCCATCACTTGCTGCCCTCAGGATCAGTATCAGTAGGAAGCAGGAATCAGAAGCAGGGCCAAATCTCAAATCGAGTTACTCCATAATAGGAGGTAAGCATGTTAGTTGGCTCCCTATAACTGCTACAATAAATGACAACTCTCTTAGAATTTAGTGGTAAATTAAAAACTGAGAAGGAAGACAAAACAAGCTCTGATAATAGAAAACATCAAGCAAATACCCTTGCATAAGCAAGTAAAGAGGGGCCAATCTTCAGCATTCAGAAAACATACATATATAACATGCACCTACATAGTCTCCTGATGAAGAGATAATTAAGCATTTACAGCTGTTTTTCTAAAATATTCATATTACTGTGTAAGCTAAATGATAAGAACTTGCTTTAAAATACTTAAACAGGTGTTTAAATTAAAATAACTAAAATATGCTTGTGTAGATGTAATAAAGGAACATTTAATGGATTGAAATTAAGTGATACTTTTAATTGTTGAAACAGGCTACAATTAGAATCATCATTTTAGAATCAGAAGCAATTAAAAAAGTATAAAAAATAAAAAATAAAAAAGTAAAACAACTTCACTTAACTAACATATAAAATATATATCTTCTCAGTTTCATTATGTCTACTTTGAAGTTTTATAAAGTATTAATGTATATGTTAAAATTCTAATGTTCCTTTATCTGTTTACATTATAATATTCTTAAGACAGTATGTCACACATATACTTAAGTTTCATATGAAAATACTCTTTCCATAAAGCATAACAATAATTTGCACTTCATAAAATACAATTTATATTAGAAATTCAAAGAAACAAATTGATGTATCTTGAATAAATTCTAAATTTCTTGTTGAAGACTTTCTTATCAAGAAAATTCAGCTGTATCTCCTAAGAAATATTTTAAAATGGAATTTTATAATCATTATCTCTACCTGAATGGATATCATGGCTATGTTTCAGAATTATTTCAAAATCATTCACACAATGCTTTGATTAGTTTAGCTACTACATGGACATTGAGACTATTTCCAAGTAGACGGTAACGCTGCTTCACAGTAATATTCTCAGGAAATCCTGGAAAAGAAAGGAAAATAATATATAATAAAACCATTTATAATAGCTACTTCCAGAGAAAAAAGGATATATCCTTTAACAAGAGCACAGTACTCATTTCAAAGATATAATCACACGCTGCCTAATGATGCTCCAGGCAAGGACAGACTGCACCTAGAGGGTCCCAAAGATTGTCTGGCCTAGTGACAGTGTACCATCTTGGTTTGTGTTAAGTGCACGCTATGATTATAGACTGACAAAACCATCTATCAATGTATTTCTTAGAACACACTACTAAAGTAATGTATGACTGTAAATCGGTAAGTTTTCCATGACAATTTTATCAATAAGTGAGAAAGTAGACCCCATATTTAACGTTACAATGGCCAAAGACAAGATACTGCTATGTCAATGTATACATGCATAACACACACAAAACTCACAGAAAGCTTTAATAAAGTGGTGGCAACCATTATTTCAGTTATTCTTCCGTATGTTTTTATAACATACATACAATTTACCCTTTTAAATCATACAATTCAGGGGATTTTAATATAGACACACTTTTTCAGCATTCCTACTACCTAAATCCAGAACATTTTCATCACTTCCAAGTGAAATCTGGCTTCCATTTAGCAGTCAACTTCCTATTTCCCCTCTATGCCTCTCAACCACTAACCTACTTTCTATATTAAAGTCTGAACTGACTTTTGGAAAAAAAATCATGTAATTTTAAAATTAGAAATTAATTTTTTTAAAGATTTATTTATTCATTGGAAAGTCAGATATACAGAGAGGAGGAGAGACAGAGAGGAAGATCTTCCGTCCGATGATTCACTCCCCAAGTGAGTGCAACGGTCGATGCTATGCCGGTCCGAAGCCAGGATCCAGGAACTGCTTCCAGGTCTCCCACATGGGTGCAGGGTCCCAAAGCTTTGGGCCATCCTCAACTGCTTTCCCAGGCCACAAGCAGGGAGCTGGATGGGAAGTGGAGCTGCCAGATTAGAACCAGTGCCCATATGGGAATCTCGGCATGTTCAAGGCAAGGACTTTAGCCGCTAGGCCATGCCACTGGGACCCTAGAAATTAACTTTTTGAAAACTCAAGAGACACTAAAAATAGCAGTAATCCTCAGAAACAAAGAATTAGAATTAACAAAGCCATGACAGCAGCTTCCATGCAGTAAGTACAGGTTAGTGCCCCTGTCAAAGCCTGCTTCCTCACAAAGGTAGGCCTCCAGTCACAAAGAGAAACAGGCCAGAATGCACAGAAAGGTCATGGAACTTCACCGCTGCCAGAGGACACCGGTGCAGAGGCCACCGCTGCAGCTCCAACAATGCCCACGCTGCACCCAGTGTCAATCATGTCAGAAGCACTTGTGCAGGACCCCTGAGGCAGAGTGCTGCTCAGTGGGTACACACCAAGAGGACTGGGCACTTCAAGAACCTTTTTTCTGTGTGTGCTATGCAATACAGTCAGAGTGCTTCGAAAAGTCCTATTTTATCCACCTAAAACTGAATAATAATGAGAAAACATTTACAAAATAAATGAAAGCAAATCAATTTCTATCGCTTAAATGAGCTAACATCTACATTTTATACTGTGTCCCAGATATTATATAAGCATTTACATATTTTAATTCACTTAATTGTCATAACAATCTTATTAAGAGAGTGCTATAATTATCCTCATTTTCATCTAAGTTCTCTAGGACAGTGGGTAAGATGGAGCTAAGATTCAAACTCAGCCAGCCCTTGGCTCCAGGCTCCTTAACAAGTTTCAGTATTACAAATTGACTGTGTAAGGTAAGATTTGTGTAGGGTAAGATTTAGGGGAGAGGCATGGGACAAAAATTTAGATTAGTTTTTATTAGCCAATCTTCTTTTCTCTCTTTAGGAGTATGTAAAGTATGCCTGATTACTCCTCTAGAAAATAATAATTAAGAAAGCACAAGGGGAATTCAATTTGCAGAGTTCAGTTCTCAGTTCTTTATTTCTTAGGATGTTCTTACTTACCTTGTGACACAAAGACAAGCAAAATGCATTTCTCTTAAATAACACTCCCTAATGTCTTGGAAACTGAGTAGGATTTTAAAAAAAAAGCAGGGAGCAAAAAATAATCTTGATTGCTGTGACTACATTGAAGAATCAATTAACCCAGAGGGCACTCAATTTATATTGAAATTTTGCTTCAAGGATACAAAAGCACTGCTTTCTTAAGACTCATCTGTAAATCCATTATCTGTCATCTGAGATGAGATATATTTAACCCATCTTTTACTCTAGCACTGTATTAATGTTATACCATGTTGTTCCATTGTGCTGCAGTGAGTCAAGCTGCAATTTGCATCACCACAAACCATATCAAAGTAACTGGGATGGAGTTCTAGCTTCTCTCTGTCATTTTGCCTTTCAATTACATAATCATTTAATATTATAACATTATTTATTTCAACAAAACTTGATTTTGTGCATTCAAACTCTCGGAGTTCTCAAAAGTACACTTCCTCCTTTTACATCCTGCAAGTTGGTTATGTATAAAGTCCATCTTCCTCATGCCCAACAGCCAGGTACTAGAAGCACAACCATCCCCCAGGCCTAGGAAAGCCACAGCCTCCTTACAGCTCAAAGGGCTGCTTAGGCAGTGGGATCATAGCTGCTGTAACCAGGATAAGGCAGAGCATCCAACCAAATAACAACAGTAATCCCTGGATTTCCTGGATTAATAATGCAGTCGGGACTTTGTCCTTCCACTCTGCAACTCCTATCTTCACTTTTGTTTTTCAGATTCTCTTCTGCAGATCCCTATCTTCAGTCAACTCTGACAATGGTGCTGCCAAGTCCCTCTTTCCTTTGGAAAATTCCTCCCAAGATCACCTCCCTACCTGCTTTTTTCTCCACTTAGCCTTGTAGGAAAGAACAGGGGCACAAAACTGATAAGAATATATTTTTGTGGAAGAAACTAACAGAAATACACCCCTACTCTCCTGCAAAATTCTTCAACCATATTTTAGTGTACACACACACAAACACACATACACAAACACAGGCCTTCACTCACAAGACACCTAGTGTGAGGTTACCAGGAGGAGACTTCTGGAAGCAAGAAGAAAATGTGGGAGAGGGAGAACTGTTGATTTGCCCTTTCTACCCCTGAAAACTAAAATCAGCAATTGGAGTTAAGCAAAGGGGAGAATTAAATCAGAGAGAATTAGCTGACACGGGTTATGAGAGAAAAAAGAAAGAGGGAACAAAAATGCCAAATAATGGTGTGATCAAAAAAAGTGAAGAAAGCTCCTGATGGGAAAGAATTTTTCATAAAATACACGTGAGAGGACTTTGGAATCAGGGGACCTTTAGTAAAGGAAAGCTGAGGTCTGCATGATCTGACTTACCAAACTCTGGAGGAAATCCAAGAAGATTAGCTATTTCTCTAGGAGTGAAATACCGCAGTTTAAGCATTGACAACATTGTTATCTTTCCCTCTTGTGATAAACTGGGAAGGGATTTGTAGATATTCTCAATCTGAAAAAAAAATACCGAGATAACTAGAACAGTAATACGCAACCAAGTTTGTTAAGATTTCCTCTCTGGGACACAGTTTAAAAACAATGTACATGTAGTATCCTCAGTCACAAATCTCTGAGGCAAAATATCTCCAAGCAACTAAACCATTGGCTCAATAGCAGCAGCAAGCATAAAAGAAATATAGAGAAATATGCAAAGGAAACTCTGCCAACTAGGTCAAGTTCGTGATGCTAACGAAAAGATAATTAAAATATTTTAAAATTATTTTTATTATTTTTCATGATAGTTTTGCAGGTATAGGTAGTCCCCTCTTGTCTTCCCATTTTCCACTCCCACCATCTTGCCCATTGTATTTCAGTAAAACATCCCTTCAGTAACAGTTACAAGTTTAACATTCTTGTATTTAGGCACATTGTGTAGGTATAGACAATGATAGACAATCTAAAATGCTTACTGTTTCCAATCAATCTCACCAAGTCAAGATACTTTCCTAAAATCAGAAAACCTATTAAATTATTTCTGAAGTCCAAATATTTATTTTCCTATGAGAAGATTTCTATCATGGTCAGATGCAATAATAGTTAGGATGATGAAGCATGGTTAAAAAAAAAAAAAGATACAGTGGCCTCAGGTTAAAAGTATTAAAAAAAAATGTGATACTTATCAGATTAGTATTCATCATAACACCACAAAGAGTTTGCAACTGAAGTATTAATAAAGTTCATAATAAAGTTCATTCTTTCCTCAAAATAAAGTTTTATAGGATGTGCCACAAAATCTTAACCATTAAAAGGCCTGTGCAAAATTTTAGACAGCGTTAATTATTGTGAATTTCAATCACTACTGATAAAACAAAAAGAAATAGTGTAGGAAATTTGGAAGACAAAAACATAAAACACTCCTTGTGCATAAACTTATACACAGTAACAAGAAAAATAAAATTCATTTGACAGTACACATTACATGAATATATATGATTATCATGAATAAATAATATATGTATATATTTATTCCCAGTTGAACTTGTAAGAATATTCAACATTCTTAAATTTAGTATTCTTGAAAAGTTTTCAAATACTTTCATTTTATAACATACATACCTGCACATCCTCTGCTGTCTGTAACACAGATCCTGTCCCTTCTACGTAACTTCCATAACTGAAAAATTAACATCAAGATTATGGATCACCTAATGTATTTGCTAATGCTTAAGTATCGTGAATGAAAATTAAACAATCTACATAATTACATGCCTCCAAAATATCTTCAGTTATATCACACAACTATGCTTTGTAATTACCAAGCAAAAGACATAGAACAATTCTACCTAAATTTCTGAGAAATCAAACATGGCAGTGTTTCCAGTAGAAAATGTACCACGTATTCAAATTTTATTCCATACTGGCATCTCTGCCACAACAAACCAAAAGTTGTGTAGGTAATGATATGTTACTGCTCTTTGTGAAAAATGAATGAACCATCTCTTTTTCTCAGGAATCTAAAACCCTGCTCTCCAGCACCATGATAAACACAGTCCACAGTCCTGTTGAGTCTGGTTTTCCTCTTTTAATACTGCTCATTCTCACTTAAAACTTTCATACAACAGGCCACTAAACTTAAAAAAAAAATCATAAACAACTAAAAAATGCAAAGTATTTACAAAACTTCTCTCTAATATCATTGCCAAAAAACTCAATACATTAGCATTATTTTTCCCCTGTGGAGAAGATTGAAATATCTATTACAGAAAAAAAAGGTCACACCAGGGAGCCAGGGAGTAACTTTTCCATATTGTTTTCTTTCATATAGTACACATAAATATTTATATGTATATATTATCTACAGCAGACTTTCACAGTATAGTTTCTTGTATATCATCTTTATGATTACAGAAGAATTTCAAGGTTGTCTTTATCACAAATTTGATAAGTCTTGTTTTATGAGTTCTAAGTGGAACCTTTGGGACACCAACAGCTGAGTGAAATCTTCAACGGTAACAGAGAGCAATAACCTCTTTCCCTTGGAAGTACAGGGCAGAGTATGACAAAATAAAAAGTGCTGGTATGACTACAACAGGTCACAGTGCCTTGCTGAAACAGCTAGCACACAGGTAAAAAAGGAAGGCTTGAATTATAAAAACAAACTCCTACTTATCAAATGAGATCAAATAGCACTCACAAAGCAAAAAAACAATCTTAGGCAATATTCTTCTTATGACCTAATATTTCTCTTTTTTACAGATTAAAGCAAGTTGATGAAAAACTTTAAGCATGGAGAAGCAGTCCAAAGGAAGCCTCCAAATTTTCATCAATAGGTAACCAATAAAATAAATTATGGCATATATATATCATGTTAATAGAAAAGCCCTTTGTCTATTACAAAGCATCTCATTTATATGTGTAATGACCAAAAAACACATACAATATATATAAGTATCTTACCATTTACTGAGAGATAGAATACAATTTAAATTTAAAAATTATCCTAACATGCTCTTCATGATTAAATATTATTTCTTAAAATTAAAATTTAATTTCTTCTTATACACTGACCATGAGAGTAGACATAATTCTTTGAGGTGTGATGAGTCATAGAAAGGATGGCCCTAAAAAACCAGCAATTCATAAGCTACAAAAAACTTACTTTCATCTTGGGTATATAAATTCATATGAAGTTTATCAAATGGACTTGTATTATGAGCACCATATGGGTGACATGTTTAATGTCCATCAGAAAGAATTTTCATTCAGTTTCAGTGAGACAGAGTGGCCACGATGGACAGACAGACAGACACACACACACACACACACACACACACACACACACACACACACACACACAAATCATCCTAACAGAAACATTTTACGAAATACACATGGTTACAAGAACTAAAACAAACAGCATCTATGTGTTTAAAAAACAACAAAACAAAACAAACCACCACCTAGTTACTTTGGACATACCATGAGCCAGGTTTTTAAAAACCTACCCTTTTGTAAAGCAAGTGGACCTTCTACAAGTGGGGCTAACGATATCTAATAAAAGAGCGTATCTTAGCAATGACTTAGGAGGTAAAAAGTACTGATTCGTGTCAATGTCATCTTCAAGGAAATCTTTTAGCATTTGCACAGAGAGATCACTGTCCTGTTGACGTTTTCTGTCAATTTCTTCTGCAGTTTCAAGCTTAAAAAGAATGGTATCTTTTCCAGGACGTAGCTTGTTGCTACCAGAACAAACACTTGGTTGGATTTCCTTTTCTTCTGTTTTCTGTTTTGCATCTACTGAATATTGTTGTGGATGGTCAGATTCCATTTTGGGGAATTTCATCAGTACCTGGCATGAAGCAAATATGCAAAAACTGTCAAAGGATTTACTAAAGGAAAGGCAAATAAAATCCAGTCAACACTGCAAAAAGTCTATTCAGCCTTCAAGGATCGTCAATAAAAAATGGGTGGTGTGGAGTACTTTAAACAAGTTTTTGTAAGTTAGCAGTCTCACAGTTATTATATTCAGATTAAGGATGACTTGGTTTGGTTTCTATTTTTTAAAAATCAAAGTAATGTGAAGTGTGAATATAGACACAATATGACATTTAGAAAAGAAGCTTAGAAAACAATATTAACATTTCCAGAAACTTTGTCACATTCTGTGATTAAAAGGGAAGAATTCAAAGATACCCATGACCTAATAGAAAACCGGTAAAACATTTTTCATTGTGAAAGGTTTTTTCTATTCATGAATTTCAAAGGAAAATCTTACTTTTATGCAACATATAACTTTGAGAAAAGTTCTATTTTATAAAAGAAAAACTGCTGCAGGCATTTTAAGTGGTGAAATCTTTGCTAAATGAAAGGGGAGACACATTAGTGTTATAGGATACGCTAATGACCCAACTGCTCCCGGGTTAGTGGGATGGATCCTGAGCACTTACTTTGCAGGAAACTCAGCTATTCACCTTCATTCATGACGGAAACACACATACAGCCACACATGTAATTAGAAACATTATCTATAGCAAATGAACATTTTATTTTAGCTCATACTAATTACTGTATTTGAATCGAGCAAAATAGCATTGGCTTTAAAGAATGCAACCATGCTTGTGCTAAAATATTCAATCCATTTTTAAGGCAGTACATATTAAAATTAACCAATGGCTTTAAATGTAAAAGGAAAAGAAAAACTGAGAAATAGTTAATGGTCAGAAGAAATTTTATATAGAGGAAAATTAATATTAAAAATAGTAGTGGTGATTATTTTTAACTTTTAACTTACTTTGAAATAAATATTTTTCTCTTATTTTGTTTTCATGTTGTTTTGGTACTGACTGAAACAATGAAAGCTGCATCAGGAGAAGAAAAAGGCCTGAACATGAATGTAGGGCTGCAGACCCTGCAGGACCCGTATAAATCTGTACAAGATAGTTCTTGAAAATAAACGAACAACAGAGATGTACAAGAATAAACACTAATAACAATACCTGTCCAGGTGCCTGAAAAGATAATGGCTGTGACTGGCGTTTTGCAACAAGAAAATATCGTAGCCTGGAATTTGGAATGCCAAGCTGCAAATAAATTTTAGCAGCTAGTTAGTTTAGGAAGGCAGAGATTTGTATCTGCATACTTGGTTTGTACCTAGTTAAACTAAAACAAAAACCAACAAACAAAAAACCACCTCACACAACTATACATTTAGCTTCTGCAGAAGAAAATTTGCTATTGGTTTGGGGAAGGCTTCTTTATAGCAAATTCTAAACCTATTAAACTGTAGCTCTGTACCTTTCCCTGAATAAGGTCAAGATTGAGTCTGATGAAGCATATGACTCTGAGTCATTTTCATTTTGTATTTCCTAGGTTAAAGTAATGTGGCCATTAGTGATGACACAGTAATTATAAAGAGTGAAGTTCAAATGTAGCTATTCTTGGCTACTTATTAGCTGACTTCTTTCTGATACTTTATTTTTCATGTTAATATAATATTAACACAAACAGGTCAGATGCAATGTAGTTCATCGATACAATTTTAAGCATACGGTATTGCCTTACTCCCTGTCTCCTTCTATATTTAAGGTGGCTTCAATAAATTTCAAAAGTTAAGAGGAAATAAATACAAAATACATTTAAAGGAATCAAATACATTACCAATTTCTAGACTTTATACATGTTATTTTTAAAACAAGTTTTCTTTTAATTTCTTTTCAAAGAATTGTATGACACGATCAAAATGGTAAGAAATTAACAAGAACAACAAAAACAGTAATACTTATAAAATCAAAATTAATCAAATAACACCAAAAACAATTACTTCAATGTACAAATACAAAATGAAGACAATTTTTGCAAATTAACATTATATCATCAAAATTATTACAAAGTTAGCATATGTTCATTTTGTTTTTAGTTTTGTATTACTCTGAAGCAGTAATATGCTACAACATATCTAGGTTGAAAATATCCAATTTCACATATTTTGGAACCATCCTACCTTCATTCTCCAAAAGAAAATATATATTCCTTTTGAGTTTCAAGGCATGCAATTTTTCATAAAATACATATAAGGAAGCTACATGCACACACTACATAATTTAGAAAAAACGAATATAAGATCTTCTTGCAATATTACTCAAAAAAGAAGATTTATCTAATTGAATTGATTTAGGGAAGAAAAGCTTTAACTATATGAAAGTTTGCAACGCAGTACCTACAGAGGTTGGAGATAATAAAAATTCTTGATATTGAAAGCCACAATTTTCTATTGTCCGTATCAGTAAATCTCTGAAACGAAAAAGAAAAGTTTTCAACCTGTATTTGGAAAGGGGGTTTTATGTAAAACACTATACAGAGAAGTTCAATTAAATTGAAAAGACTTTAACTCCATTCAAGCTGCTTAAAAATATAATTACAAAGTTCAGGACTTAAGAAATAATAAAAAGATAATTATCTATCAGAAATAAATAAGGCTGCTGCTAATTTATTCTAATGGGTGTAATGTATGAATAACTCATCTACTGATGATAATTTTAATATAGGACCAGAAGTCTATCTTCAACATATCAAACCAGATAGAAATTCCGCTGTAATAGAATCAAGGATTTGGACGCCTTCCCCTAGGACTATCCCCTGAGAAACCTGGCGTAGGATTGAGTCCTACAAAAACATTCTTGCTTCAAATAGACAAGCACCAACAAAAGTGACGAAGTTGAAAATATGCTTCTCTTTTAAATGAGTACTTGTCCTGGAAAACTTCAAACATATCTGAGTATATTACACACTTCATGCGATTAGTCAACATCAACACTGATGAATGAAACACATAACACATGAAATGTCCGAATGTGTTTATTTTTCAGATCTTGATTTGATAAACATTTCCACTATGAAATATGCAAAATCTAAAATGTATCAAGAAAAATACATAAATGTTTTACCTTGTAGAAGATACTTCAAAACCTTTAACATTCTCTAAAAGAATACACTTAGGTAATTTTTGTAATCTAGAAAGACAAAAACATATGATATTCTGAGTATCTGAGTCCTCAGAAGTAAAAATCAAAGGAAATGATTACTGTGAGAAATATGAGGTAACTGTTTTCTGAATTCTTTTTACAAAGGAATTTTATATGTTGAAGCCAAGTCACAGTTCACTCACATTTTCTCATAAACAGGACATACTTGACAAAGTGGATATATGAAATGCTAACTTACACTGAAGTTTTTCAAAATCTGGGTTTTTGCACAAGGGCTCTGCAGTACATAACTCAAAAAGCTTCCACTGATATAACAATAACTAACATATCATGCTGTGGCCATTTAGGGAGTAAACCAGTGAACAGACTTCTGTGTCTCTCCCTCACTCTCTGTTACTCTGCTTTTCAAATGAATACATCTTTTATAATAAAGCAAACTATAGGAGATGTTAAGCTTTTTACCTGGGAAGAATATCTAGAATATATAAGAAGCTACTGGTCCTTGGATCAGTCATATCACCCTGCAGGCCGATTCTAAGATAAAGAAAACACAAAAATATTTTCCTTGAATCTTATATAAAGATGTCTAATCACAAAAATAGTAAAAACAGACAATTAAGATGAGTTGAGTCTCACAAAAACATGATCACTTTTGTTAAAACTAAATGCACGTACTCAATCAAAACTAAAAAGCCCTTGTGTGTCAATAAATTTTATTCTTGCAAAGTAAGTTACTTATTGACTTCCCTGAAACAAAAAAAGAACAAGTTACTAAGAAGAGCAATTACTCATTTAAAATTAACCTGTTTAAGAAACACACTCACACACAAGAAACACACAGAACACACACACACACTAACTGGCCCAGGTCACCTTTCATTGGCAACAGACAAGAGTTCAGATGAATGAGCTAGACAAGCAGGCTATCAACCTTCTGATGGTTTTCATGATGATTCATCATCAAACTAGATTAAAGTAGCAACTAAGATTCAGATAATCTTGCCCAATATAAATGGGGAAGAATGCTGTGGTACAAGCAGGAGTTACAATCTAGTTAGAATAACTAGTCTTGTAAGCAGCCAGTATTTGGGCAACCACTTAGAGCTTACAAGTGAGACTTGCAACATGATCAAGGATCAAGCAGAAAGGATGTTGCTCAGATTGGTCTTGGGGACATGAATTTAAAACTGAGTTACTTAATTACCTTCATAGTCTGAAATAAGTTACTTGACACCACATAGTTTCCTATCCTGGCAGCAGGACTAAAACTATCAGCACACAGGTAGGAGGCTGGACTTCAGCTAATTGCTCTGAATTCTTGCATACCTCTTACTTTGCCTCTTTCCTCCAACAATTGTTAAACTGATGACTATATAACAGTTATGCTGCCATCAGCAACAGGGGCCAGGAGGTGGGGCAGGAGGTGGAAGGAAGTAAGATGTAGGTGTGAAGAGCGGCAGGCACTGGCACTGTAGTAACACTTGAAAGTGTCCTGGTACTGGGCTGAATTCTCTCCTATCCTACACATTGAATTTAGCATGTCACATCATTACAAAACTTAGAAGCATCTTTATATGGAATGTCCTTTCCCCTCTTGGATGAACTCCTAAACTGTTTTCACTCACAAACATTATCTCTGAAAAAATTCCCCTCTCCCAATATGCAGCAAGCCATTTTCTCCTCTGTGATCTCCCCGTACTCTTCAGTATTCTTTATTACACAGCATATTTCATACTAAAAAATCTGACTTGTGTATCATTTCCATTAGAGTATAAGCTCCCTACAAAACAAGATCTTCTGTATCAACGATGATGTCTGGCAATATTGCAGGTACAAGAAATCTTCACAGAATCACTTTCCTAAAGAGCTGTAACAATTTAACATAAGCATATTCATTTGAATTAGAGTATTTATTACATATTATATTCCACATAAATCACATGTTAAAAAAGAAATACATGAAATGATTATAAATTCCAGTTTTAAGTGGCCCTAATTGTATAGCTTTGGGAATGTTACTTAACCTTTCTGTGCCTCAACTTTCAACTGTAAAATAATGCTAATAGCAACACCTATCATTTATGCTAAATAATGACTACCCTACATATTAACTTTAATGGTAGGGTCCCTGTGAGACACTTAAAGGACTATTACAATTATTAAAAATAATTTAAAATACTGCTATTTACAAAGTTCTAAAATGAAAACAAATTAGTCATTTCATTTAAGATGTAATTCCCTGAGACATAGTCTCAAAAATACTATATAATGTCTAAATAAAGAAACTGCAATATGGCTATCCAGGAATTCAGAATTACTAAATGTATTTATAAATTTTTTAATGTAAAATGCACAAATGTATGCTTAAATCACTTTTAAATTTTATAGTTAAATAATTTAGGACTTGAATACTAATTATGGAAATCCATTTTGCTTACTCAGAATTAGAAGTTATTCCTGAATGTTCATTATTTCAAATAAATTAAGGTAATAATTATCAGAAATAAATCTACTATCATATGCAGGTATAGAAGAAATGCATTAGTCTTCCAAAGCTAGTTCAGTAAATAACTTTTCTAGCAGTAGCTGCTACCAACTGAATAATAAATGCTGAATTATAAACATGAGTAGATGAAAGGAATTATTTGTGAAAATTTTCAAACTAACAAAAATAAACCTGAAGAAACTTCATCAGTACTCTTTCTCAACAGAAAATTATCAATCATACATACCTTGTGAATGGCTGACATGGAGGGCTCATTAAAATCATATCGAAAGATAACCTGTCAAATTCTTCTAGTGTAATACCCTTTGGAATAAACATGTGGGAGAAAAAGGAATATAAAAACATGAAAAGAATGAGGAAGAAGGAAAAACAGTAATTAAAACTAAATACAACAGAAATTCTAACAGTTTACATAACACAATACTTTTCAAGTCAACTCCCGCTAAGACAAACTTCCAGAAACAATCCTGGAAAGGAAGCAGGGCAGTAAACTAAGCCTATGAGACATTCAGTGACTTCCTCCAAGGAGCCGGAGCCAGCAGAGCCGAGCTGCAACTGCAGCTTCCTGGATCCTAAACACTTTTTGCTCTGTGATGCCTCAAGTTAACAATACTCTTTTTAGAGACAGTTTCATGGAGAATTTTATAACTAATGTTTTGTGGCACACAGTCTAGGAAAATTTTAACTACCTATCAATAATATTTAATTGGCAGGCATAACACATTGACCAACACTATCCTTTTTAAGCATGTCTCTGTCTCAATTATGGCATTGGTTTTTTTTTGTTTGTTTGTTTGTTTGTTTCACAGCTAAATCATACCACAGCTTTCCATCCTCTTTCTTTTCCCTTTTGTTTGTTATTTCTACTAGGAAAGGAAATACAATTTTAGAAGTGGAACATTTCGATTGGTCCTGCTGGAGTCGCCTTGATCTGCTTGTCCACAGGAGCAGCGTGAGGCCTCAGGGCCCTGCTCGGGCTCCTTTTGTCCCCATCCAGTTGGCAGCCGAAGAGGTGACTCCAGACTGGGCCCGCTGGAGTCACCTTGATCCCGCTTGCTCTGCAAAGCCCTTGGGCTGCCAAGTGGTGACACACTTTAGGGACTTGGGTGTGTGGGCTTACATGGGGATACGGGGTATGGCACAAGTGAGGCCGAGCAGGGACCTCAGGGTTCATGTCCAGGAGAGGAATGACTACTGAGCGACACCAATGGACAAGGCCACTGTACTTTCAGGTAAGTGAGGTTGCTGAAACCGAGTGGCTTGGAGGAAAGAACAGCAAGACCTTTAAAGGTCAGTCTGAAGCACCAGCACTCATGGAAGACCTGAGCTGTGGTAGTTAGAATCAACCATCATTAAGCACCACTCACTGGCACACACTAAAACTAAGGCTGGAGCCTCCCTGACAGGAAAGATCACAGTAACTCTCGGGAAGAGCTGGATCAGGGAAAGGGTGAAGTTAGGATGGGACATGATAATCACTAGCATGTGACAGAATCAGGTCTTGTGGCAGAATCTGTGGGGGATATGTGGGCTCACGTGTGTGGAATTGCTATCTAAGCTGTTATGCCCAAGAACTGTGAATAGGAACAGGCTTGGCTGGGAACATCCTAGATGGGTTGAGAATTTGCATTGCTGAGCATGAGAGCCAGACTGAGAGCATCAGGCTGGGCTGGACATGGCTACAGCCTCCCTTACATGGGTGTGTACTGCGTCTGGGGTATGCCAGGCTGGGCTGGACTCCAGCACCCACTGGTACTTGTGAACACCAGGTTGGGTATAGAACAGTCTGGGTTAGGTCTTGACTCCTGCTGAAGCACAAAAGCTGTGTCTAGGTATGGACCAAGTATGGCTGGGTTATACACCCAACAGTAAGAACCAGAATGGGTATGGCCAATTGAGCAAGGCCACTGTTTCTGCCAGGACAAGAGGTAGACAAAGTTAACCTGGGCAAAGGACCCACTGGTGTATGCAAGACTTGCCACTGGGAGGAGACCTGATAGAGGAGCTTGGGAAACTCCTTCACAGGGACGCAGTCACTGCAGGTGAGCACAAGACCCAAGGCAAGGAGCAGTCTAGACCATACCAGGTTACAGAACCTGCCAGCATACATGTGTGTCAGGTCTGGCGACAGACCACACTAGATCAGTTCATAACATTCACTGACATATCTCAGAACCAGGACAGGATTTAGGAGTAGCCAGGTCAGGCCGCAATACCAGTTCACCCGGGGGCCGGGACAAGGTTCTGGCTGTTCTGGGCTAGGCTGTAGTACACACCAGTAGGAGCTGGACTGAGCCAGGCTGCGCAATGTGATAGTGGGTGCTGAGGTGAGGTGAGCTATGCCAGCCTGGGGTCAGTGGGTGACAGGTTCGTTAGTCCCAGGGGTGGGAGAATTGGTGGGGCTCAGGTTGCCTGGTCCAGGTCCTAGGGCCTACCTATGAGGTGGGCACCAGGTTCATGAGCTCCAGGGTGGGGGATCTGATGGGACTTGGGTTACCTGACCCAGATACTGGTGCCCAGGAGTTGGGGCCTGTAAGGTAGGTGCCAGGTTTGTGAGCCTCTGGAGTGGCAGATCTAGCCAGGCTGAGGTCATCTGGCCCAGGTTCTGGGTCCCACCTGTGAGGTTGGTGCCAGTTTCACCAACCCCAGGGGAAGGAGATCTGGTGGGGATCCAGCTGCCTGGCCTGGGTTCTAGGACCCACCTATGTGATGGGTGCCGGGTTCATGAGCCCTGCAGCTGAGGGATCTAGCAGGGCTTGGATCACCTTGCCCTGGCTTCTTGGCCTGCCTGACTCCTCATAACAAATTACTACAGTAATAAAAAAAAAAAATAATATGGTCTAAAAAAAGGTTAAAACAACCAATCAATAAAAAGAGCCCCAGAAAGAAGACAAACGACAAATTGGCAGGTCAAGATTTAAGGCAGTCATTTAAAATATCATAAATATGTTCCAAAATCTAAAGAAAAACTATAAAAACAAAAATTGAAACTATAAAAAAAAATTGATGAGACAGTTAAGAAATAAACCCATACATATGAGTATATGATCTACATTTAAAAGGGAGAGTTGTCAAGGTAATTGGAGAGAAGATAAGCTTCAGGAAACAGTGGTGGGTTAAGTTTATATTCTCTTAGAAAAAATCAACTTTGACCCATATCTTACATTAAACACACACACACATACACACACACACACACACACACAACCTTTAATGGATTAAAGAACCTGTAAAATTCCTGGGAGAAAGATAGGTTAAGCAAAAATTTCTTAGGACACACACACCAAAACATATGAATGTAGAAAATGTCTACACCTTGATGGACACAATTAAAGGAAATACAGACAGACAAGGTAAAGAATTAGAGAAGATACCTGTTATACTTAGTTCTGACAAATAACTTGAATTTTAATAAACAATTTACAACTAAATAATAACAAAAACACCCAAATTTAAAAAAAAAACAAACTGGGAAAGTTTCTTGACAGAGAGGATACACAAATGGCCAATAAGCTCATGAAAAGATACTCAACACTATTAGTCATCAAGTAAATGGAAATTAAAAGCATACCTACATATTTGTTAGAATTGCTAAAATGTAAAAGACAAACAACACCAAGTATTGACAAAGATATTAAAGCTAGTTAAACTCTGACAATGGGGATACAACAAATAAAGACCTTTTTGTAAAACTGCCTGTTTAATAAAGTTTTTTTTTTAGAAATCATAATTGAGCAATTCCTCTCCTAGCTAGTATCCATAAGAAATTTTTAAAAAGATCCACACACAAAGACAAGCACTTTAATACACTAAACAAGAAACTGGGAGGCAAAGCACGACTTCATTATTTTTAAAATAGCTCATTGTACACTAGTGTTAAATATTTGAGTTCATAACAGGTAAAAGGAGTTAACTTTGAGAAGCTTGCCCAGCACTCCATACACAATAGCCAATGATCGTGTCCCCTATTTTCACCATGGGCTATATAGATGCTGTATGAGTATTAATTACAAGTAAAGAATTAAATAAAGTTTAATATTACCACAGAACTAAGCATTCAAAAGTCAATCAAATTCTTGAACCTCATTTGATTCACTCAGACACCAAAATACTAACCTCTCATCTCTCTTTTCAGCTTGAAAATTTTTTATGTAACATGTTTTCATGTGATAAATATAAAATCTTAATTATTTTGCCTAAACTTCCCTTACATATGACTTATCTTCCAATGAAGCTATAGAAATTACCCATGTTTTTCAATTATATTTTCCTATATACATATTAAAATAATACTCACTTCAATTGTCTTAGCTAGTAACTGGGTATGAGGAAAATTATACTTGTATACTTCATTAGCAACCGTATTCACATCAACTGCAGCCACAACTTGCGCAGGAATACAGCTTTCTGTAATGATAAATGGAATGTCTTAAAAAGAAATCCTTAACATCAGCGTGCTACAGACAGAAGTCAAAATAACAACATTTGTAATATACTTACATACTTTACCATGTTCTGTTGTTATCATAAAGCTGCTTCACAATACCAGCGAAAATGCTTTCAGGTTTTTTGTTGTATTTGTTTTGTTATATTTGCTGTTTGTTTATTTTTAATAAACGATATAATGCACCTACCACAGAATTCACCCATTTAAAATTTAGAAAAGCTTTTAAATTATGTGAACAATTGATTAGTGTCCAAATGTACAAGTTCACAAACCAAAATGTTTACATTTTGTCAAGATCAGAGAACAAGAGAAGAATAAGGAAAATAATTACACTGCCTTTAATCCTTTTTGTCTCACTATTAGAGAAAAAAAGTATTTTCAAAGTTGTTTCAGATCCAGAAAATTTCAACATTTACTGAACTCTAAAATTATAGCTGCTGCTATATTTTTAAATTATCAATCCATTCCTCAAAGTCAATTCTATGTATGCTCCAAGCCAATAAGGAGAAAATATAAAGAATTTTTAAGATGAGGGCCTGGTGCAACGGCTCAGTGGCTAAATCCTCATGGGGATCCCACACAGGCAAGTTCATACCCTGGCTGTTCCATTTCCCATCCAGCTCCACTTGAGTTTAAAGTCAATAACCAGTTAATTGTCATGGTATAAATTAGATATAAGGTTATAAATTACCTCTTTGCCAAGGCCATCAGAAAAATCTTAAAACACATATCAAGGTTTCTAAACAATCAAATGTTAGTATATAAAGATTATTTTGTAACATCACATAATAGTTACAATTCAGGAAAAGAACCAAATGAGTACTTAATGTAAAAGAGCTAAAAATTAAATACAAACCCTTGTATTATTTTACTATTTTGTTAATTAAGATATGTTGAAAGCAAAATGATGCAGCCTGTTTGGTTTTAACTACACATCCCAATAAACTGCAATTTTCTATAGTTGGTCCCTATAACTTTTATCTTTTTAAGGCTGATTTAAAACCAACAGTAACATTCTTAATCTATACCATAATCAATAATTTTATGTGCTTCTATCATGTTCCTGGTAGCCATAAAAAAGTGACAAAAAGCCACTTCCAAATGAGTTTTTATACTGATCCAAAAAAAAAAAAAAACGGTAGGGTAAATATTTTTTTTTTCTGGAAACCACAGATTTTTAAAACCATGCAGTAAGCAAATGCACTGTTTGTAAGAACTCATGCACAGATTTTGTTTTTAAAGATTTATTTATTTTTATTGCAAAGACAGATATACAAAGAGGAGGAGAGACAGAGAGGAAGACCTTCTGTCCGATGACTCACTCCCCAAGTGGCCTCAGCAGCTGGAACTGAGCCCATCCAAAGCCAGGAGCCTCCTCCAGGTCTCCCAAGCAGAAGCAGGGTCCCAAGGCTTTGGGCCATTCTCAACTGCCTTCACAGGCCACAAGCAGAGAGCTGGATGGGAAGTGGAACCGCTGGGAGTAGATCGGCACCCGTATGGGATCCTGGCGCGTTCAAGGCAAGGACTTGAACTGCTACGCTATCACACTGGACCCATAGATTTTAAACTATTAAAAAATTACGATCTACTGCATGATCTAAAAAGTTATTTTCATTAAGAGAAATGAATATATGGGTTAAGTGTTACGTATCTGAAGTGCTTGGGATCGGAACTGCTTTTTTAGATTTTTATATTTTTGCGAGATATGAGTACATAATAACATCATAGGATCGAATCCGATCTAAATATAGTGGTTACTGGTTTCCTATATACCTTCTGATTGCAAAGAGCCACATGAGGCCTGATGAAAAATTTTCCATTCATATCACACCAAAAACTTTTAGATTTTACTACATTTTGGATTTGGGATTAGGAATAATGAGCCTGTACAAAGATATTACTAACACCAATTTAACTTGCCTTTTCAAAACAGAATTATTTAGGGTAGTAGGCATGTTTGTAAAGAAAGAGTTAAACTTACAAATAAAAAGTTTAAAGATGACAGGTATCAATTCTATAAATATCTTTTAAAGATTCTGTAATTCTCTCAAACTTGAAATACTTTTTAATTATTTAAATATTTTAACTATTTTTGTTTATTTGAACGGCATATACACAGAGAGACAGGCAGAGACCAATCCACTGGTTCATTCCCCAAATGCACACAGCAGGATGAAACCAGGAGCCCAAAACCCAATCCAGGTCTACCACGCAGATGGCAAGAACCCAAGCTGAGCCTCCTGAGCTATCACCTGCCTCCCAGGATGTGCCTTAGCAGAAAGCTGTACCAGAAGGGAAGAGGCGAGGGAACGTCAAGGAGTATCTTAACCTCTGCACTAAACACCCACACCAACAAGCTGCCTTGATATTTCCTGATAAACATTAATCTTCCATCTCAAAGAAATCACAATTGTAACAATTTGAAATATGTAGCAAAAAACATCAGTGAGAACTGAGATCAACAGTACTTTACTGTGTGAGCTCTAATAGGTAAGTGATCTGAAACAAAGGATTAGGGAAATACATCAAGATCTTTAGGTGGAAGTCGAAGGATGGTATGTGCTCACAGTACTTGCCCTACTACCTTGCCTTGATTTCACTCATATTTTAGCTACTGTTCTGGAATTCATTTGTCAACAGGAAGCATGGGTTAAGAAAAAAACAAGATCCTAATTAGAGAAACATGATACAAATTATTTTAAGATGTTGTCACACTGACACTATAAGAAAAGGATATCACTCATTTCCATTTTATGATGACTGAATTTAAAATGGCAGACTTAGTTAATAACAACAGAGACATAATTGGAAATATATACATAATTACTGCTCTGAAATATCTGTCATACCAAAGTACACAAAAATCATAAATACACTCCCCATACGGTTTCTCTTTCTCTCTTTCTCTCTCTCTCTCTTTCTCTCTCTCTCTCTCACACACACACGCACACACACGAATATCAAGAGCTTTCCTTCTTTTTCTGATCACTGTTATGGTTCATGCATAGGCTGGTAGAGAGTACTAGAAACTGTAAATGTAGAATTAATCAGATCACTTTGAAGTAAAAGTTTTTTTTTTCTTTTTCTTACCATTTATTTTTTAACCTGTACCTCATAACTAACCATTTGAATTACTTCATTACCCCTCACACCTGAGACATTAATTAGGTATGTTCACACTGACATCTAGTTGTAAAATGGAAGATCAGTTGAATGTGACCTTTATTTATTTCCTTTCATTTATACCTGTTGTTTAAGCAAAGATAAAAGTATTAAAGAATTGTAATTGTAAGAATTGTAAGAATTCTGAATTTAAAATCATTGTCTTATCACTATTAGCAACACATATTTCTTGGTCTTCTCCAAGGGTCTTGCATTTCAGAAATTGCCAATGAAGTATTTGTATGAATAAAATTTAAAAATACATTGTAAAAAAGTTTATTTTTTTTAAAAAAGGATTTAAAAATTTTTTTTATCAGAAAGGGAGAATTATTGAAAGAAGGAAAGACAGAGAGAAAGATCTTTCATCCACTGCTTCATTCCCCAAATGGCCACGATGGCCAGAGCTGAGCCGATCCCAAGCCAGGAGCCAGGAGCTTTCTCCGGGTCTCCTGTGTGGGTGCATGGCCCAATGCGCTGGGCCACCCTCCACTGCTTTCCCAGGCCATAAACCAGGAGCTGGATGGAAAGCAGAACAGGCAGGACATGAACTGGCACACATGTGGGATGCCAACACTTGGAGGTGGAGGATTAGCCAGTTGAGCCAATGTGCTGCCCACCCCCCCCCCCCCAAAAAAAAAACTTTACAAGGATGCATTCAATTTCCTTACAAAGTCTCCTTAGGAATACAGCTAACAGACAGCTTGACATAGCTAGTGGATGCCATATTGGGCAGCACAGCCAGGCAATCACCAAGCTTATTATGGTCAATGGAAGTCCTGGATAGATGAATGCCTACAGAGTCAAAGTGTCATTCTGGAATGACATGCAATAGCTTTGCAGCCTTGGAAAGTTTATGTTATAGAAAGTCAAGGAATTAAATTACATAATATACTGTAGCAAACATTAGATGGTCAGTAATTATTAAAATTCTTATTCACTGCCTGTCACCCACCTGAAATTTTGTAAATTACATGGAAAAAATGATAACAGTGATTGCTATTATTATTAAAGCTAAAAATTACTAGTAAGAAAATTTTCAATTATAATTGTTCATCTGAAGGAATTTCAAAAGAAAATTAAAAAGGAAAACAACTTTAACAGATCAAGGAATCTGCACAGATGACAACCAGATAGTTTTAACCTCTACTATGAAAATCAGGCCATTTGCACCAGCCCACATGGTGGGAGGCAGGCTCATGGGGGCCAGGGAGTGTGGGTTTGTGGGGGCCTAGGGAACGGTGCTGGAGGAAGGTGTGCAAGGATCAAGGGACTCAGGCTCAGGCCCAGGCAGGCAGAGCAAGCTTGGGAACATTTCCATGTGCTTGATCCCAGGAAGAGTTGGAGAGGGAAGGGAGAGCCCTGCGATGGAGTGATAGTGGACCAGGCTTGGGGAACTTTGGGTGGGCCTGTATCTTGGATGTGTAGAGGAGTGGGCTCTGAGGCCCAGGAGCTTGGGACCCTAGTATATGGGCTGCACTCCAGGCCAGCAAACCACCCCACTGGAAGATTGAACAGAATGCTGGGATAGGGAACCCATGCACTCCCAGGTGCAAGGACTGTGTATCAATCAGCAAAAAGGGCAAGGTAATCTGTGGGAAGGAGGACTACAGAGGGAGTATGTTGCAGGTGAGGAATGACTTCTGAGGGACTTCCATCAACAAGGTCACTGTACTTGCAAGTAGGCAAGGAGGTTGAGACCAAGCAGTTTAGAGGGGTAGAAGCAGGAACTTTATGGATCAGACTGATGCACCAGCTCACACTGGAGTCCTGAGCTGTCTTAGTTACCATGGATCACCAA